GTTCACAGGTATTCATTTTGTATGTCGTATTGCTCCGTACTTTTTTTGCCTTTCATTTTCGTGCGAGCGGTCGAGAGGAATAGTTGGAAAGAGTTGTGAGATGGATTTCGTCCCATATACGGAGCATGTAAAACATATAACATATTTACGTGATCATACTTTTGTGTGGGCACCTCAAAACCAAAAAGCAGGTTGAGTATTCCGTATTTGTACCCTGTAGCACATTTGCACATTTGGATTACCACCAAAGGAGAAAAGGGAAACGGGTGGACAGGCTCCTCGACGATTCCCGAGACTCTGGGCAGCGTGAGTGGGTTCGCCGCGGAACATGGGAAACGAGCAAAAGAAGGGGGCCTGTGGCCACTGTCCCACCCCTTTTTCTGCAAATGGCCCCCTCGTAGCGCTATCGCAAAGACAGCAAAGGACGTGCGATATCCACATGAGCTGTTTCCCCAAGTTGGAAAGGGTCTTTTTGGGCAAAGAAAAAGAAACAGGGGAGCTTGGATGTGGTCAGATCCATTTTTGGAGAAAGGGGAGCAACGGTGAAGCATGAACGGCGAACTACGAATTCTGGTGAAGGCTAGTCAAATGCGGCAGCAAAACGAAATTGACGAGCACACCATCGGCTGGGAGTAACAGGTATTTACAGAAGTAGATGGGAAGAGGCACCCGATGCTGCCTTGGCCACCGCCGAATTTGGTCCGAAAGGGTGGGAACCGAAAGGCAGAAAGACAGAAAGGAGAAAGGAGAAGTGAGAAAGGGGAAGCCCGGGCAGTTGGTGTGGAAAGAAAGAGAATATCCAGACACGGCCATTGGGCCGCACCAGGACGGTTGCATGAGCGCCCACTCATGTGCAGACAGACGTGTCTTGTTGCTCTCGCGCGTACAAATGCGGCGCCTTTGATTTTCGGGGAACAGGTGTCTCGACATGGACACGGGCATTGTGCATCCAACGACACTCCAACATGGCCACAAATCAACATCAGAAGATTCCAGGCCGCTTTTCTTACCAGCATTATTGTTTTTTTTAGCCGCCATTGAACGTCTTGGACCTTGAACCACATATTCTCACGCGCCCGGTGACAAATAAAAGTAGACTATGAAAACGAGAGGGCAGTGCCAGGCGACATCTCTGGAAGGGCGCGGCGTACGAGATGGTGTGAAGCGTGACTGAAAAAGTGACTGAAAGATTGAAAGCACGGACGGAAAACCCGAGAAGTATTACCGAAAATAAATATAACGAAAAGGGAAGAATGTCAGGCCGCAAGCACCCTCACACTCACGACGCCCGTCGCCCACCGCCCTAAATACTCTACGACACATAAGTCGCACTGTAGAACGGAGGCAACCAACAAAAACGTAGGGACTGAAGTGCTGCTTGAAGCTGTTGTACCAATGCGACCTACTCCACACTTGAGCCAGGGAAGATGAGATGATACAGTGGAGAAGAGAGACCTGTTGCTACCAACACGGCATTTGGAATACTGGCCCTCTCAGTGTCTTTTCCTGAGAATGTACGAGAGTATATCACGCCTCTCATAAGGCCTGTTAAGACAGGATGATGGTCGACCTGTTCGCGAATCACATTGTGATGGCCTGGTGTGGCGCTTCAATATCCAAGACTTTCCAACAAATTTCAACCAGTGGACCAGCAGACAGTTTTGGCGTCTTCAGCACCACTCTCCGTCGACTTGGGAGCAAGGGCTTTGAAACTGTGCTGTGCCGGGATGGCTCAGAAGGGCAAGCCGGCTGTGTCTCTCTTATTCCAGCTCAGCTGAGGTCAGTTTTCCAACCCGTCACGTTTTGATTTCCCCAAGTTTATCCAAAAGTGGCCTGGCTTGTCCTGTAAATTGAACTTCTCAAGCCCAATCGGTTAACTGAAGCCTGCCATGACCTGTTCATTGTCCCCTTTTACATCGCAGAGAACGCATTTCAAAGATACCCTGCCCATGGCGGAAATAGAAAACCCATCATTTCTTTTTCTTTCTTTTTCTTTTTCTCTTGGAACACTGGCGAGCCAATTACTCCTTGTCGGTGACTTACCTATTCTGTAAACTCACCAATGAATCAGAGTGGACGGACTGGTTGGGAAGAAATGAAGGCAGGGGAACCACAGACGAGTCACCTACACCCAACCGTTGGGCGTTTAGGTCGTTGGGCTTAACCACCACTTAAATTGCCGCCCCTGTGTGGGCTCATGTGGGCAGCGCTGTGGCCCATGGCTTGGTTGGCTTCAACCTCCACTGTTCGTTCAGCCAATGCCGGCGCCCGGCCCACGATTGCTGTTGCAGCTTGCCGTTGGCCATGCCTATGCAGCTGGCCGACATTGGGCGCTGCAAGTTGCAGTGCACGAGAGCGGACGGGACAAGTCAACAAGGCTAAGAAGCAAGCACAACTCACAAGTGTATGTGTTGGCAAGCCCGAGAGATGGTTAAACTGCGTGGGGGAGTTTGGTGGGCCGGGATTCACGGTTCACGGTTCATGGTTCTTGTGGTTGTGTTGCAATACATTGTATTGTTTGACGGAGGACGGACCACGCAGCATGTAGTATGTCTTTTTCTTGTCTTTTTCTCGTCTTCTTCTACTTTTCCTTCTGCCTGTTGACTTTAAAGAAGGCCAAAAGAGCTTTGAAAACGTTCACGCTGAGTTTGTCGAATTTGACGGGCTGCCAAAATATACGGGCGTACCTACCCAACATTGAAGCATGCGGTCATCCTGAACTCAAAAGTTGTCTCATTCGCTCCGATGGAAGCCACCGGAGCTCAACTTGGCTTGGCTTGGCTGGCCGTGCATATGTACAAGGACGAGAGCGGAAGTTCAATGTCAATGAAAAAATACAAAAAAAAAAAGGACGAGGGAGTTTAAAGTCAATGTTTTGTAAACCTGACTTGGCCGTCACTTTATACGTGTGAACCCAGCATTGGCCGAGTTTGTGTTGATACAGATTCATACAGACATGCAGACGTGCTTGCTTCGTGCTTCTGTTCGGTAGTAATACATCGTCGGCATCAATCGGTTGCTTTTTTTTGGATGCGTTTTGATTTGTGCCAAAAATAATTACTCAATGCGGAAATCGAAAACGAGAGGTGCAATTTCTCCGACTCTCGTTATGTCCGCGTCACAGCGAACTGTCGACTCCTGTACGCCGTATTTCCCGCCAGAATTTAATAAATCCGTCCAAATAAACAGCCCGGCCAGGCCCATAATCGTTCCGGTCGCTTGTCCTCGCTCCCAACGAGGCGTACTGACCTGCTCTGCTGTTTATTGCGTTGCTGATCAAATAGACTACTCTGTACGTCGTAATATACTCCGTTTATTCGCTGTGGATAAAAACGAGAGCAACAGGGCGCACCATTCCGTATTTTGTGCTTTTTTTTGTCATCAGCCCGAGTACCGCACGAGGGCGGGCGTACGCCCCCCCAATAGAGATCGCCGATACCGCCGGCAAGGGTTGGAAAAGAAACACGCGGACGACGAGGGACGATTTGTGTACGGACTATTTCCGTCCGAGAACTGGTAGTGTCGAGCGTGCGGAGTATTTACTTTGCATTGCCTTTAGTGATTATCGTGTGTCCGCTTCCGTTGCATGTTTTATTTCCTCGTTGTTTCCTTTGCCCATTATGAGCGAGAACAGGAAGAGTGGAATCCAATAACAATACCTGCCAGATAGGCAATGCCCGCAAGATCCGCATGTGATTGAATCGATTTTGTTAGATTCTGTCGTAACTCTTGGCCACTGGTTCTTTCGTTTTCCTCAAGAAATAACAAGGCAACAACAAGAGGAGGGCGACTATTTCCTAGGCGCGTCAAGACACACCGGGACAACACACAAACCACCCAAGAAAAGGTGTTCGTTCCATGTCGAGCACGCCGTCCCTTTCCTATTCGGACAAGACGTTCCAGGGCGCCTATGCAAGGGAGGAGAGTCAGAAAAAGGGCGGGTGGCAGGCTCGCTTGGAAACCGACGGGGACGACAAGGAAATTAGCACTCCTTTTGTTTTTCCTTAGCGCCTGGCCAGCGAAGATTGCCAAAAAGGAGAGATGAGCCAAGAACTAAAAGCTTTTGCGTGAAATTCGACGGAACTTTGGCAGTGCAAAGAAGAGGCGTGTAAGATCGCGTGCGTAGCGAGGGCCGATACTAATTTTTTTTTTTTTAATTCTTATTTCAGCGCGGTTTTCTTTCTGCTCGTTTGGATTTCCCCGGCAATTCTCGGACTCTTGCAAAAGGCCGCAGGTGTGAGCAACTTGGAGGTGGATTAGGCATGGTCGTCGTTTTGGTCGGTTGCAATCCTCAGTCGTCTTTTCCGCGGTTGTTCGCTGTTTGCAAGTTATGCTTGTTATTTTTGCAGGGGGTCGGTCCTGTGCTGTGCTCCCTGGCCTTGAACAAGGGAGGTTCCGATTTTTTGTTCTTCGCTTTTCCTTCCATCCCTTCGCGAAAGGCTGCCGCACGGGAAGTGGAGATGGGAGGGGACCTTGCACTTGACAGCTTTTCTCTTTGGGCTCTGGGGAGGGGCCATCAACTGGGACCTTCAGCTGCAACTCCAGCCAGAGATTCGCAGATTTGTAGATTTGGGGTAAAAGGGGAGACCGCGGGCCCTAAACAAGACACTGGGCCTGGCCTAAAATACCTAAAAGACCCAAAGAAACCAAGAGAGAGGGGGCCGTGAGGAGAAAGAAGAGGGCCCTCACCCCCATTCTAGGGAGTTGGTGATGGGCTGTGGAGTCTTGTTGTGCTCCGTGTGCCTACTTTGTGTGCCGCTGTGGATCACAGCCATGGGATATAGCATTTGGATCTTGGGAGGAGACGGGAGGGGGAAGATCTGTGGCTTGTTTGCGTGCGGAGAAGACGGACGGTGTCTGCTCCATGTGCACGTTGTATGTATCGTGATAGCATCCGCATGCTCCCCCGCGCGCGCATGTATAATTGTAGTCCGGAGACATGTCTTCGTATATATAGACAATATTCTGGCCATTTGGCACCCCGGTCTTTGTCTTTTGCCTTACCACTGCATCCGCGACGACGAATACGACCCGTTATAGTCCAGCATTAGCAACAGCTTCGACAGCGAACTGCCCTCGCCCGCCCTCGATCCGTCCTGGTACTCTTGCTGCTGCTGGTAGTCCTTGCGCGCCACGCTGTCCGCCTCCTTCTCACTTAGGCCCCGGCACACTGCAAGGAACGCAGCCACCTTTTTACGGAACGATGCATAGAGCTTCTTGGTCTTGACCTGGTGCGCCGTGAGCAGCGCTCCGAGCGCGGCATCTTCACTGCTCTTGTGTCCTCCAATGCCCGTGCCTTCGGCTCGAGATAGCTCGCGTGAGCCTTTGGCAAACTCGAGGATCAGGCCAAAGATGCCCTGTAGCAGGAGGAGCAGTGGCTGCTGCCGTTTGCGGAGCAGCAATGCGAGCATGATCTCATCCAGTGCCTGTTCGTGACGCTCGCGCAGCTTGTCGGGGCTTGCTTGGTCTGCTTGTGCAGAGCTGGTTGCAGTTGTTGTTCCCTGCTCCTGCTCCGGTTCCGCTAGGCCCCGCTGCACGTCGTCGAGCCATGCTTCGAACCGCTTCCATGGCATGTCAACACCCGTGGCCAAGAAATAGGCCATGATGTTGGCCACAAATTGCCGGCTTTCGATCCGAAAGCGCATGCACACGTTCTCCTCATGGCCAAAATAGCTTTTCTTTCGGCTAGGGCCCGGCCGAGGCGCTCTGTTGCGCACCCGCGATTGTAAGTCGTCCTCGAATAGCTGGTTGACCACGTAATACATGCGCAGTACGCGTAGGAGGAGTAGAAACACGCGGTCGTACTTTGCTAGAATATCTGGTGTGATGATAGACAAGAGCGCTGAGGGTGGCTTGTACGACAGTCGGAGGAAATCCAGTGCTTCGAGAGAGTCTGGATCCATGCACCGGTCCATCTCCTCGACGGAGAGATCACGTACCGCGAAGCTCATCCCGCCAGGCAATTCATGCTTACCGCCTGCGCCAGCACTCGCTGGAATCTCATTGCTTTCACCCTTCCTGCCCTGGTAGTAGCTCTCGGCAAGGACGCCCATCAGAGCCAGTCGAAGTTCAGAGCTTGCCGGCGGCCAGTTCTCGCCGTTGCGGCTCGACAGCCGCAATCCAAGTCCGCCGCTCGACAGCTCAATACCGGTGCTTCGCTCGGCACCGGCCTGATCCGGGTCGAAAAGAGCATGCGACAGTCTGCTGCAAAACATGCCATTGCCAAGGAGTTGAAATTCGCGCTGGATTTCGATGTGTTTTCGGACGCCGTGTACGCCAAATAGCAGCCGCATGCACTCGCGGTTGATATGGCGAGACTGTGCAGCTATGGCTGGCCCAAATGAAAGTAGTGGTAGAAGAGACCAATGCGGTGCAAACTCATCTAAAGCTGCCATGTCGGCTGCGCAATCTTGGCCATCTTCGAATAGCTGACGACGGAGAACGGCGGCGAGACCGTCCTCTGATGGGTTTGGGAGAGGTTCACCGAGTTGTTTTATGGATGCTTTCAGACTCTGCTCAATCTGGTCTTCACTCTTCCCAAAGAACTGAAATTCAACCGTAGGAAAACGCCAGTTGATTTCCGTTCCACTTGGTGTGACACCAACCGTACCTGGATGGTGGTGTGTTGGTAGAACAGGCTGAACTGAAGCATATCGACTTGCAGCAAGAGACTGCAACAAGTTTCTCTCATATGCAAGAGCCTTGCGATCCAGTGCGTGGATGGAATCCCAATCAAATTGCCATCTGAGTGCTGGAGGGCGAGCAATCAGAACCGTAGAAGGATTGGACAAGGGATGTTCGGGATGATTTGTCCACAGAAATCGTAGATTGCGACCTGTTTCAAAGATGTTCTTGGCCATTTCCGCTGGAATGAAAGCCGGCATCCGTTCCTCGTCAAAGAAGTAGTCGGATTCAGCCAACTCCGCGCCCATGTCGTCGATCCAGACCCGGTCGTCTAGGCGAACGAATCCTTTGCTTTGAAACTCGCCCGTCCAAAGTGTAGCCTTGCTTCTGGGACTCAACCCAATCCATTCGCTCACGAAGACTAGCCAAGGTTCCGAGACGAGCTGAAGCAACTGCTTGATGATATCACGCATAAAGACAACGCTGTACTCCATGGACTGTGTCTCTTGGTACAGCAGCGTCAAAAAGTGCTCGTCAGTGGTTCTTGAAGAAGCTGTTGCGCGTGAGAGCTTTGTCACGAGCCCGCGTATGAATTTGACGAGAGAGGCAACGGGCCGCACAAGCGCCTGCAACTGGAGCAGTGAGTGTGCCCTCTGGCCACGGGTGCCAAGCTCGCTTTGGATGGTGAGGAGGAGGCTGTCCACGCCTCGTGCGAGGGCCACTCTTGAAGGAGAGTTTGTTGAGGCCGCGGCTGTATACGTGTGGTCGACAAAGGCTCTCAGATAACGGCTGTCGTTTCCGCATTCGAGGCAGTCCCTCTCAGCGCGTCGCAGTACTTGTGCAGAGAATCCTGAGACTCTCGCGGAATTGACCACGGGAAGGAACGCCCGTTTCCCATCGTCCCACGAGAACAAGATCGAACTTCGTCCTAGGGCTAATGCAAGAAGGCAAGAGCAGTATTCGCGCGTGTCCAGTATCGCCGGGTCCTGCTCGTCCTCGCCAGCGTTTGTCTCGGACGATGACGCAGGGCGTATGACGTCGCTGTGTTCAGCAATAATTGCGTCGACGAACTTGGGACCTTGTTCTGTCGCGAATATCGGAGCTTGGATGGGGACTTCAACATGCTCAAACGATGCCCACGATTTGAATTCAGCCGGCGGAGGTGGCCGGACGCTGTCGTCAGGTAGAAGCCAGAAGTCGTCAACAATAGACGAGGGCGTTGCAATGGGTTCTATAACCGAGCTTGTGTCCTGCTTATCAAGTGTCTGTTCTGGAACACTCGGTAGGAGCTGGTTTAGTAAATGTGGGATCTTGAAGAGGCCACCGTCGTCATCGTTGCAAGGCGGCAGCTCTGGCTCGTCCGTGTCGAGGAAGAATGTGATCCTCTCGTCGCCTTTGCATTAAGTCAGCCTCGAATACCGCCATCACAAGTACTGCAGCCACTGAATTAATATGCATACCGTTAACATCGAGGCTGAAGAAGCCATCTTGTCTCTCCTCCGCAGCTAGTGGCGGTGGTTGTTGCTGCCATGACGACAGCTTCCAGAAGTCGGGAATGGCGAAGAGGTCGGCGTTGTCGGTGTCTGCCATGGCTTTATGGGTGGTAGACCAGTTTGTCTCATACTATGATGTGTTGAGACGCTGTCATCGGCCGCTTATGGAGTGTGCAGCCTCGTGGCCTATGAACATGCTACCAGTTTAGGAAGTGACGTTGACAGGCAAAAAAGGAAGGCAAAAGCGTGCGCCACTTATGGACCAAATTGTTGACGCGTCGCCGCCCCAGAAGCGCGTTGTTTGGACGCTGTGACACGTGCTTTTGACGGCTGTGTTCGCTGGCAGCCGTTAGTAACCCCTGTATGTGTGGCCTTTCGTACCAAAAATTTAACTAACAGCGTCCGCCTATCAGCGCCGCTAAAAGAGCTTTTGTTCCAGAAAGCTTCAGTCCTTTATACTTTTCCATCCTGCAACAGATACCTCACACCTCTTGACCTACCACCCTCGACCACTGCTTGCTGCGCAGACAAATGTCAATTGAGTTATAGCCGATCCTATGAACCACGTTTACGACATACGACAGCGTCAACACCATGCCACCGAAGAAGCGCGGGCGCGGTAGCGCGGTGCAATCCGCTGCCACACCGAGTCGTGACGACGATGCGATGGACATTGACACACCCCAGGCCTCGGAAACGCCCGCGGCGTCTGCGCCACCTGACAAGCCGATATATGATGTGCTCCAGAGCTGCTGGACATCCGAGCAGAAAGCAGGGCTGTTCTCGGCCGTCATACGGTGGAAGCCTTCGGGTGAGGTTTTGCAACGGCAGGATTGGGAGACAAGAAAATCAAGCCGTTGAGAGATGGCCGACTAACATATACAGGCATGCACAGACACTTCCGCATGATTGCCATCTCCGAACATTTACGTTGTCGCGGGTTCGATCCGGACGTCTACCAGCACACGCGCATCCCAGGCATTTGGAAGGAGCTGGCGGCCGAGTACGAGCTCGAAACGATCAACGACCGCGACAACTCGCTGGACTACGTCGATGAGGCCGACGTCGAGTCCCGCTTCAAAGAGTTTTGTCTGCCTCTGGTCGACTTCCGCGACGACATGATGGAGCGCGCGCTGGCGGACGAGGATGACGACTCCGCCGCCTCGTCACCAGCACAGTGGCGCCCGGAATCACCAGCGCCAACCTCACGCGGTGGGGCTGCCTCGGGCGGCCAATCGGTAGCAGCACCGGCGTCCACCTCCAAATCGAGTGCTATAAAACGGAAGCGTGGCGATATGTCGGTATTGCGGATGCGGTCATCGACGGTGGACAGTTCTGAGCTGGCATCGTCTGTGCCATCACCCGCCGCAACAGGAAGGGGCACACGGAGAGGAAAGCGCGGAACATCCAGGGCAAAAAAACCGTCGACCCGGCGTGGAGGCGGCGATGAGGAAGAGGAGGAGGAGGGGCCGGAGGAGGAAGAAGAAGAAGAAGATGGCGAAGAGGAGGAGAGCGGAAGTGGAGGTGACGAGGAAAACGAAGGCGAGGAAGTAGACGACGAAGAGCAGGATGAGGAGGACGGCGAGGAGGACGACGACGAAGACGACAACGACGATGACGATGATGACGAAGAAGAAGAGGAGGAGGAGGAGAAGGAGAAGGAGGAGCCCCCCACAACCAAAAGGACAAGAGCTCCTCCACAAAAAGCAGCTCGTGGGGGAACAAGAGGCCGTGGCGCGGCTCGGGGACGTGGGCGTGGACGAGGGCGTGGAGCACGGGGCCGTGGCAGGTAGAGGACACTGAGGAAATCTTGGGCATTCGCGACAACGTTGTTCAATTTGGTTCTGCTGGCCTTGCATTAAGCAAGACGATGCGAAGTTTTCGTTTTTTATGTTAGTATTTGTGTGATATGTCGTCTATGCTACGGCGCATAAGAAGTATTTCTGCTTAATGGTTTAGTAGAGCCTCAGAGATGGAATGCCTACCAATACCCCACTAATAGGGGAGTGGCAGTGGTTTGTTAGCGACCCTTACCCACTGCCCCGCACGCCAAAACGCGTCAATGAACGCGCTTCATATTAAAATCTATTTACTTTCCTCCAGCGCGCAACGAACGTCACACATCACAAACGACAACCTGCGCACCTCTTTTATTTGAATTGCATAGACCTTTCGGAGCGTGGAAATATACTATAGAACCGAACAAAACGCCTGCGCGTAAACATGGCCGGACTCGGCGGCTCGCTGGCAAACCGGCCGTTCTCCACGACGGAAGAACTGGAGAAGCTGGAACAGTCCATCACTCTGACGCTGCAAGGTATGTAGGGAGACGAAAGGGGAATGTTTAAAAAGGGACTGGGGTATCGTGGGATAAGGCTGACAATTGCAAACTCTAGAAATCGACCACAACTTCAGCAAGGCGCATCGCATTGTGACGGGCAACATCCTGCCTGTGGTTGAGCAATACGGCGAGCAGTGCAGATCCGTATGGGATGCTTCCAAGGTAGGAGGAATTGACGGAACGATCATTTGGTTTTTGGGGAGTGTATCGTTGCTGACAAGCTTGGCAGTTCTGGAAACAATTCTTCGAGGCCGCTGCGAACGTGTCGTTATCCGGCTACGAGGAGCTCGCAAACGATGAAGGATCCACGGGTGTCGAGGAGACGACAACAGCAGATACACACGACGATACTACAACGGACTACACTACCCACCCGAGAGACGACGAAGATGGTGTCCAGACAGCCACATACCTCAACACGCGCGACGAATCTCTTCTGTCTGACGGCGACGGCGATCTAAGTGGGAGCACGCCTCGCCCGCCGGCCACGACGTCACTGCACCCGCAATTTGCCGACTTGGACTCACCATATGAAAACCTACGACGCGAGATGAACCGGGGACCGGACACAGACGCGAACGGTGGGGGCCAGCGCTCGCGGTCCGGATCGCGGCCGCGAGCACCTCTCTCAGATGCTAGAATGGCCGACGCGGGTGGTGACGAGAGCACGATGATGCGGTTCAACGACAATGAAAACGTGGAGGACGACCACCGTGACGACTCGTCCGCGGCGGACTCGGAGTTGCTCGCCCAGCGCACAGCACGCCTTCCCAACATGTCCATGACGCCGCGACAGTCGCTCGACGAACGCAATCGGCGGGCCCTCGAGGACGAGCAGGCTAATAGCCGGCGCCAAAAGGACCCCCTGATGCACCGCGTACTGGGCAAAGACTACCGAATCCAGGCGACACCGCACAAGAACACGGCCCGAGGCATCTCACCCATGCGCCTAAAGGTCACAGACCGACCGCCGACTGGTCGGCAGAACTTCATACACAACGAGGAGAAGGCCAAGCGATCAGCATGGCAAGAGTCGTCGCCTATGTCGTCGCCGGAGATTGCTGTGCCGAAGCTGCGTAGCGCTGCCTTTATGTCGCCAATGCGCGCGGCGTACCGCAACAAGCTGGCGACGGCCGTGTCCGGCCCGCGGACGCCCGGCGTGAGCGTGCAGACGCCGGCGCGGACTAAGCCCAGGGAGATTATGTTTGACGATATTGGGTCGACAGAGATGGATCAGAAATCACATTTCAAAGCGCCTTTTACGAGAACCGAGACCGGCAAGAAGAAGCGCAACCCAGACGAGATCACATGGGAAAGCAGCGACGAAGATGGTGACGACTTGTATGGTGGCATGAGCCCGCCCAAAACAATCAATTTCGCTATGCCACCATCTAAACTGCTGCAGACGCCTGGTAAGTGATATATATATATATATATTGTTCCTTATATATATTATTCCTCCGTTTACGCAGCGATACAAGTTACTAACAACTTAAAGCGCGGGAGGCAAGCAAACGCATCGTCGAGGACATATTGCTCACGGCAGGGGAAGACTTGGACGGATCTTCGGAGTATAGCCCGACCATGGTCAAGATGAACGCGGATATTCTGGACGAGACATTTTAGAATATTTTGGCAGACGTTTATATCATTTCCCGCTATATGTAGTCAAATAACAATACCCAGTGATTAGATGTGTCCCTAGCATCTCCTTTAAATGGACATGTGTCATGATCATGATGACAAGGGCAGGCACAGCTACCGCTTTGTGTCATCCCGGTCAACCACATGGATCCGCGGTGTCATCCGGGCAAGATTGTCCTTGTCAGCTTCTGTCGGCTTGATGCCTATGCGTTCGCCCGCGGCATCAGAAAAGTACAGCCCGATGGTGCCCCAAAGAAGTATGCCAACACCGACGCCAGCGCGCGTCTTGGGCGAGAGACCGCGGTAAGAGCTGCTTTGTTAGTATTCGTAGGAAGACAAACCATCGCTTATTTTTTTTTTTTTTAAAAAAAAAGAATGAAGGAAACAAACAAACGACTCACCTCCAAAGCGACATTTTGAGTTGCAAAGGTTGGCTTGTTTGGATGGTGTGTTATGTTGCACGAATTAGTGATATCTTAGTGTCCCTCAAAATTTGCACCGCCACGAGCCAGCCACAGAACCACCAGTTCAGCGTCCTAAGTGCCTTTCGCAACGTTGATAAATGTGGATCCCTTTGGAGAACGGGAAAAAATTGGCGGCTGTTCGAAAAGCTTCACGTCTAAAAGCTGCTCCAGCACCAGATACCTCTTTCCCCCCGACGAGTAGGTTCGGCCGCCCTCTTCACCATTACTGTCTCCCCCCCCTGATCTTGGGATCCTTTTCGACGACTATCCAACTTTTTCGATCACAATGGCTGCGCTTGGCCCCTCGGCGGCGCGTGTCCGCGGCGCTGTTTCCGGCTGGAGCACCACCCGCAACATGATCTCGTGTTCACACCCGGCGCGCTTTGCGTCACAACAAGCGCAGCCACCACTACGAACGACACAGACAAAATCATCATACACACAGTCTACAATAGCACCAGGAGCCATGCAGATGCAACAGCGGTCCTCCTTCTCCACCTCCCCCGTCCTCGAAAAGCGCCATAAATACCGCTCGCGTGACAACAACCGCCTGCGCGGTGTCTCGAGCATCCGCCGCACAGGACCTCGCCAGTTCCTGTCCGTGTCCGACTCCCCGCTCCCCCGCTCGACCCTGCCGGGTGTCGGCGGCACCAGAGAGGCCAAGGAGGCCATGGCCGCTGCAACGCGGCCTGAGATTGACCCGGAACACGGCCTGTGGCAGTTCTTCTACGACGGCCAAGTGGCACAACCGCCGACCAAGGATGCGGCTTTTGGACGGCCCTGGATGGCCGAGGAGCTGCGGCGCAAGAGCTGGGACGACCTGCACCGGCTGTGGTGGGTGTGCGTCAAGGAGCGCAACCGGATTGCGACGGCGACCGAGTCGCGGAAGCACTTTGACCTGGGCTTTGGCAATTTTGAAGCGCAGGAGCGCGACGCTGCGGTGAGTCTATAGTTTTGTTCCCGTGGCATGGACTCGTGAACTAGGGCTTTCTACAAGTTGTACTTACTAACGAGACAGGTCCGCGAAACGATGAGACGTATCAAGCACGTGCTGACGGAGCGCTTTTATGTGTGGGAGGATGCCGTCGAGTTGGCCCGCACGGACCCGGAGATTGACCTGTCCGGAAACGGTCCGGCATTCCGGCCAGCAGCATACCTGGAGGATGAGCCAGCGGCAGCTGGTGAGAGTGGAAATACAGAGGCTGCGCCGGCAGAAAGCAGGTCAGGAGAGCAGGAGCCGGCCCCTGTACGGTAACCGGAAAGATCCTTCGAATTACTCTTGGCCGCGGCCGAAAGAAATCCGCTTTCCACGCAATTTTGTGTACAACAACCATCATACATACAACATCTAGCTCTCGCAAATGTACGACTATTGACAAAATATGAGGACTGGTGGGAAGGAGTGACGGTAGCCGAGTGGACTGAGACTGTGGCTTGTTATGGAGCTTCCTTGCGACGTACTTTGGCAAGCATTAGGCAGCGGTTCTTTGCAATCATGCCAAAACGGACTGAGAAGACTCACAGAACCAAGACAACCAGCTTTCAAGTACGCCGTCAAACAATAACCGTATTGCCAGGCGGTTGCACTCAGCTGCAACGATGAATCGGATTCAAAGTAGACAAACTGGTATAAACCTCTTGCACGACATAATTATGCGAAGTGGTACGGAGTGCGACATTCCTCCGTAGAGACATAACATCATCAACATCCAACGGTCAATTGTTACAGACGGTCACGTGAATTGGGCACTAGATCAAATATGGAACGGCCCCCGGTTCTGGAGCTATGCCGTTGAATTGATAGGTAGCCGTTGGTAACCTCTAACTGACGACGTTGCCCCCCAATAGCAATTGCGGGGCTGCTTGCTGGACTGTCCCTCCTTTTCCGTTCCCAACAGCAAAGCCAAACCGCATCCTGTGACATCCTTCTTGCATTTACACCGATTGTTCCAGGTCAGGCTGCCTTCTCCCTATCTCGAGCCAATCCTTCTATTTTCCCACTGTTTCCCGCCGTTTTCTCCCTCGTAACCCGAATACTCAACCAACAACATCCTCTGCAACCACCATGGATGAGATTGCCAAGGAATACGATGTCATTGTGCTGGGCACAGGTGAGTGACGGACGGGCTTGGGATTCTGAACTTTGGAGAATCTGGGCACTGTTTGAATGCCGTGAAAGAGCTTGGCTAACTGTGTGCTTCTGTTTCGCTTAGGCCTCACCGAGTGTATTCTCTCCGGGTGCGTCACCGCCTTCTCGAGCAACAACCCCTGAGAACCTAACTAACCTCCTTTTTCATGGAACAGTGTCCTGAGTGTCAAGGGCAAGAAGGTCCTGCACATCGACAGAAATGACCATTACGGCGGGTATGCTGGCCCCCACATGATGGCGGGACGACCGGGCGGAGCTATGAGACGGAATCGCTAACCGATGATTCCAGCGAAGCTGCATCTCTGACCCTACAGGCGGTAAGCCCATCACTCAACACGTTACATTTTGCGCTTCCCGTCTCGCCTCAGTCTCCTCTAATACGAATCTCCTCCAGCTCTACAAGAAGTATGGCAACTTTGCTAGCGGCGAGGAGCCGTGGACCAAGTACGGCCGTGTCAACGACTGGAACATCGACCTTGTTCCCAAGTTCCTCATCTCGTCGGGCGAGCTTACCAACATCCTTGTGTCCACCGACGTTACCCGTTACCTCGAATTCCGCCAGATCGCAGGTAGCTTCGTCCAGCAGAGCAGTGGCGCCAAGGCCACGGTGGCGAAGGTCCCCGCCGACGCCGCCGAGGCGCTGCGGTCGCCGCTGATGGGCATCTTTGAGAAGCGCCGCATGAAGAGTTTCATCGAGTGGGTCGGCAGCTTCGACCCCAACGACCCGGCCACGCACAAGGGTGAGTCCTGTCTTCCGTACATCCCCGGGCGTACTCTAATTTTCTCCCCTTGCTCCTACTTCTCTTCTTCTTTTCTCTGACACCGTTGTCCAAACACCAACAGGCCTTGAAATCAACACGTGCACGATGAAGGACGTGTACGACAAATTCGGCCTCGAGGCCACCACCAAAGACTTTATTGGCCACGCCATGGCCCTGTATCTGACGGACAGCTACATCAGCACCCCCGGTGGCGCCCCGGAGGCCATTGAGCGCATCCGCCTGTACGGCAACAGTGTGGCGCGTTACGGCAAGTCGCCGTACATCTACCCCTTGTACGGTCTCGGCGAGCTGCCCCAGGGTTTCGCCCGCCTGTCGGCTATCTACGGCGGCACCTACATGCTCAATACCAGCATCGACGAGATCCAATACGACAATGGCAAGGCGATCGGCATCAAGGCTGCCATGGCCAACGGCGACGACAAGGTCAACTTTGAGACTAAGGCCAAGTTTATTATCGGCGACCCGTCCTACTTCCCCGACAAGGTCAAGGTTGTCGGCCACGTGCTCCGTGCCATTTGCATCCTGAAGCACCCGCTAGCCAACACCAACGACTCCGACTCGGCCCAGCTGATCATTCCTCAGAGCCAGGTTGGCCGGAAAAACGGTGGGCACTCCTCCCCTTCTCTCTCTTTCTTTCTGCGTCTCCCCTCTCTTCAAATACAACGAACTGACAAACAGACATCTATATTGCTTGCGTCTCGTCGGCCCACAACGTCTGTCCCAAGGGCTACTGGATCGCCATCGTGTCGACCATTGCCGAGACCTCGGCCAACCACCACCTCGAGCTGCAGCCGGGCCTGGACCGCCTAGGCAAGATCGAGGAGCAGTTCATGGTACGTCGGAATGGGGAAGCCCATACCCTTTTTTTTTCGAACGAGAAAAACTTGCTAACACGTCAACTTTGCAGGGTCCTCCTATCCCTCTGTATGATCCCATTGAGAACGGCACCAACGACAATATTTTCATTTCCAAGAGCTACGATGCGACCAGCCACTTCGAGACGACCACCGACGACGTCAAGGACATCTACCGCCGGTGCACGGGAGAGGAGCTCGTTGTCGAGGGCCTGCGGGAGGGCATCCAGGTGGCCGAGGAGTAGACAAACGACGACACTCGAGTGAGACAAAAGATAAATTATCAATATATACAACGACATACGCTGTAGTTGGTGAGGGTGTATCGGTTAACTTCCGTTTATTTTTATTTTTATTTTTTGTGTTCCTTTTTTCGGTTCGTTATTCTTCCCTCAATTTCGGATTGCACTGCGTCTGCGTAGAAGACAAAGAAGACAAAATACGCATTGGGTGGTGAAGCCAACCAATTTTTCTTCTTCTATGGAACATTTGGTCTACCGCTTGTTGCGCACTTCACAGTATTTGTGCCTATCGGAGCACACGGTTGAACGGCGAAGCTCCGACTGCTGCACAGGAACGGGGCTGACATCAGTGGGTAGGGGTGGGGTTCTGGGCAGCACTGAAAAGCCCAATCCAAGGCCGAGGATTAGCGTACCGTCCGTCGGCATTCTTCCCGTAGAGGGCCTGTGACGACACCAGCACTTTCCCGACCGCATTGTCAATCTATATTCCTTACATTGGACACTCGCTTCGAGAGGACGTACGTCACACAAATACATCCACCCAAACAATGGCTTCCACCGTCAACCGCCGCGCCGCGCGCGCGGTCTCGGCGTTGCTGCGGCAGACAGTCGCGAGATCGGCCCTGGCAGCAACCTCGCCTGCTGCTGCTATTGTGACCACAGCTGCCCGTCGCTCCGTTTCTGTGGTCTCTCAGCCACAGACTCTTGCTGGCAGAGGCTTTGCTAAAGCCGCGCCATCCTCCCAGTCACTGTCCCTGCTTGTTCGTCGCGCCTACTCCTCGTCGACATCCGCTGACCACAAGATTTGGTCGTTTGAGGAGGTAGGAATGCCGATGCGCTGGTTTCTATTTGTAGGTGTACAGGGGAAAAAAAGACTAACTATTCGCAGGTCCAGGAACTTGTCAAGAAGTCCGACTCGCCTATTGTCATCGTTGGTATGTATACACTTAGCTGTTTCCTTCCTCTCCCATCTCGGAAGTGCTTTTTGTGGCTTTCTCTAACTTCACCTCAGATACCCGTGAGCCGGGCGAGCTCAAGGAAACAGGCCGCATTCCCGGCGCTATCAACATTCCTGTCACGACGTCGCCTGATGGCTTTTTCCTACCCGACGAGGAGTTTGAGGACCGCTTCGGCTTTGTGCGCCCGAGTCGCGACACCGAGGTTATCTTCTACTGCAAGGCCGGTGTGCGCAGCCGAGCGGCGGCCGGTCTGGCCAAAGAGGCGGGCTGGACAAAGGTCGGCGAGTACCCGGGCAGCTGGAACGACTGGGCGGGGAAGGGCGGCACCGTACAGCGTTAAATGGGTTGTAAAATCATTTCGCGGTATAGGATATGGAGGTGCTGAGTACGAGCCACTATATGTAGAATAAAAAAGGCAAATAACATCATTAATATATTGTACAAACCCTGGAAGAAATAAAGCAAACACTAGCTGGGGCATCTAACAAGCTAGATAAAAAACTCCCTGCTGTGAAAGCACTGTGAGATCACTGTGCCCTTGTGGTCGATGGGCATATTTCTCACGAAAGAACAACGTGCAAAATGTTGCTCCCCAAAATGCTACCAGACAACAGCAAATTATAAGACGGAATACATAAAACATGGGCCGCTCTAACTAATTCGTACTTGCCCACTGGAAGGAAGAGCAAGCTCAGCTGGCTCTCCCCTCGTCTCTCTACACTCCATTGTATTTTTCTTGGCAGTCGCCAAATGGCCGTTTCCAAACCATTAGGAGACCTGTCTTGATACCCGCTTACCACATTGCCGGCGGGCCAGCATCGCCGCTTCCACCGTCCACAGGTGCAGACGGGGTCTTAGCCACGGGGCTGTGGTGCGCAAAGAACAAAAACTTAATTGTCACCGCTAGGCCGAGGTGCAGCACCACGACAATGACGAGCAAAATTTTGCTCGTCTGCCGGTCTGTGGCGGACAGCACTGGGTACAGGTTGCGCAGCAGGAACATGATGGACAGGCCGAAGCCGACAGCAACAAACACCCAGTTAAGAATGTCAATGTGCGACCAGCCGATCAGTGCGACGGGGATCCAGATCAGGTTGCCGTAGCCGTAGAGGGCCCAGCACTCGAGCAGGTTGGCAGACTCGGAGCCAAAGTAGCGCAGGGCGAGGAAGAGGATGACGGGGATGACGAGCGTATAGCCGTAGATCAGGCCAGCAGCACCTGCGGGCATTATGTTAGCAAAGAGGGCGGCAGTTGCAAATACCTCGAAAGGAGGGGACTCACCACTCAGAAGGGTAAAGTCGTAGGCAAACGGCTCCGTGCCCGTCGTCGCGAGGTACTGGCTGATTGTACCGCTCAAGAACAGGATAAAAACAACTGTGGTCGCAATCCAGAAGGGACCGTACAGATCTGCGTTGCCCTCCAGCACGTCAAGGAAGTTGGCACGCGGGAAGAGCGCAGCCCAGCACCGTGTCAGCACAGCCGACGTGTCGACGTCAAAGAACTGCGCGTAGAATGACAGTGTCCACAGGAACCGCTTGCCGCCAGCTGCGCTGCCGCTGCCACTGCCTGACGCCGTCACTGGTGGTGGTAGGCCGCCGCTGTTGAGGCCCTTACGGCCACCTGGTAATGAGTCGTTAAAGTTTGAGTTGTGGAACTCGAGGTCTTCGCGAAGGTCGGTGTGGCCGAGGTCGCCCTGATTGTCAAGAAAAGTGAGGGTCAGTATTGCGCACAGTCAAGACTAGAACAGGCTCATCGTATGCGGCAAGCAGCGTCTGTCGTCTTTGCGATCGATCTGTCCAATTGCAACAGAGTGGAACATACCTCATCGTCGACGTCGACGACCGCATCGTAGCCTGCATTCGACATTTTGCACGGCTGGTGTATGCTGCTGTCCTTTCAGATAGCGATATGCTCTCGTTGCAAGGTGGAGGGTGTGTGGGTGGTAGTGATGTCGTCGGTTTACTCGATGCAGGCGTGTTGGGTCTTTGGCGTAAAGGGATACGAAGCTGACGTCGCGTTGGCTTCTGGTGGTGGAGCTTAACTAGTTGCCTGTTTTGCGTGGAGAGCCTCCTATTAGAACTCGCTATGGTGGCAGCTATATTCTGTACATTCGGGGAGATGGGATATGCTTAGTCATCTGCAAGAAACGGCGCGCTACACCAAAAGGTTGACTTCGCATTTGCATTTGGAAAGGCAGAATGAGACATGCCAGTATCTAACAAGATGCCGATTCTCGTATGGTTCGTCACCTTACAAACATATAGTACATCACAATTCGCGTTGGAGTCTTTTCAATGTTTTTTTTGTTCTTTTTAACTTTCGTAAATGAATTTTGCTTTTTCCCATTTTTTTTATAAAACTTGTAGGAAAAAAACCAGGTGCATAAAACCCCCAAAAAGACGCCGGTGTCTCCCGCAGGTTTCCCCGTTCGAAATTCGTCCTCCGCATCGGAATCCGCTTCGTCTCCTCCCCAGACACCACCCACAAACAGCGCACTGCCCACTCCCCAGGCAAGGGGCGAGTTGTCTATTTGAGCTTCTTCTTGGGGCGGAGCTGGTTCGTGTGACCGCACTTGCGCTTACGGCAGTTGGTAGCACGGGGGGGCAGGCGGGCCTGAAGATGTCAATGTCAGTAATGAGTTCCGCCTTCATAATATCGGACCGTTGATTGGCGACGTTTGTCGCTTTCCAGGTTCACCGCAGGGTGAATCAGCTAGTGGTATCGAAAACGTACGTAGCACTTGCGGCAGATCATCTTGTCGCAGTTGAACTTGCTGGCCAGGGCCTTCAGCGAGGGCTCGATGATACCACCGCGCAGGCGGAGAACCAGGTGCAGAGTGGACTCCTTTTGGATGTTGTAGTCCGACAGAGTGCGGCCGTCCTCCAACTGCTTGCCCGCGAAAATCAGGCGCTGCTGGTCTGGGGGAATGCCCTCCTTGTCCTGGATCTTGGACTTAACATTGTCGATCGTGTCCGAAGACTCGACCTCCAAGGTGATGGTCTTGCCGGTAAGGGTCTTCACGAAGCTGTATTGCGGGTTGACGTTAGTAACTGTGCTGCACAGTGGCGCTTCTGCAATTAAAAACGTCGAGATGTCCTCCTCCTTGTCGTCGATGTCGTCGATGCGTTGCGGCGGCCGTACGTCCTTTGCCAATCGTTGGTTTGCTCCTCTTTCGAATGTCGAAACTTCCGGGCGCAACGTTGGCGGTTTTACTGGGTGGTCTGAAGTCGTCGGGTTCGCAAAAGAAATGAGACGGGAAAGAAGGACCATGCGATGGCGGGCGTGGGACGTTCGGCGACCGACGTTCGGCGACAAGAGACGGACATTTCGAGATCGATCTCGCGGACAGCGAAAGAGGTGGAATTTGGGCCTTACATCTGCACTGCAATAGCGGAAGAAAAAAGAAAGTTAGCAAGACATTCCCAGGACTGTCCAACACCATAATCAACTCAAATTACCGGCAAAACGTACTCTTGACGATACTGTCGTGAAGTTAACTATGGTTGAGGTTCGTAGGATAGAGGAAAGAACGGGAACAAAAATCCACGAAAAGATCATACAGACGCACCATCCTACGCAAAAATTGGTGCGGGACACACCAAAATCGGTAAAAGTGCAGGCAAAAAACTAGGAGTGGAAAATAATTGCCCCGCCCCCCGAAGATTTTTGAGGGAAAGAGCGTGGCAAGCCAAGAGCGGGCTAGCGCAGACCCAGGCACTTTAGAGCTTTGACTGCAAAACCCTATCACGTGCGTGGCAAGTGGATCCACACCAAACTGACCAATCAGTCAAGCGTACGGCTACCTTTCCTCGCTTTCAACCTCTTTGACAACTACCTCGACCTGAACATCACAAAAGACCGGAGACGAAGGATGATGCAAAAGCAGGAGTGGGTATATTGCCTATCCTGGAGGGCTACTTGGCATGTAAAGATGTGCAAATGACTGAGAATATTGCTCTCCGTCACCATCTCCGTCGCCTTCGTCGTCGTCAACGACCATTGTGACATCTTCCTCCGCGCTGTCGTCTGTCCCATCCCCATGCAACTGGTCCGACGATCTCTTGGCTTTGCTCGCATCCCACGTCATCCAGCGTCTCTCTAGTCGACTCACTTCGCGGACGAGTGCTTGTACAGTGATTCCAGCCAGGTTGGCTACGCCAGGAGAGTTAGTTGCCCGTTTAACACCATTTTCCAGACCGCGCCAGGCTGCGCATGCTCACCTGCTCTGCTATAAAATGCGTGAGCTGCTTCGGAAAGGTCAGACTCTTCCCGGTATCTATTTATAGGGTGGTCGTGAATGCGTTGTAAAGTAGGTTCGTCTTTGATGGTTACTGGTCGCTTTCCCTTTACGTTCTTGGATGTTTGTTTCTCTTCCACATTGGGGATCACGAGGCAAGTTTCCTGTACCAGTCGATATCGACGGTCCAACGCATCTTCGGGTTCATCTGCAAAGGGTACTCGTGGCCTTATTTCTTGCAAGGGGAATAGGCGTAACATGTGGCGTGGATCTGTGATGTGTTTAGTGGAGTTTCATTCCTTCTCGTGATAAATTTTGACCCGGTTTCAAGGACGCACCATCTTTCTCGGTTAATCGATACTGCTGGTGCCAGTCCAGGTAGTCGTCAATCTGGTCCTCTGTCAAGCTCCACGCATCTCTGGCTCGCAACTTGGAAATACCGTGGCGTTCTAGTCGTCGTGCTGCTGGCAGCCGCTTTGGCGACGCGTTGAAGACGGCCTGCCATTTCCTCCAGTCCATCAAGATATGCTGGGGTCTGGTATGGTCGTCGTCGGCATAGGCTTCACTTTTGGTGGAATCTTCTTCATTGCTATGGGGTTGTCGGTTGCCACTAACGTGCGCATCATCCACATTGGTAAATGGGTACAAAAGCTTCGTGACCAGGATCATTGTTGATAGTAGGAAGACGTCTGGGTGGTCGACCAAATAGAGCCTGGGTCGCTCTAGTGGGTAACAAAAGTCTGTCCTAGACAAGCGAGACACCTCCAGGACCCCCGTGTATACATCGACTGCCTCTGTTAGCATTTCTTCACCCATCAGATTCAATCGAGACGCAAGCTTACTTGGAAGACCGAGGTCTCTTGTCCACTTCCACAGAATGGGTGGCGCGTTTAGTCCTGGGAAGTGCAACTCATTGTTGAGCCTAAATCCCCTCACAAGATTCACCACTGCCTCGTGCAGCTCGCCGCGGACAAGAGACGGCAGCTTTGTGGTCAGGGCACTTAGGTAGCTCGGAGGGAGTCGATCACGCATGATCTTGGGAATGTGCTTGGTCTGTTTTCTGTTAGCAAGGTAGTCTTGTTGCGCCCGTATTAGACCAGGGAGCGGCTCAAAATCTTACTGCATCTAGGAACGGTATCTTGTCGTTTCTTGCCCACCGGTAAAAATCGCCGATGCGGAACGGAAGTTGCAATAATACACCGCCAAGATAGCAGATCGCCAGCGTTTCGATGACGCCAGGCACATTCCATCGTTCATCCGGACCAGATTGCCATTTGCGTGCAGATCTCGATCGTGCCCGCCGTTGTGATAGGCGGCTGCCGCCGCTGGTATAGCCGCCTTCCGTGTCGCTTGCTAGCTGCGAGCTGTAGGCTGTCCGGCCGTCTGACTCGGACCCAGACTGTGTTCCGTTTGTGGCCCGGCTCCGGCTCCGGCTACGGCTGCGACTCAAGCTGCGGCTTCCACGATTCCGCAGGTCATCATCTGCCAGTGCCGTCACGGTAAGGCCGTGAAAATAGCGGATGCGCAGGTCCCAGAGATCACGCACAGCCGACTCCAGGCCTGCCATGGGAGACTGCGCAGGTGTGGACGCTTCGCCTTCACCTTGGAGCTGCCGCTCGTGCTGTTGTAGCCAAACCACTTGCTTGCGCAACAGGAGTTGCAGGCACTCAAGAAACAGCTCGCGTGCTTCGATGCCGGATAAATGGCGGGCCTCACGCTCGCGGACCTCCTTTTGTCTGCGGGCGGTATGTCCACGGTTACCGTAGTTTCCTTCTTCTTCATGCTCAGTGGGAACATAAGACTGCGAGTGAGTGTTAGCTCCAGCTTTTTCGGCCACGATATAAAGAACAATGTAAAGGTAACAAAGGGGAAAGCATACTTCAATCAGATGACCGTTCTCACAGTAGCGGAAGCCGCTGTCGCTGTACCAGCGGCGCGCATTGCACTCGTCACATGAGTCTCCTGGGCGAAAGCGCCGCAGATCGCGATGGCCCGAGGCGAGATCCATAGTCGGTCGAAGAAACGGAGAACACGGAGAACAAGGATCATGTGCAGATAGTTTGCCGTCAATGGCTATGCGATGTCAATAACCGGGGCCGTTTCGTTGTGGTTATCGCTCTGCGCAGTATAAAAACTACCAGTTCGCCATTATGACCATGCAACTAAGAGCGGAGCGCAATATGTATCGTCCTAAATCTTATCGTGCGCACGGTGTTGGCGTTCACCGAGTTGGGACGAAAGACAGGTGAGTTTGGGCGTCGCCTGTTGTTTGATGGCATGTCGTCGTTAGAATAGTGGAGTCTACGCTGTAGTAACATTTTTTTTTGCTAACAACCGTCTATCCAAAATAGGCATCATCGCGAACCACTGTGAGACCAATGCAACCAAATCGTCCTGCTTCTAGACTTCTGCTTATTCACTTGCAGCTACGTTCACGTAAAGTGGGAGAAATTCCGTCATTCACTCATATTTGTATAATAATATCCAGGCTTGCCTTGGTCGTAATTTTCTATTCCGCTTTAGATATTCTTCATCGCCGCTCTAATGACGGTGTTTTGTTCGAGAAAAAAAATTAAGCAGCTCATGTCTGTCATAAACAGAAACCAAGAGAGGGATCTGACAGAGAGACCTAGGGCACAGTTATATGAAATATACGACATATGTCCGTGGCGCCCATGGTGGTTCCCCGTTTAGATTCCGAGTCCTCCAGAAACCAACGCCCCCAGGGGCTTCGTCCGCTTGCCATGCAGAATCGGAACAAAGACCAATGCTGTGCCATTATCAGGAATCACGCAATCACAAGGAATCGTGTCCTGCCCGACAAGCAACGACTCCAACCAGAACGACACATCAGCAGCAACGAGGCAAGAAAAAAAGCAATAATCATAGCAAAAACTTTTTACGAGCGGGCAGCCTCCTTGGCGTCAATGGCAGCCTCCTCACCCATGGCGGTAAGAATGGTGACGTCTAAGACATGTTAGTATTCGGTCCATAGGCGCATCTGTGTGTGCATGTGATCCACATGCATCGGGTGGGAATATAACATACTGGTGTCCTTCTCCTCAGTCTTGAAGAGCTTGGTGATCTTCTCACCAACCTCACCGTCGGGCAGCTTGACGTCGTCCTTGGTGTCACCATCGTCGTTCATCAGCGAGAGGAAACCGTCGTCCGAGATGTCGAGCTGTGCGGTATGCGTTAGCAGGTAATCGAATTGAGACGGTCCTCGTGGCCTCGTGGCCCCGTGGCCCCGTGGTCTCGTGGTGTCATGGCCTCATGGCAGGGCGGAAAGATATAACTAACCAGCTGGTACTCGCTACGCTTGACGTTGGGGACGTCCATGTTGTGGGTGGACGGGCACAGCTCCTCAAGCTTCTTGCCAGTGAAGATGTCAATGGCGACAAGGTGGACCTTGGCGTGACCGTGCTTGCCGGTCTTGGAGGTCGACATGTCCACGATCTTGCAGGGACGGCCCTTGATGACGACGAAGCCGTTCTTTCTCAGGGCCGAGCACTGCATCGGGAAAGTGGCCGAAGCACCGGCATCGGCCGAGTCGAAGGTGTGCTCATGCTGGAGGGTAACATGTTAATATATGGAATCACTCGCATACATTATTGTTTTCGGCCATCGCAGCCAAGCGAACAGCCAAAAGAGCACAAAGAGTAGGAGAGAGTAGAAAATATAGAGAGAGAAACAATCGTAACAGTAGCATTCGATCGAGGACTGTCTTGGGTGGCGAGAAGGCGCAAGTTGGGTCCGTCGACTGGTTGTGATACGAGGCTTTGCTGCGGTCGAGCTGCATGTCCTTCGCATCAAAGCCAACAAATATGTGAAACAAAGACACAAGAGCGCCCATTGTCGAGATTTGGGCGCTGCTGAAGCAGAAAAACACGGACAATCCGGAGAGGGGCCTCTGCCTCTGCGATTTTCGCGATTGCGGGGTGATGATTTTCTCGATTTCTCTCTCTCATCCTTTCGCCCTTTTCGGCAGTGTACCTTGGGTCACGCGTAGCCACATGCTGCACTTCTTACCTGAGAATCGTCCGCCATTTTGACTGGGTTGAGGAAAAAAAGGTTGTTGACGACGAAAGAAAGATGGACAGTAGTAATGAGGGCGAGGTGGAAAAGTTTTGTGTTTGAACCAACTAGCAATGTTCAAGCCACGGAGAAGGAGAAGAAAAATATTGACTGAGGGAAGTCGGGGGAAGGCAAGGAAAATATAGGGTGGAGGGGAAAGAGCGAATGGTTTCCTAGGAAATTTTAAGAAGAGGGGCGGGGTGAAGGACTGTTTCTGTGGGTTTGTATTTTTTTTTTACAGGCTATTTTTTTTCGACAGTGGGGAGGCAACTAGATGGCAAGAACACCTCCATAGGAGGTCAGGTACTGGCAAGAGCGGCCTAGACAGAAGCGTCTGAGCCCGCTGTACTGGACAACAACCGAGTTTAGCAAAAGCGCAGAAACACAGTGAAGGCGATGAGGGCGCCAATCAGATCTAGCTAATGAGGGCGTCTGCGTTCCTCAGCGTCGGAAATCTTGACGCAGCCTCTCTTGTGTTAACCGTTTCTTTAGGTTTAGTTGGACTGTTCGATGTATTCATCGCCACGCCTAAAACTAGACAACTGCCTAGAAAGAGTCATACAGTTGCTCGAAAGGAGTCATATAATTGCTCGAGAGTAAGCAGCCTCGATACGCTTTCGTGTTGAAATAGGCCGCGGTCAGAATGACGAGCCGGCGTCCACGACAACGAAGCCACAATGCACTGGTTCGCAACGGAAACATGACAACAGCTGTTCAAGGACAGCACAACTTGGTTCTGTCTCGCATGCTTGGAACGGCGCAAGTGGTACGCGCTATTACATAAGTAATCCACATTGACAAAAAAGTGGAGCAAACCTGCATGCCCTTATGTAATCCGTGTTAAGACCGACATGTCGACTCGACGGTTTGCAGCGTCGCCGAGACAGCCTGAGCTCTGGCGCAGGGGCGCACTAGTCCCCTATTGGAGCTCCATACGACACAGAGTGCCTGATGCTGCTGAAGACAGCTGCTATCAAACACAACAGCACCTAGACGACAGAACACGACGACGATATACGGCAGCGGCACGAGAGCACGACTCCCACCTTTTGACGCCTTCTGACGCCTCTTTGTGCCTTCAGAGGCAATAGGCCGCTACTGTGGATGGGCTCGATTGCTGTTTGTTGCTGCGACGGGCGCAAGGCGTGAGCATCGCGCCTCTCGAAGCAACAGGTCTCCTTTTCCTCGACCCCCCCTTACTCGTCTGCGGTCGCTCCGAGCCCGGCCGCCAGCCTCGCTCTCACCATGTGGCTAGACCGTCTAGGCCATGCCGGTGGTGGGACCTCTCCGCAGAGCAATGGTAACCGATCCGGATCGCCCCTCCCGCGACGGCCATCGAGTGCGAGTCGAGGACCATACATGACATCACAACGACCAGCCCGGGGCTCGTCGCTCTCGCTCGTCTCCAACGACTCGACAACCTCGCTGCTTGCCTCTCGGAGGCAGAACGGATCCTCTTTGAAGCAGTCCACATCGGCAAAGTCCGTGACCGGGGACCCCAGAGCGCAAGACACGGCAGCCCTCGCACTGCTAGGAAGGCTCATCGGCGCGTCTCCAAAGGACAGTGGAGTAGAAGGCCCAGCGGAGAACCAAGACGAAGTGATTATTACAGACGAGGACCTCGAGGCAGACTTTGATTTTTCTGGTCTGACGTTACGGGAAATTGCCTGGGAGGTCCCGGTGCAGCGCCGGGGAAGTCTGCAAGCATCTCGCACGTCCGAGGATTGTATGTGCAATTGCCCATCTTTTACTCGGCGCGGTGGCCTCTGAATATGTGTTAACGCTTCTGTACGATCATTAGTGGACAAAGACCAAGCGAAGCTCGAAGATTTACACAAGTCTATCCGCGCCTGCGACGAGATATTAAACTCCGTCGAGACCAATTTGACCAGCTTCCGAAACGACCTCGGCCTGGTGTCGGCCGACATTGAGAATCTGCAATCCCGGTCCACGGCGCTCAATGTTCGCCTCGACAACCGAAAAGCAGTCGAAAAGGGTCTCTTTCCTGCAGTAGAGGACCTGAGCGTGTCACCCGACCTGGTTCACAAGATCGTGGACGGCCACATTGACGAACAGTGGGTCCAATGCCTTAAGGAAGTGGACAAGCGGACAGCGTCACTGCGCTCGTCTACGAACATTCAGCAACCGGGTGATAGGCAGCAGGGCTCAAACCTCATCAAGGCCGCCACAGATCTTTTACCGCTGTTGGACAAGCTGGTTCTCAAGGTAGGTCGCTGTAGCCCAATATCTACCGCAAGACCCCTACATCTCCACGTACTAACATCGCGCTCGCCAGGCCATCGAGCGAATACGAGACTTTCTCGTGGCCCAGATCAAGGCGCTGCGGTCCCCGCACATCAATGCGCAGATTATCCAGCAGCAAAGCTTCATCAAGTTCAAAGACCTCTTCACCTTTCTGCATAAACACCATGCAGTCCTTGCCGACGAAATCTGCTTGGCATACATGAACACCATGAGGTGGTACTACAGCAACCAGTTCGCCCGGTACGCCAAATCGCTCGAGAAACTCAAGATGCACATATTGGATAAAAACGACGTTTTGGGCCATGACGACCATCTGTCACGGAGAAGCGCCGCCAAGGTGAGCGGTCCGCCACACGACGCTTTCAGCCTTGGCCGGCGCATCGATCTCCTCAAGGGCCCTAACCAGGTGGCCCTGTCCTCGTACATGGCCGAGGACGACAAGTCGACGCACTACCTCGAAGTGCCTTTCCGCCACTTCAACCTCGCGCTCGTCGACAATGCCACGGCCGAATACTCGTTTATGGCATCCTTTTTCTCACCTGCTCTATCCTTCTCCACCATTGCGCGGCACTTTAACTACACCTTTGAGCCGACCTTCCAGCTCGGCCAGACGCTGACGCGCGGGCTTATCGGCGAGACATACGACTGCCTCGGCGTCTTGTTGTGCATCCGACTCAATCAGCACTTTGCCTTTGAGCTGCAGCGGCGCAAGATACCAGCCGTCGACGGCTATAACAACGCCACCAACATGCTACTGTGGCCGCGCTTCCAGGTGATTATGGACCATCACTGCGAGAGCATGCATAGCCTGGCCGGCAGCGGAAATAGCACAATCTTAGCGAGCGGCAATGCGGGCGGTGGTGGCAGCGCAGCTGCCGCCTCGGCGGCACCACACGTCGTCACGCAGCGTTTTGGCCAGCTGCTGCACGGCATCCTGGCCCTGAGCACCGAGGCCGGCGACGACGAGCCCGTGGTGACGAGTATGCTGCGGCTGCGGAACGAGGTCGAAGCATTCCTCACAAAGTACAGCCAAGTGTGCTTCGGCAAGGACAAGCGCCGGCGCGAGCGGTTCCTGTACAACAACTACTCGCTGGTGCTGACCATTATCAGCGACGTGCACGGCGGCAAGCTTGCGGCCGAGCAGAAACAACACATTGAAGCTCTCAAGATGGCGTTTCAAGAGGGGGCATGAATCTGGAGTTAGTGCTTTGCAGCATGTTTGGTTTATTTCTTTTGTCCAGTTAATTCATACGCGCTCTCGTTTCCTCTGCTTATTTTTTCTTGATGGCGTGTCTGATTTCCATTGGCGGTGTTTCTATATAAATACTTGGCGGTCTATAAAAATACACAACTGTATACTCGTTTTCCATTGTAGCCTCGTGAGACAGCAGTATCAATAAAACTTTCGTTACCTGTGAGATTCAACAAACAGCACAAAACTGAAGGAATATAACATCTGTCTATATAGCAGCAACGGTATATATAATTGACAAAACAGGCGAACGTAGAAACAGAAGTAGGCACACTAGCCAATGTATATACCGACGCGTGACAAAAGTGACGACATTTTTGCGACCGGGCCAGTGAGGAACGAGCTTCCCCCTCCAACACTGGCACCTGAACGGCGCAGGGCAACGGCAACAACACCCACGAGCACGGCAACACCGACGGCCCGCATGGGGCCTCTGTACTGCCACAGAATCTGCCGGACCCGCGCCACTTGCTGCCGCCGCCGTTCGGCTGTCTCCAGCTCGCGCACATGCTCGTGGAACAGCCGCTCGCCATCGGCTACTGTCAAGCCAGAGGCCAAGGGCTTGTCGGCTGCGCTTTCAGGTCTGCTCTTTGACTGTGCAGTCGCACGATCGTCCGCCGTCTTCAAAACAGAAGACGCAGCGATAGACCGCCACGCTGGCAGCGTATGCGCGGGGTAGTCGTTTGCAAGCTGCGCAGCATCGGCAATGAGATCGTCTAGCAGTGGAGACGATGCGTTGCCGCTCTCCTCACTAAAGTTTTCGTTAGTGCCCCGGTCGCCGCCTGTCCGACCCGGTAATTTGGACAGAACGTGGTGGAGCATCTCTGGCTCGTCGGCCGGTGTGGCAAATAAGGCCTCGCGGTGTGCACGCACAATAGCCGCGAACAGATATAGCGAAAACGCAGGCGGGCGGGCCAGCAGTACGTCAAACAGGCGCGCAATAGCACCGAGAGATTGTACGTCGTGGGCGTACATGGTGAGGGTGCCGCTGAGGGCAAAAAAAGGCCGCGGGTGCTGTGCAAGTCGCAAATGGTTCCAGAGCGGCGGGTCGGCCATTCGTAGTATGTCCGGCAGCAACAGGAGCTGCTGGACGGCAGCATCAATGGTGGGCAACATAAAGTCGCGGATGCGCAGGACAGCCAAACGGGCAACGGTCGGCGTCCGCAGATGGGGAGGGAGTACCAGCAAGAAGACCTGGCAGATATCGTGGAAGCCTTGGAAGTAGCACAAGTAGGGGTAACGGCGCAAGACCTCGATAATCAGCGCCGATAAGGCCTTCTTTTGGCGAGCTTCCTCAGCATCGTTGGCGTCTAGTTTCTATAGATTAATACGACTGGTCTGTCGCGCGAAAATCAGAATACAAGGCCAGGGAGGGGAAGGTCATACGCGTTGGGTAGTAAACAAAAGCACGGTTGACGTCCAACTGGACCTGTTCCTCGTCTCGATGAGGAGGGAGACTCTCCCAGGAGCCGCTGTCCTCTTTCTTTGAGATACCTGCCATAGCCGACGCCGCCTCCACGTCGGCATGACCCTCAGCGTCGAGAGGAATTCCTAGGAGTACCGGCCCTTTGAGGAGTTAGCAACCGACGAGTAGAAACACGTGGTGGGATGCCAACAATAGTATCCACTTACATGCTATTTGGCGTAACTCGTCTGTAAGAAAACCGCCCGCGGAGCCTGCCAATTTCTGAAGCTGGGCAAAGTCGCCAAGCACACAAGCATCACGGACTTCCTGCTTTTTTGCGGTCACGGCGGGATCGTCTTTCACCGGCATTTCAGTCTTTTCACTTCTGCTCACAGAGAGCGATGATGACTGCCGCGACGCCGTTACACGGCCACCATTTCGTTGTGGTACTATTTTGGGGATATCGTCATGTGTGTCGTTCTTCTCGCCGGGGCCATTTTCGTGAAGGAGAAGGATGCTTTGTTGTTGATGTGACTTTTCTTCAAATACCCCATTCAGAGAGGTATTCTCTATTTGCTTGCTATCGGAAGTGGCAGCCTTTTCTGTTGCAGAACGAGCCGCCTCGGTGCTGCCGCCAGAGCCACCTTCTGCTGAAGCCATAACAGCCTGTGTATCTTGCGGTGCTATTGTCGGCCCAGTCCTCAACGGTCGGAACTACCGCCCCTCACATTCCCTTCCGTTGAATCAACTAAGGGAAGTGGTTGGTGCTGCACGATGTCCTGATTCAGGACACAGTTCACGCTCTTTTTGGAGTTTTTTTTCCCTGCCAGACGACGAAATGTTTGGGGCTTGAAGAGCAAACAGTGCTTAAAGATACAGGGATCAGTGCGTCCGGCGTGGCTGTCCTGCAGGATGCACAACTGTCGTCGGCCTGGACATCCAATGGACATATATGGACAGAATCGCTTGTGTGTCTGGAGGCGTCGTAAGATCTATGTTGGTTGTACAAAAGGCACCATCCGGTTTGTGCCAAAGAAGAAGGAAGATCTCCAATGCGATGACAAACGCCCCAACGTACGCCAAACAAAACTCAGATGCCGTTACGCAGAGAAGAACAAGCTCGTTAATTGACGGCGACCCGGTGATCGGCTTCGGAAGCTGCGCGTACCCGCGTCGGGGGGGAGTATTACTCCCGTAGATACTTGGCTCGAGACGAGCAGACGGACGAGAAGACGGACGTGCATGCAGCGTGCTGGTGCGTGTTGTTGTGTGCGGTCGAAGTCGGTCGACGCGTGAGGTCTGAGGGAGAGTGAAGCCATGACGTGTGGTTTTCCCAGAACCACTACGGGACAGACGGTAATACAGACCGGACAGTGGACTGGGGGACTGTGGGTTGGTGTGGAGTGAATAGGACAAGCAAGTTAGCAGTGTGGGAACAGTTTGGTCCACTGCTAGCGATATTTGTGCACTGTAATTAACCAACGCCAGGACGAGTTAACGATCGTTTCAGGGTTGCCTAAGCCTCTAAGAAGAGCCCTGACTTGCCCCACCAGAGCTGTTTTACGATGTATTTGCGCCAGATCCTGCACTACTAATTAGAGCTTCCGGAGGGAGCAGCTTGGTGACCACGAGCGTTAGTTTAGCGGCATAATACGTATCTTATTAGCAATCTTCAGTGCGCGGCAATACATCTGTAAATACGACGGCCGTAAGGTACGAGATGCCTTGGGCAGCAGCTCGCTTCGCTTCGAACCTGATCGATCTTCAAGACCGAATCAGGTCTTCATGGAAGCAGATGCCAAGCCGTACAGCCAGGCTATATGGCAAGATACGTCCAGATCTTGTCCGCCCTCCAGACCTTGTCCGCCCTCCAGACCGATGTTCGAGCCACTTGTGTGATTCAGTGCGCTCCACTGCCCTTAAAGTGAGGATCGCTGCAGCAGGTGCCACAGCGCCTGCGCCCCATACACACAGCCTGGCTCAGGCCCAGACCAAACAGCCATGTGCCGACCTCTCAGTCGCATGAATGGATTGCCCAGTGCCCACCCCCTTGTCTGCTGCATGTTCCTTTCCGACTTCTTTCCCCTCGCATCCGTCCCCGCCGTCCGTAACTCCCCTCTGTTCGCAAACGCAGATGACAGATCAAATATGACTCGTCATCTGGGTCCCAACGGCGACACCCAGGTGTTAACATCAGTGCGGTGTTTCGTTCTGCTCTGGCGTTCCTCGACGTGTCTCTCTCTTTATAACGTAATACGGCGTGCGGTCATGCTCTGCCGCATATTATCACATCTCGCTCAACGTGCTGACATTGTTGTCGAGGATCGAGGATCGAGGATCGAGGACCATGCGGCTTCTCTTGCGGTCGGAAGACGGCCGGCCGGTTGTCCATGGTCCCAAATCGTATTTGTTTCTTTTCCCTCGTATCCCCTTGTTCGCCTCGAGGCACCTTGGCGGCCAGCATCAATTTGGCAGATCCGAAAGCAGTTGGCCGTTTGCTGAAGAAACAAAAAGTCGAAAATGAGGTCCAAGGGCTAGGGCTGGTCGAAAATGCAGGGGTCTAGAGCGACCGATGAGGCGACACGGCTACATCCAGTCTAAAAACCCGCAACCGAGCGCGACGGGTCGCCTCGGTGGCCCGGAGAATGTGCAGGGCTGTACCGGCAGCCTTAGTGTGTGGTGTGAGAAACGAGAATTCGAGAAACAAGGACGGGGACTTTCATGGTCCGCAATATGGCAGGTCCTGTTGCTCCCATTGTTCGAACCTATTGTCTCTTTTAGTTTCTGTTCTCCCTGCAGCAGAACCAAAGAGCCAAAGAGCCAAAGAGCCAAAGTACCAAAGAGTCCTTGTTTCTGGACCACAATCTGCATGCTCGGACGATGCAACCTAGCCGTTACGAAATGGAAACAAGTCTCGAGGCTACCATCGGCTGTTGAGTCGTACGTCGTAGCCTTTGCGCCTGGCAAATCGAATTCCTTCTTCAGTTTTCGGCACGTCTTTTGGTCGCAAAGGAGACAAACTCACACCTTAACCACTTGCCGGCCGCTATACAGGTGCTTGCTGAAGAGCTGGGGCAATGACCTGATGTCGTGTGCAAGAAAAGCAGAAGGATGATGTGTCAAGCAGGAAAGGGGCGTGGGAAGCGTGCAGAGTCGTAGCACTGCGTAGAGCGGGGACGAGACGAAGTAGCCGAAGTAAGTAGCGAATCGGTGGGTAGGGCAAAGCAACCAGAACGGGCAGTCTAAGCCAGCCCTCATTGCCTGGCATGGTGTCTTCCTTTCGTCCTGGCCTCTAGATACGATGGCCTGCACGCGCCACAAAGCACAAGCATGCACTCACTCACCCTGGTCCCTTGTCCACAGTCCATTGATTTATTTGGTTGAAACGGACCGTCCTCAGATGATTGCCCTTTATACGACGTAGTGACGGAGACTGTCTGTGGTTTGTATTGTTCCTCAGGTGGCGTAGGAGGGCGAAGGCTTGCCGTTTGGAAGACGATGCCTGCGTCGATCCATGCAGAAGGTGTTTGTTTGCGCCGCGTGCAGAGCGGGACACAGAACCAGAGCAAAGCTTGTTCCGTCAAAAGGGTGAGCAGCAAATGATGTGAGCTGCTTGCAGAAAATGCAGGATGCTTTGCGACATGTAAACGCGGGTAGTGGGCTGCGGATAGCGGAAAGCAGCGTTCACAGCAAGCCTGCATAGAGATTCAGATCCGAGGAGGAAACGAGGGTAGACGAGGGTAGACGAGGGGCATACTTGTCCCTCCTCTCTCCTTCCTAAACCGATCCACAAAGTCCTCGACAACAACACAGGAAAGAACGATGAGTTGAGGTTAAACAACACGAGAAACCAGGAAAGAACGACTGCGTTTTGAACGAACCAATTGTCACGCCGCTTAGCTCAACCTAAGCTCCCCCGTTCCCCGCCATATGCGCCTTCCCTTTTCATGTGCGCAGTAATTACTACTACTTAGTATCCAACTTGTGAGATTTTGCCGTGCTTGTCCGCCGCCTCTCACACACACAAAGACTGGGCCTTGTGCGCAGGGTCGAGCCCACACCACGACCGACAATCCCTCCGCTCCTTCCACATCGTTGCTTAGTTGCTGCCTTACGTGCACCGAGTGCGCGACTTCCTTCCTCGCTCCTCGCATGCGCGTTTTACCGCCTTGCTCTTGGTTGGAACAAACAACATCATCGTGCCGCGGCGTTTCGAAAGTTCCTGTGTGTACCTGAGGGCAGCGAGAAGGAGCACTAACCTGGCCCTTTCCTCGCCGCAACCTTCACGGCAAGATCTGGCCGCATCGCGCTTTCCCACGAAAAATATATGAGACACATCACGTAAAGGCACGACCGCATATATAGTCACGCATAGCGAGCGCCTCTTGTAAGCTTCCTCCTTTCATCTTGACACAACGTCTACTTTGTCGGCTCTGCCTCCCTCTCTCCCTCCCCCTCTCTATTATTCTTCCATTAATCTCCAACAACGCGTCCATTAATCGTTCCCCCGCATCCGCTCATCGTTCATCTCCGGCCCAATTCCATCTCCAAATCTCGTCCGACAGTAGGCAGCTCCGGCACCTGCTTCGACGCATCCCCATCACGATCAACAAACGCAGCACGCCCATCTCGCGCCAGGGCTAGCTTCTCTACGCGAGCTTGTGGTCCCCAGCGACCGAGACGCGCAGGGTCCCTGGCTGAAACCCCGGCGCGGCCTCGTCCTCCACAGATCCCTTGTCTTGGGCTGTTCGGCTGCCGCTGTGCTTGTCTAGGTAGCTTCCGCCCCCTTTTGTTCACCGATCCCATCCCCTCGCCCCTCCATGGTCATACAGCGTGTCATTGCTACCCCCTTCCTCTTTCTTCTGTTGCCCTGTCGCTTCTACTGGTCCTCCTGTGCTCCGTACACCTACTGTCTTTCGTTGTGTATCTTCGATCTCTTTTGTCACCCCTTGTCCTCGTCTTCTTTTTTTGTCCTTTGTTCCCCGTTCCTACCTGACCACTTCAACGTCACCTCCGTGCTCCCGGCTTCGTTGTATCTGGCCTGCCTGGCCTGCCTGGCCTGCCTGGCCACGGACATGTATCGAGGCTGCCTTTGAGCCGTTTTCCGTTTCCTTAACATTTATGTTCGTTTCCTTTACGTCCATGTTGTCTTGTGTAACTTCTCTTCCACTTCTCCCAGAGCCCCGTCCGTCGTCTCGTCTTGCCCTCTACCTTGGTACCATCCTCCTGTTGTCCGTCTTTGTTTTATTTTGTCATCTCTCCCCAACTTTTACGGCTGCTGCAATTGCTACTTGTTGATATTCTTTGCTGAGCACTTCTATGCACAATCGTGCCGATGGAGACTTTCTCTCATCTCTCTCTACGAAGCCCCCCTCCTGAGTCCTTGCGTATTCAGAAATCCCGCCCCTCTCTCGTTTATTTGCAGCTCTGCCGCCCATTGGCGAGGAGCTGCTTTGTAAGAGGGGCAGCAGCTCACTCTTCCTGGAAATCCTTGTGCGCTTTGAGTTTTTTTTTCTCACTGTGTTTTACTCTTCACTTACCTGCCGTGTTGTTTTATGCACGTCACTTTCACTAATCCATTCTTTTCAATCCATCCCTCCTTGCCCACTTCAGTGCGTCCTTTCTTTCTCAGCCTATGCTCCAAGTGGTGGTAAAAACACGACCTTGACTCCCTGCTCTTAAACAAACACCTACACAAAATGATGTGATATCGCAAGTGGATTGTTTTTATGTATGCTTTTACCATGCTACTTAATGTCAAAGACGTACAACGTGATCTAACTGTTACCTAGACACCATATTGTCCTTCAGCCGGTCTCTCCACATGTCGGTCGACAGACGCTCATAGGTGCCACCCGCTCTTCAACCTCTTCTACCTATTTTCAGTTCACTGCCGGCAATACGGCTCTAGTTAGGAACCCAAATAGCTGGTCTGCTGTCAAGACGTGCTCCGGCCTTGTCGTTAGGCCTCGGGGCATGAAACGGCGTGGAGGATGGCTTTCCAGACGGATGTTCTTCGCGATGGCGAGTGGGTTACGGAAACGGTCGCTATCAACGATATGCTCAAGGCAGGTACCAACAACAAACCCAGTGTACCGGAGCAGCGTATCGACCAACCCCCAACTATTGGCATTCTTACCAAAACCGTCATTGAGAGTCCTGTAGCACACTGGATGCTTCCTGTGCGGCTACGGTCTGCTCAGCATATGGACGTCGCCGTTATTGGAGTAAGTTTCCACTCATCTTCCGTTGCTTATCTACGTGCACCTAGTCGTGATCCTTGTCCAAATAATGGGTGGATCATTCACTTTTCCATTGCCAGCTCCTAACCTACTTCCAGGACCACTATGTGCAAATCAGTGAACTAGGACGAGATGGCCGGCTTCGCAACATTGTTCGCAAGACCGATTTTGGGTCTCGTATTCGAAATGCCAAGGTCATCGGTACTTCCCCGGAGAGCGCCACTGACGATGAAAACGACGAGGTTCAGGTCCATATCAAAATTGAAAAAGACGATTCCAAGCTGGACAATGGTGATAACAACAGCACATCTGGCGATGAGGAAATGGGGGGCATGGAGCCACATTGGTCGACCGACAAGGCAGCCGGACTCAGTTTACCTCCACAACAACTTCTCGTCGTGCTCGAAAGCGGCGACTGTGTTTTCCTTTTCATCCACCCCCAAAGCGGCGACAACCCCATATTCGTGTCGACACATTGCCAGCCACTTAGTAACCGAATCGTGCAGCCCGGGTTTCACACATGTGTTGATCCCAGCTCTCGATACGTGGCTGTTGCCTGCCCAGAAAACTTTTTCATTGTACACGAGCTGGAATCCTCTCAAAAGCTCAACGATGCATACTCACGAAACAAACCATTGAAACCCATCAAATACTCCCGCCCCCGTGCCGTGCAGGGCGTCATACACAAGATGGAGTTCTTGTATCCACGTACCGAAGACGACTACCACATCATTCTCCTACTCATTATCGTCAACAATGGAAAGTCTCGGATGGTAACGTACGAATGGGAAGCTGGTGATAACCTTGCAGCCGTTTTCAGGGACGAGAAGAGGGGGCACCCGCTCCCTCCACAGCATCAGATGCCAATTTTGATCGTGCCTCTGACGCTTCACTCGGCTTTTTTTGCTATATCAGCACGTCATATTGGCGTTTGCAAGGATGCACTCAATCTTCCCACCGAGTTCGACGACTTTGCAATGGAAGTACACGAAACATCGCGATTTCACCATGGTCGCGGTATTCCCTATTGGGCAGCGTGGACGCGGCCATACCGGCTCCCCACATACAACACAACACGAGACAGCATCTACCTTGCACGGGAAGATGGCGTTGTCATGTTTTTGGATATCAACTCTGACAACATTCTCGGTGCGTCGGTGGAGATTGGAAAATTTGAGTGCAATATCGGCACAGCATTTTGCAGCTTGTTTGACGACTTTAATGATATTTTGATAATGGGCGGTGACTCCGGCCCGGGCACAATATGGCAGGTATGTTGCCAAACTTGGAGTGAATAAAAAGGGTCAGGCTAGTTGTCATGCTAACAGTGATCGGTGGATCGGTGCAGATCCGACCTCGGCAGCCCAACATGCAGCTTGGGAAAATACCAAATTGGTCCCCAGTCGTTGATTTTGTGACCACCGACGAATTTGCCACGGTCAATGGGCTTGTTGGAGCCAAAGGAAACAAGATAGAGGCCAGGAGTCACGACGCAAATAGACTGTCTGCTGCCCCTCACTTGCCAAATCCAGACCGCATTTTCAGTACTTCTGGTCGTGGTGTTACAGGAGCCATCACCGAGTTTCGACACGGCTTACGCGCAGATTTGGGCCTTGAAGTCGACTATCCCGTACCTGTCAAAACGGCTTGGATATTTGCAACGAGAACCGACGACTATGACATCGAGTTTCAAGTCCTGATCTCTTTGGTTGACAAGTCCGAGGTCTTCTATTTATCCGCCGATCTCGCACAAGTTGGTATTCACGAAGAAGGGACCACATTATACGACTTGGAATCCCGGACGCTGGTCACAGCACAGTTGTCCGAAGACGTGATCGTGCAGGTGACGGAAAACTATATTGTCTTTTCCGGCCCCAGCTCAAGGTAAGTTGACTACGAGGTGTGCAGCCCATTCAAAAGAACTTCTCTAACCTTGACTGGAAAAAACAGCACAAGACACCTGCACACCAACACCTTTCAGAAGCCACAAGTTACAGTCATAGATGCTTGCATATTTGGAGACCTTTTGGCTATCTCAACCCTAGTAGGGACTGTGTTTGCAGGACACCTACTGCAGCTCAAGCCGGACAAAACTGTTGTCATAGTGGAGACATTTGAATTACCGGGTGATGCTACCTGCCTCAGCTTATCTTCATTCTTGGGCTCGCCATATATCGTCGTCGGTCTTATGGTTAATGGAAGTCCATCGATTTTGATTTATCACGTCAAAGACGGCGAAAAATCGCAGTCGATGCTTATTGATCCAGGAAGCGGTAAGTGAATAATAGCTAGCAGGAGCGCGGTCATTGTGCCTACGGACTATTACTTTGCTAACAATGATATAGATGAGTTTACTAGAATTTTTCATGGCCAATCCGATGGGGGGGATCCTCTGTTGAATCGACCGCTCGAATCAATCAGCAGTGTCGCCCTGCTGCCCCGACGTGGAAACGAAGCTGCAATCGTGTTTGGAACAAGAGCAGGCGATCTTGTGACCCTAATTCTTGATGAATCTGGGGTTCTCTCTGGAAATGTAGAAAGAATCGGCCCAAGCACGGTGCAAGTGGTCATCCTCGACGACGTTTACCTCGGAAAAGCAGTTCTGGCAACATGTGATGGCCGGATTTCTATGCATTACGGATCTGGAGAGAAGGCGGCCACGTTCCGATCGACACACACAGTCTGGCCATTTGATGCCGCTGCCCTCAACAAGCCAGCACCATATATCAACAGCGTGACTGTGCTAACCGGCGGTCTGCCTGGCCGCCTGAACAAAACGCAACTTGTACTTTCGTCAACAAAACAATTTATGCTGGCAGAACTACACCCTCAGCCGGGGCCGGTTCAACGTAGCTTACCACTCAACGGCACGCCTGCCAAGGTGATCTACTCCCACACGCTTGGCTGCTTGGTTGTAGCAATCAAGGATCTTGAAAATCGGCCCACGCTCCAATTTATCGATCCCGACACTGGAGAAGACCAATCGATGCCGACCGACAAAAATGGCGAGGCCGTTGAGTTCGTATCCGGCCTTGGCAAATCAGGCGACCAGATACTGTCGCTAGGTGAGTGGAACTACGAACGGCAAGGAGACAAGTGGGTATTTTTGCTTGTTTGCACCAAGGGTGGGCGTTTCCTCATCCTTTCTACGACACGCACCATTGTCGACCAGCAACCAAAAGTCAAGTACTGGACGCGATACAAAAAGAGCTTTGCCGAGCCCGTGCATTCTGTTGTCAGCCGAGGTGAGGATGTGTTCTCCTGCGTGGGCTCGACGATTTACTGGGACAAATTGGATCTAGAGGTGAAGCGTCTAAGCACATGCGGGACGTTTGAGTTAAATTCATCTGCAACATCTCTCCGGATTGTCAATCACAAGCTCGTGGCAGTGACCGACGACGATGGCTCGGTCGAGATCATCGACATATCCGATGGCGCTCCAGGCGAGATGGCACTGTACCACGGAGACTCGGAGCAAAGGTCTGCAACGCACATGATTGAGATCGGCAGCAAGATATCAGGCAACGATCTTGATACGTCTCTACTTCTGGTGTGTGGTCGCGATGCGACGGCTTCCGGATTGTGGATCCCATGGCGGCAACCGGGGAGAGACTGCTCAGTGATTTTCGAAGCCGACTTGCCCGCGTCGGTGCGCAAACTTGTGCGTGGACGGACTCGTCCAAGCTGGCAGCAGGCCCGGCGCAAGGTGCAGTACGGTCTCGTCCCAAGTACGCCTGACGAAGCAGAAATCCTAGGTGTATGCCTCGATGGGTCTTTGCAACACTTTACGCTCCTTGGCCTACCGATTTGGCGCCTTCTACGACTTGTGCATGAATTCGCATTGAGCTCGCCAGTTCTCTTTCCTTTTACGTACGATGAAAACGACGAAGACGACGACTATGAAAACGATTCAAGAACAAGCGACAGTACGGTTATGCACATTGACGGAGATATGCTACAACGGTGCTTGGACAAACGAGCCCTCGAGCAGCTCTTTGCGAAGCCTTCACGCGCCGCGAGACTATATGCCGTACTTGAGAAGCTCGACAATGGTGTTTTAACGGCAGGCTTCGACCACCTGCAAGGACCTACCTTAAATGCAGGGACGCATTCTGAGGCGAATGGAACACACGGACCAGCTCTCGATGAGCGAACTCGCAGATGCATCAAGTTGCTCTACACTATTTTGGAGTACTATCTGCAACCGGCCATCTGAGACATGACACCGACAGTGCGTGCGCAAAGTATACGAGACTACCATACTCGTACTGCAGCGACTCCACATGCTCATCATTTCTTGTCAGTTATTGTTGTTTTTTTACTGTTCCGTCATCTTCGTATGAATTTTTTCACGGTCTTTGCTTGTTCGGCTTTCTTTTGTTCTAGGCGCATTACTACAACATTTGGGTCCCGGATTTCACTTTACAGAGATGCGGATTCATAGAGGCGGATGGCAGGCTGCACATTATACGATAGTAGAAGGTTTTGGCTCGTTCGGTTTGATATTGTTGCAGTTGCTTGCCGGTTAGGAGGTGCATTTATTGACGGTCCGGGTGGTGCGGCCTCGTTCATAAAAGTAAGCTACAGCAACAAAACATATGAAAATTTCAAGGCAAGGCCGAGTTAAAATGCATTTGGAGGACCGGATTTTCTGTTGTGAAGCCCGTAAGCTCAGCCGTACTGCCAGGCTTAATAAAAATGCTTGAACACTGGTTGTGACGGTGACGTCGTGAGAACTATCCAAAGCTTAAACCGCATGTGACAGAAAAGTTGACAGTAGGTTGAGTGATTCAGAAGAAATAAAGCAAGTATAGGTCTTAGTTTATATATAGGTGTGTATCAATCAAAGAAAACAAATTACTTCAAACGATTTTTCTTTTTTCTTCTTTTATTTGAAAAAATGTGTTCTAAATAATTTCTATATTAATTCTCATAAAATGATCAATGTTATCGTCGAACGTCTACAAAATACTGCAGAGTCAGGGGTTAATTGTTGCCGTTCAGAATCGATCTATGGGCTTTTCTCAAACGAGTATAATTAGTGGGGCCGCCGTATTGGGCTAGATGGGCGCTGTAGTAGTGGCGCATATCAGTGTCAGTGAATTGCCCCTCATGCGCTGGCCAGGCCAGGTCAGTTGCGCAAAGTGTCCGGCGTTGGTCTGTCGTGCCTTCCCCGCACACACGCGCTGAAATACTGCAAAAAGATATGTTCTTGCCTACCGGACTTAATTTTTTGCCCACCCGCGCCTTCCTTTCTTAGGCTGGGTGGCCATTAACGTAGAGACTTAGTCTCGCCCTGGCTATTTTTTTTCTGCGGTTTCCAGAAATCCTCAAACACTTTGTTCTCGCCAACAGCCTCTGTCGATACCTCGTTACGACAACAAACAAGAACGACCAACTGCACTTATCTTGTATACGAGATAGTGCTGGCAACCGACGGAACGCGTCACATACCATACCGGCCGTCACATCCCCTCTCCCCCTCCCATTTCCACGTGGTACTACGAATCTGCCACGATGCCGCCGAAGAAGAAGGGAGGCAAGAAGGCCAACGACGATTGGGAAGCCGAACTCGGCGAGAGCATCGCACCCGTTTCTACGGCCCCGCCCGCCGACGGTGACGCCAAGAATGACGACGACGACGAAGGCGGCGGCGGCGGCGGCCTGATGGCCGTGCTGCGCAAGAACAAGGAGAAGCGCAAGAAGAAGGGCCTCTCCGAGGAGTTTGAGGACCCCAACGCCACGAACGGCAATGGCGATGCCTCAGCTGAGCCTGCTACCCTGCTGGCCGACAGGGCGCCCGTTGAGGCCACCATGGACGACGAGTTTGCCCTCCCCGAGAAGAAAGGCAAGGGCGGCAAGGGCAAGCAGGCACCCGCAAAGGCCGAGCCTGCAGACGAGGATGACGACAACAGCGGCCGCATACTGACTAAGGCCGAGAAGGAAAAACTCAAGAAGGAACGCGAGAAGCAACGGAAGAAGGAGCAGGCTAGCAAAAAGAAGTCTGAGCCAGCAAAGGCACCAGCCAAGGCCGCACCCGCAGCTGCTGCCGCACCTGTTGCTGCTGCTGCTGATGCTGCGGTTCCCGCTCCCGGACCTGCCGCGGCCGGTGGCAAGAAAAAGAAGATCCCTGCACACTTGCTTGCCATTCAGAAACAGCAGGAGGAGCTCCGTCTCCGCGCAGAAGAGGAGCAGCGTCTCTTGGAACAAGAAAAGGCCCGCATTGCGGAGCTCGAGCGGCAAGAGGCCGAAGAGGCGAAGCGCAAAGAGGAACAAAGAGCATTAAAGAAGCAAAAGGAGAAGGAGCGGATCGAGCAGCTCAAGAGGGAGGGCAAGTACCTTACCAAGGCACAGAAGGAGGCCAAGGCTCGCAACGAGCAGAAGCTCCAGCAGATGATGGCTGCGGGCATCAAGGTAGGCGGTCTGGATCAGACGGGCGCCGATGAAGACAAGAAGAAGTCGTCCACAGCGGACCGGAAGCGCAATGCCGGCCGCAAGGCCAAGGTTGACGAGGAGAAGGTCCTGGCCGAGGCTGCGGAGCGCGCACGCCTGAACGCCGAGAAGCTGGCCAAGGAGGCCGAGGAGCGCGAGAAGGCTGCCAAGAAGAAAGCCAAGGAGGAGGAAAGCAAGGCTGCCGCCACCGCCGAGAGCGATATTGACGATGACTGGGAAACTGCTGCCGCCACTGCTTCCAAGACGGAGGATGTCAAGGACAGCTGGGACGCCGACTCGGACGAGGAAGACAAGAAGTCTCTACCGGTCCGGCCAAAGAAGAAGAGCGGGGAGGGCGAGGACGACGACGACGACGACGACGAGAATGACGACGACGACGACAGCGATGAGGACAGCGAGGATGACAGCGACGAAGACACCAGCGAGGACGAGCAGGAGTCGGCCGCCAAGGCTGCCGAGGCGCAGCGCAAGCGTGAGCTGGCCGAGCTGCGCGAGAAGGAGCACCAGGCCGCTCTGGCTGCACGGTCCAAAGACAACCTGCGGTCGCCCATTTGCTGTATCATGGGCCACGTCGACACAGGCAAGACCAAGCTGCTGGACAAGGTCCGCCAGACCAACGTCCAGGAAGGCGAAGCAGGTGGTATTACTCAGCAGATTGGTGCTACGTACTTCCCCATCGAGGCCATTCGACAAAAGACCCAGGTTGTCAACAAGGACAACTCGTTCGACTTCAAGGTCCCCGGTCTGCTTATCATCGACACCCCCGGTCACGAGTCGTTCTCCAACCTCCGTTCCCGTGGTTCGTCGCTGTGTAACATTGCTATCCTAGTCGTCGACATCATGCACGGTCTGGAGCCCCAGACGCTCGAGTCTATGCGCATGCTGCGTGACCGGAAAACGCCCTTTATTGTCGCCCTCAACAAGATCGATCGTCTCTATGGCTGGAAGAAGGTTGATAACAACGGCTTCCAGGACAGTCTGGCGCTGCAGAACCGAGGCGTCCAGAACGAGTTCGCCAAGCGCCTCGAGCAGACCAAGGTCGCCTTTGCCGAGCAGGGTTTCAACTCGGAGCTCTTCTACGACAACAAGCAAAAGTCCCGTGTCGTGTCGCTGGTGCCCACCTCCGCCCACACAGGCGAGGGTGTCCCTGACATGCTGAAGCTGCTCGTCCACTTGACCCAGGAACGTATGGCTGAATCGCTGATGTACCTGTCCGAGGTGCAGGCGACCGTGCTCGAAGTCAAGGCCATCGAGGGCTTCGGTATGACCATTGACGTCATCTTGTCGAACGGTATCCTGCGTGAGGGTGACCGCATTATATTGTGCGGTGTCGAGGGTGTTATCAAAACAAATATTAGAGCCCTGCTCACACCTGCACCAATGCGCGAATTGCGTGTTCGGTCTGCCTACGTGCACAACAAGGAGGTCAAGGCCGCCATGGGTGTCAAGATTAGCGCGCCCGGCCTCGAGGGCGCTATTGCTGGTTCTCGGCTGTTGGTTGTCGGCAAGTACGACGACGAGGACGACCTTGAAGAGGAGGTCGAGTCCGATCTCGCCTCTGTCTTCAGCCGTGTTGAGAAGTCTGGTCGCGGTGTCAGTGTGCAGGCCTCGACGCTGGGTTCGCTCGAGGCTCTGCTAGACTTTTTGAAGGACTGCAAGATCCCCGTCGCCAATGTCGGCATTGGTCCGGTCTACAAGCGTGATGTCATGCAGACCGGTATCATGCTGGAAAAAAGCCCCGACTACGCAGTCATGCTATGTTTCGATGTCAAGGTCGACAAGGAGGCTGCCGCCTACGCCGAAGATCAGGGGGTCAAGATCTTTACGGCCGACATTATCTACCACTTGTTTGATGCCTTCACCAAGCACATGGCCGTCCTGAGCGAGAAGAAGAAGGAGGAGTCCAAGATGCTGGCTGTCTTCCCTTGCGTGCTCAACACCGTCGCTGTCTTCAACAAGACGGCCCCTATTGTCGTGGGTGTCGATGTTGTCGAGGGCAACCTGCGCATCAACACGCCTTTGGCCGTCGTTAAGACCAACCCCAACACCAACCAGAAGGAGATTATCAGCGTCGGCAGAGTGTACGTTTGCCCTTTCAAACTCTTAACAATGTTGAATTCAAAAAAAAAAAAAAAAAAAAAAAAAAAAGACCAATTCCCATACTAACTAAGCGTTTAGGACCTCCATTGAGCGCGAACACAAGCAAATCCAGATCTGCAAAAAGGGCCAGCCGTCTGTGGCCGTTAAGATCGAGATGGGTGGCCACCAGCCAGCCTATGGCCGTCATCTGGAGGAGTCGGATACCCTCATCAGCCAGATTTCGCGTGCCAGTATCGACACACTAAAGGAGTTCTACCGCAGCGACGTCTCGGACGACGAGTGGAAGCTGCTGATCAAGCTGAAACCTGTCTTCAACGTGATCTAGGAACCGGAGACAAGTAACGCATACTCTAGATGTCTTGTCCCTCTTTTCTTTTATATGTTGAATTCTCATGCGATTCATTTTGTCTCGATTTTATGCTAAAATAAGACGGTGGTTTTTCATGTACTTTATTCATTTTGGTTTTTTTTGCTTTTTTGCTACCACATCTTGCGTCTTGTTTTGTCCTTTTAAAGAGAAAAGTTTACATTTAATTTCGAAAATAACACCAAACAAATACAATAAGTAACACTTATGGGTAGCACATTTTTTGGGTGACGAGGGATGCCGCGCTTGCAGAGAAACGTTCTATCTTCTTGACAATCCGTATTGTATCATGGAGTTCTGGTTTTTATTTGTCGATGAAATGATGCCTTATGGAGAGTCCTTCTAAAACATTTCTTGAAATTATCGCGAAAGAGTGGTGCCCTCGCTTGGCCATGGTTGGTGTGACGATTTTATGCGTGGCCGTTGTTAGGCAAAAATGTCCCAATACAATAAACACACTGTGAATAACAAAAAAAAACCTCGTTTCAAATTTATCTCGCATGAAAACAACAGAAAATGAAGATGGAAAGCAATAATCCATCAAAAAAAGATTAAAAAAAAACACACAAAAGTCACTATCCTTCCCTTTGTTCCTTCATGATCTAAATCGGTTTTTTATCGTCAGAATTCTTTCTCGTTATCTACATTTCACCGTCTGCCATTCAGTCGACCTCCTCAATCGTGGGGTTCTTAGCCGGGTCGGCGTCGGGCATCTCGGCATCCGGGGCGTTGGGGTCACCGTTGGCCGCGTTATTAGCAATGGCAGCCTCCTCAGTCGCCTTCTTGGCGGCGGCCTTCTGGGCCAGCTCAGCAGCCAGCTTCTGGCGCTCAATCTCGTTCTGCTCCCACCAACGCTGGTGGATGGGGCCGACAAGAGCGCTGATCTCCTCCTTCTTGGAGCGGTAGATGGACATGGTGGTGTCGTAGCCATCATCCTCGAGCCAGTCCTGGGTGGCGGTCAGCTTGGCCAGGATCTTTTCCCGGTCGCTGTCGCTGGAGAACTTGACGTAGATGCCATCGTATTCCTCCTCGCCGGAGTCGCTCTTGGTGAGCTTGTCGCGGACGTCGTAGATGTAGGACTCGAGAGAGTTCTTCATCTCCTCTGTGTCGAAAACGAGCTTGTCGTTGGCAGTCATCTTGCCTTCCTTCTCCTTGGCATCCTCAACGGCGGGCTGCTCCAGAGCGTTGGCAGCCGAGACGACCGGCAGGTTGTCCTTGCGGACCTGTTTGCGGACCTTGCGGGTCTTGGGCTTGACCTCCTCCGCGGGGGCGTCCGTGTCCATAGCCTCGCCTGCTGGAGCGGCAGCGTCGTCCGTCTTTGGCGGCTCCTCTTCTTTGATTTCCTCTTCGACCTCCTGGTCCTCGACAGAGTAGGCGCTGTCCAGATTTAGGACACCGTCAGGGTTGACGCGGGCACGCAGCTTGCAAGTCATGTAGTCGTCGGGGCCACCAATAGTGGGCTTGACGCCTTTGACGGAGAAGCGAGCGATCCACGGCTTCATGCCAGCGGGGATGTCCTGCGGCTCGTAGTAGCGGGCCTCCAGGTCAAAAGGCCGTTTCCGGAAGAAGGTCAGGACCTTGGTGGAGGGCATGGCGTTACCCTTGCCAAAGACAACCAGGTTCGGCTCCTCGTCGGGAATATCGTTGGCCTTCTCCCAGGTGAACTCGATGGGGTAGGAGACAACATCGTGCACGGCGAACTCGCGCACGCGGAAGATGGGCGACTGCAGGGCGCTGGCGAAAGCACAACCCCGGGCAACAGCCTCGTCCTGGTTCAGGGTGAAGGACAGCGGCTTGCCGAAGAAGTCCTGGATGCGCTCCTTGATGGCAGGGACACGGGAACCGCCACCAACGACCTCGACGATGTCAATGTCCTCCTTGGACAGGCCGGCGTCGGCCAGAGCCTGCATCAGGGGCACGGTGGTTCGGGACAGCAGAGGCTCGACCAGCGACTCGAAGTCGGCGCGGGACAGCGAGGTGGAGACGTCCTTGTCTTCCATCAGCATCTCAATGTTCAGGGGGGCGGTCTGGTTGGCGGAAAGAATCTTCTTGAGCTTCTCGGCGGCGACCAGGACACGAGCACGAGCACGAGCGTTCGTGTTGATGTCCACGGCCAGCTTGGGATTGGCGACGAACTCCCTCTGGAAGTGGTCGACAATGGCCTTGTCAAAGTCGCGGCCACCGTAGTGGCGGTCAAATGCAGTGCCCTTGACGGTGAGCTCGCCCTTGCGGAACTCGACGACCGAGGCGGTGAAGGTAGAGTGACCGACATCGACGAACATGACACGGCGGGGTTTCTCGTCACCGGTGGGCAGGTCAAGCTTGGTAATGCCGTAGCCAAGGGCGGCGGCAGTGGTGTCGTTCAGCAGGCGCTGCACCGACAGGTCGGCAATGTTGAGGGCTGTGATGAGGCTGCGGCGTTGACGGTCGGTGAACCAAGCAGGCACGCTCAAGACCAAGTTTGTGACAGGGACCTTGATCTCGTCGGCGGTCGACTGCTTGATCTTGCCAATGAACATGGCCAGCAGCTGTGTCGCAGAGAAGCGCTCCTTCTTGCCGAGGTACGAAACCTCAGCGCCGACCTCGCCATTGACGTCGATGAGAGGCGCAGAGATGTACTGCTGCTCGATCTGGATGTCGGCCTCCTTAAAGGAACGGCCGACAAGGCGCTTCAGAGAAGAGACGGTGTTCTTCAGGTTGGAGATCTCCTGTGTCTTGGCGGCCTCACCGAGGTAGCGGTTCTTGGGGCCGAAGCCGACGAGAGAACTAAAAGAAACATGTTAGACAGAGTCGGGACCGGAGGGGAATGCATCCCGAGTAGGGAAGTAAGCCAGGATGGGGTATAGACTCACGGAGTCGCGCGGTTGGACACCTCGTTGGTGATCTACAGAAAGGGACGGGTAGTTAGCAAAGCTTGTTGGGCCGCGAAGCGAAAGTAGGGCGAGGGAACAGTCGGAGAAGCAGAGGTCAGGCGGTGACAACGTTGTTATTGTGCCACAACGCTGGCTAGAAGCAAAAAGGAACGATCGAACGACAACGGGACAAGGCACGAATAACTTACCACGTCGACACCACGGTTGCGGGCCACGGCGACCACCGTGTTCATGGTGCCCAAATCAACACCTGTGACATTGTTAGTGGACCGCAATAGCAAACTGCCTCCCGGGAGCAGCGGAAGTGCGACAGGAATGCCGGGGCATGGCCTAGGCGTCAAGACTTACCGACAACACTCATGATGGGCGAGTATATGCGAAACGGCCGGGAGAGGTGTTGATGAAGGTGGGATGGGCGAGCTTAGATCAATTGTGATCTGAACGGCAGGTGAAGAGAGAGAGGGGTTCGTTTGCGATGGGTCGTACCAGGTCCGTTGGGAGAGGGTGAGGACAATTCGGTGATTACGATGGCAGAGTAGAGATGCGGTAGGGTGTAATCAGAGGAAAACCTTTTTTTGGACACCTTTATTATGTATCTCTCGGTCGTCTGCGGTCGCTTTTGGGAAGCAGAAAAAAAAAACTAGAGGAAAGAAGGCGGCTGCCCGCTAGGTTGGATAATAATAGTGGGGTCGTTGCTGGCTTTCGCCTTGGTTGCTCCTTCTCTTTCTCTGCGTTTCTACCCCCGTAACTGTCCGTTTGGAGGGGGAGGGGAAGGAGCGACAGGGCAGAATAAAAGCGTCCACACAGAGCAGGAGGCGGCAAGAGCGACGGAGGGGCAACTCAGAAGAAGCTACTCTTTGGTGTGGGTTGTACCTCAGAAGTACCTTTGTCGTAAACTCAGGCTCGGTAATAGAAAGAATGGGAAAAAAGTTGATGACACTGATTTCGAAAGAGGAAAAGAGATCAAAGACAACGAGTTTTTTTAAAAAAAATAAGAAAAGTATGCGAAAGTCCAAACTGCGAAAAGCCAAAGCGTGGGATGCTTGTTGATGATAGCGATGCCCAGCCTTGTTCCAGGGCAACAAATAGCAGTTGGGCCAAGAAGCGTAAAGAAGCTTCGAGATGTTCCTAGCAACGGGGAAGGCGCAGGGTAGGAGGGGCAACTTCCTACAGTTCTTAGCATGCAAAACTCTGATTCACCTGAAGAAAAACAACGTGGGCGGCTCACCGCCTTCCCAATTCGACTACAAGCGAAGTCGCGTCAAGGTACCTTCCACTGCGCGTTGTACGACATACTCGCATCTCTCATTGGGCTTCAACAGTGAAAGCGCTGGACTCTTTTTATAAATCGCATTATGCAGTTTTCTACAACGGGATGTTTTAATAGTTAAGCGCAAAAATAGCACAAAGTATTAAACATCAGGCGCCCTTACATCTTTGAACTGCTTTTAACTTGTTTCCTTTGACGGTCCTCTGCTAATTATTCACGCGCGCACGCCACCTGTCAGTCTTAATGATGCATGATGGCCCCCCCTGGACCACAGGTCACTCTTCACTGTCTCCTCTCCTTCCTCAGCGAGGAGGCGATAGATTCGCCTGTAGCTTGGCGTCGTCTGCTCCCTTGTCTTCAGCGCTCTGGTCGTCTGCGTCTCTCTCCTCCTCGCTGCTTGGAGACCTCGCTATATAGCCGAGGCGCCCAAGCGGGCTAGGACGGACGGCCGAGCCTACCTGTGTAAGCGAACCGCCCCCGCTCAAGGGAGAGTGCGGAGGCATAGCTGACATGGTAGGTTGTGGCTGAAGGTCCGGTGAGGATGCAGCGGAAACTGAGCGCGAGGCAGAGTGCCGTGAGCCAATGCTGTCATTGCTGGCTAGCCTTCTGTGGTCGGGGCGTCGAGGCGCCAAATGGTGGCTATTGACCTCTCTGTGGCCATGCGCGTCGCCCGTGTTCGCAGCCACCTCGGCGTCCGTGTAGAAACCGGCCTGTTGCATTTCTGCGTCTGAACGGTACTCGTACACCTGGCCTGGTGAAGGCATACCAAGAAGATGATGGCCTGCCGCGGTCGTTGTACCCGTGACAGTCGTGCCCGGGAAGCTCAGCTGGCTCGCTTGGGCCATTTCATATTTCCGACGGTCTTCATCGCTCATGATACTTTCCACTCGGCGTGGCATATAGACGGAGTTATTGTGTCCACCGCCACTGCCTCCCGGAATTGTGTTGTTTGATAAGAAACTCTCAAACGAGTCCCGGGGGTGTAGCGTGATGTACGGGCTGTTCCGCCCTCTGTTGCCAAGGTAGTTGCCATTGTTGTTGAGAAGTGATGGCGACGACTGGCCGAGAAGATTGAGACTGATCAGCGAGTCGTCCGGATAATGATACCAGCCGGTTGACGACCGCTCCGGGGCAGAGAACATGCCATCGATCTTGTCCGGTGGCTGCAACATGACCCGGCCACTCTTGGACCGGTTAACGGTATTTTCGTCGTTTGCGTTGCCTTGTTGATCCTGCGACAAGGGAAACCCGCTTTGGGGTGCGTTCTTTCTCTCGAAATAGCTACCCTCGCCGACTGTATCGGGTCTGCCAAACTGAGAAGTATTTGCTGTCGCCCGAGACACACCTGTATCACCAATGGAAGCAATGGCAGCCGCGTCCAGTCCTTTGGCACCTGAAGTGACGACCAAGCGCCCACCGGGACCCGATATAGATTTTCCGTCTGTAACAGCCAATCGCTTGCCACTCTTTTGGCGTTGAACCTCAGCAGCGGGAAGAAACGTCTCCGGGACAATATTGAGATCGTCGCCCTGCTCCTCAGCCTTCTCAATTGCCTCTTGCACTGTCGTCTTCTCCCCGTCGGCGGCGGCTGCATCAGCCCGAGGGCCGCCCCATGTTCGCTGGCCGGCCGTGAAGATACCATATACCATGTAATACCAATTGAAAAACGGGTTGAGAATGAACATGAGCGGGTAAAGCATGATTTTGAACCGACGGAGCTTGAAGCCAAAGTAGATCATCAAGACCCAGTTCAAACCCAAGGACACGCCAATAAACCCCACCGGCAGGTCGGCTATCTTCTTCGATGTTGTCATGAGTGCCAACACCATGATAAAGAAGAGTAAGGCAGTTGTTCGGATTGTGTTTTGCATGAAGCGAACTAGGATCAGAATAGGATATCGCTTCCAGAGACGCCAGTCCGTCAACATGCACACCTCATTGGTGATGAAACCTAGGAACCAGCGGCGGCGCTGCTTGATAAGTGACTTGACCGTCTGGACGGCCTCCGTTTTGCAGAAAGCAGACGTGCACATCTGGATCTGATACCGCTTCTTGGCACCGATCATGAACAGATGTGTGAGCCAACGGTCTTCGCCAAGATGACACTTGGCAAAGTCGAACAGGTCCTCACACTGCTCAGCTTTATCGGCAAAGTAATATTTGGCCATACGTCGGAATGCAGAGAAGCGCAGCATCGTAAGTGCGCCTGGAAGACAAGTGACAGCACCACAGCCAGACTCGACTGTCCGCTCAAACAGCTGGCCGTGCACGTACTCCATATCTTGCAAAAGCGTAATCAAGCTGTGACGTTGAGTCGTGGATGTGATGACACCTGTCATGGCTAGCATGTCGCGTCGGTTACCGGGGCTCAGTTCCATGTCGTAGACGAAATTTTGAAGACATACGCGGTCAAGGATGCAATCGGAATCGATGAAAAGTATGAACAAGTTGTCGTTCCGCTTCAAGTATTGCTGATAGACGCGGTCGATGAGCTTAAATGTTGACTTCTGGCAATGCCTTTTCCCACCGTGCGGGAAACGGGAAACGGTGACGCGTGCCGAGTGGTAGGTCACGTCAATGCTTTTCGGGTATGAATCAAGGGTCAATGGCACCCCTAGTTTTTCGATCGTGTTGAGATAAAGCTCATCCTCCTGGTCACCGTCGAATGATAAGAAGACGTGGATACATGATGGAGGATAATCGCACTCGACAACAGAGTTGATTGCTGTTATGAGGACTTCAGGTTCTTCCCGGTAGCACGGCATGACGACAACGACCTTTGGTGCCGATATTTCGTCCAGGACTTGTTTGATTCTCTTTGTTCGTCCCAATTGGTGTGTGACGATCTGGTAGATGCAGAATAGCCATGGAACAGTCAAGAGGCCTGCAAAGCTCCAGAATGCAAACCACTGTAAAACAGAGACCATACCGGCAGGCCACATTCGCACAACGGCAGAAGGCAGAGGAAGCGTCACGATCATAATGGGCAAAAAGATAAACCTGCAATGGAAATGGGTTGTGTTAGCGTATTTTGTCTCTGTTGGGACATCAAAAGTCAGGGGCAGACAACAAACCGTAATAATGTAAACGCTAGTCCAACAATGATAGCTAGGACATTGACCGTCCAATGCTCAGCTTTCCGGAACACTTTCCATAAGCAATATAGGAAAGCAGCAATCCATAAGAACCATTCTAGACAGGCTGCGACCATAACCAATCCGACAATAGCGGTGTAGACAATCTGGTCAAGGAATTGTTAGCGAAGTATCAAGACGGCATCAAGTTGGACTGGGAATACTCACGTCGTGGATTGGCCACGGGGTGTCAATGTTTGTCGCCATTTTCTTTCACTGAAGGACCAGCCCAGGTTGCAATTACGACGTATTGAGGTTGCCAATGCGCATTGGTGTCGCCGAGATGGCCCTCTATAACAGCTTTGGCAAAGCCTCAGCTGCTGGCGGGGCCACACCTATTTGTATCGAGAGGTGACAAGTATGCGGCAAAAATGTTGTTATTTTAAGACAGGTGTTCGGAGAGGAGACGGACAAAATAGGACGCAGTTGTAAGGGGGTGTGAAAAATGACGAAAATGCGTTGTCATGCAGCCATCCGGTCCCAAAGCTTAGTAGTGCCTTTTTTGTAGTCCTGTTCGCAGGTCGTGAACGTGTGGAGTAAAGTCCGATGAAGTTGTTTAATAATAGGCCCAGAGACTGCAATTGCAAAATCAAAGGACGAAGACGATGATCCGTGGTAGATTGGACTTTCCTACTCTTTCTCGCCGCGGATTGTTGGCCTGTACTTCTTGCTGGGAAGTTTACACTGAGGAGGCAACAACCGGTTACCTGCAGAGCGTGGCGGGTGGAACAAGGCAACCAGGATATACACGATGTGGTATGTGTCGTAAAAACAGGGGTTGACAATAGCAAAGGGCTTGCTGTGGGGGGATCGTAGTCGAGGAAAAGTCGAGAAAAACAACACGAAAGTTCGTGCAACAGTACCAGGGGCTTGTGGAATAGGAGTGTCGAGGCGAAACCAGCAAAGTGCATATGCGACGGGGAGCACGATTGTTGGTAAGCGAGAGAATATCGTGATCCAGAATATGCACACTTAGGCTCGTGTTAAATTCTCAGCGCGGTCGCATTCGTGACTAGTCGTTTGTCAACACAGCGGAAATCGTGCTATGCTGCGCATGAAGCTGTGGCACTGTGGTAGGAGTGACAAAAGGTGCCAGTGTTGGTATTTGCGTAACGCAAGTACGACCGTACGATAATTCAGGAAATCAGGGCGTCTTCGAGTCGACTGATGTTGTGTCTCTCTGGCTCGGTTAAAGTCTCCCTTGCCCTCTTGATGCGGACACTGACCAAGTACTGAAGAGACGTTGGATTGTATAAGATCAGTATTGAGATGTAAAAGGAGAAGAGAGGCCACGAGTTGAAAAGGTATAATTAGGAGATAGAAAGGAACACAGTATCAGGAAATAGAGGTCGGGCAACCGGGTCGTATAAACGAGATCGAGCAAAGATGCAATGAGAGAAGTAAGAGGAACGCGTGGCGTTTATGGCCCGTTGTGGAGATGATGAAGGAAAGAAGAATCAGAGTGTTACGAACCAGTGCATGAGAACAGGCGAATAGCAGGGTTGACACAAAAATTTCAGAAACACAGTGACGGGCGGCCGGCCAAGCGAGAAGGGAGGAAAAAGACGGGATAGGGAGAGGCCGGCGATGACGAGTATCAACTTGGTCTAAGGAAACAACTGTCCACGAAAGAAGCTGTGCATATAACCACTTAAGGATAGAATAGGCTCTCTGTGAGCTTTTGCAGTAGCTCTCGACTTTTCCTAAGATTTGTTCGCTGTCAATGAGGCTATTCGTCGTCGCAATATGCTCGCTCATCCTCCCGTCCTCGCTGACTCCATATTTTGAGCCCTCTTAGATCGTGGCGATCCACTGTGGTTCATCTGGCCGAAAGCGACAAAAGCGTTAGCAACGAGTCAATGCTCCCGAGTGGCCGCTAGAACAGGAAAACCGAGACGGCACTGGGAAACAGACAATAAGCGGGATGATTGCAAAAAGGCCAAAGAAAGAGGCTATAGGTCACAGGAAGTAGCGAGACGATGGCGTGCAGGAAAAACGGCAGAGATGGAGATGGAAACAACATAGCCCAAGGCGGCAGTGCGGTCCTGGATGGTAGCTTCATTTGGACGGGGGGCAAGTAAAGTGTCCAACGGTTCAAAAAAGATCCAAGAGCATACTTAGCTGCTATACAGGCTGAATGGATGGCTGGTTCATAGGTAAGAATCCGCTGGGCAGTGGGTGACGGAGTAAACGAGAGAGTAGTGGAAATAATTACACTCTGGGCGAGAAGCAGGCTTTCGCGACCTCCTGGACGGAGCCGACTGCCGGGTCTAGTAATGAGGCTCGTATCATGAACTGCGATGCTAGCCCTGAACGAGGACAGATGTTGAAAGAATTGAGATGGTGGAAGTGTCGGGGCGGAGGAAGACAGCTTGTACTATCTTTTTTTGGTCTTTTCTGTAAAGTTCGTGATGTGGCAGATGGGGAACGACAGTCGTACAGAAAAGGCAATAAGGAAGCGCGAGAGTCGTGTATGCAGCTTTGCATTCACCTGTTCGGATGTCCAAACAGTCTTTTACAAACATACGTGCAGGAGCGACCCAGGTCACTAAGCGGTACGCTCTTTCCGTTTCAATCTGTTCAATCGACCTTCGCTCTTTCCCTATCTTCCTCATCCGGTCTCACCTTGGCAAAAATGGAAAGCGTGGAAGACGCGTAACCGCAATATAACGAATAAGTAGAGTCAATTGAAGATGACCCACCAAATTTGCCCGAAAAGCAGACGGAGAGATGTTCGACGGGATCTCGTGGGAAGGGGCAATTAGGATAAATTGCAGTCACAAATCGGATGCGTATACTGGTGAATCGTGGCACAAATTACCAGGATCAGGTTTAATAGGTGTGGCTATTTGTAGAAGTGACCGCAAACTCCGTGGCTCAAAATCGCGGTCTGAAGCGCACCTGCCACGAAGATGCAGAGGCGGTTCACGTTGCGCAACTCGAACGGAAGGGGCGATGTAGGAGCCCACGAACAGGAGACACTGTTTACTGTCAACATGGAGACTTCCGTGCTTCGAAATATTATTCACGTGATAATTGCCAGAGCCGTTCTTTCCTTTGCAGTGGGCTTTGCCCTTTATGTTTTCTACCGTTCAAGCTCTAGATATTATTTCGGAGCGTAGCGTATCTCTTTCCGAGAGTGGATGGTCCAGATCACACGAGAGCCATTAAATCTACTTCCAGCAAAATGCAACGAGTTGCAACAAGTTGTGTAAACTGTACAAGGAACTCAATCTACGCCGACGACATGACTTGGATTGGGAACGTGGGTACTTCGCAGGCACTATTGTATTCATTCTTCCTCGTGTCGTAGCAAATTATGTTGCTCCGTCGTCAAAGAGAAATTGTTTCCGGTCTTACTTTGACATACTGCGCGCCATTCCATGACTTGGAGTTTGAAACGAGGCCAACAAGGGCTCACCGCCGACGTGGCGAGCTATTCGTCGTGAAATATGTCATCTGACGATACGGTCACTGCGCCTACTGTTCATCTGCTGGAACGGCAATCCCTCGCTGGTCGATACTTAGCCGGTTCTCTTGCTGTCGTGATGGGCGATATGCCAGGACGGCATAGCATCCAAAACAAGATGCTCAGGCCATTTCAGAGAGACGTTTCAAGACCAGTTTGTGCAACTATGTCCGCGTTGCGGCCCAAGACTCCGTTAGATTGTGCCACCGACGACGTGGGCGAGAGCTGAGGTTTTAAAAGGAGCGATTCAATCCGAAGATGATATCGTATTAAGTCCTACTGGCAGAAAGACGTTGGTTAGGCCGGCATCGGTCTTATTGGAAAGTTGGGGACATTGGCGACACATACCAATCAACGTCGCTAAGTTGCAGCTTCCGCACACGCTGTGTGCGGTCTTTGCCGCCCCTGTCTGAACGGTTGTGAAAGTAGGACGAGGGCTTTTCGTGGCCTGTGCACAGAAAATAACAATAAGCATTTGAACAATTACAGACGTCAAAAAAAAAGTGTCAAGCCTTACCATCTGTCTCGTCACTCTCTCTAAGATCGAGATTCAGGACCAGGTTCTTGATGCGCTGCTGTTCTTCCTTTTCTGCCTGTTGCTGGTTTCTCATAGCTACCGCAAACTCAGAGTCGGAAGGAAGCTCCAGCGTACGAGTTTGCTGGCGGTTACCCTTCTTTGTCAAGAGAGAGAACGCCATTGTTGATGACGGGGCGTTGTCGTCCCCATTTCCAGCACCGCCGTTTGTATCAGTAGCAGTGGATGTCGCTTCGCGGGTCTTTTGGCGCACCGGGAGAGCCACGTCGAACATGGGCTTCCGGTCGAATTTGCGTGTCTCCAAGCTCTCTGCCATCATCCTAGCGTACTCGCGTTCAAATTCGGCCTCGTCCTCGGGATCAATCTCCTCCTCCTCACGCGTCACAACAATCTCTTCGTCTTCAGACTCGCTGTGATCATCGGAATCTTGTCTATCACCATCGTCCTAAGCGCAACAACAAAAATGGTCAGTGCGTGTAAAAAAACAAAAAGCCTAAATCATGGTTTCCAGTAACAAATGCAACGTACCTCTCCTACCTCATCGACCGAAGACAGATCGTCGTCGACCTCCGCATCTCCAACGGCTAGGTCGTCGGCGTTGTCGATCTCATCTTCCGACGACTCGTCGTCAGATGCCGCCCCGTCATATTGTTCCACCACTTTGTCGGCGCCGGTGGCCTTCTGGTCTTGGGCCACGGCAAGCTGGAACACTTTGAAAGCGTCGTCAAAGTTCGTTGCCAGTCTCCACTGAGGCCGAAGAAGGGCAAATATGTCCTGAACGATAAACTCAATGTCCATGGGAAGAGGGTTCTTCGTAAAGATGTAGTACTGGAAGAAAGACAGAAAGTAATCCAGCTTCTTTCCAGCTGCACCCTTGTTGAAGTACGTTCCGGTAGTCTCAAGAAGAGTAGCAACGAGCCGGATACGGAAGTACTCATCCGGAAGATCAATGGGATTGATACGACCAGGGGCGGGGGGACCACCATGGCCAAGAGTCAGGATTCTATACATCATGTCAAAGACGACCGGATGCTCAAGCAGACGGTACGTGTAGAACTCGCCAAGATACTTGACCTCGGCCAGTCGCTTCTGGTTCATCCGAAAGTCGTTTTGCTCCAAACCAAAAGTAATCGACTCGATCACGTCGTCGACGATGTCAATGACAAAAGCCGAATGGTGCCGGTAAAGAGCACCAAGGAGACCCGCAAGAAGGTGGATGTTCCCGTACTTGACTTTGCTAGGGCGACAAAACACCTTGCGTAGAGTGTGAACGACCTAGATGCTGCGTTAGAAAAACAATAAACACGAATATTTCTTTCCAATGGGCGTCGCGTACCTCTGCCTCCTCCCAGTGCAGCTTTTGGATTTGCCTTAGAATCTTATTCGCATTGCGCTTGCACAGATCAACATAGACCAGCTTGCGGATGAAAATATCCATAGGTGTTCTCTCTTTCTGCTGGACCGCCGTGCGCTCTGGTGGATCGACGTAGTACACAGCGTTCTCGATGAGCATGCGTTCCGTCTGCCCGATGTGCTGCATTGATTTCTTCCGCTGGAGCGTCTCCAAAAACGATGACATTCGGGGTGACGTCTCCGGGTTGCGCAGCAAGTATCGGCCGCAGTTTTCGAGGAGATTGGATATTATCTCAATATTCATACGCGAGAAATCGTCAAGGCTGACCTTGAGGCAGTGAAACACAACATGCTCTGGCACGATGCCAAACTTGGTCAGCTCGGCCAAGTAGCGGATGTTGCTGAGCCGCACAGGGCCAAGAAAGTCCTTCTCCTTGCGCCGCTGCAGACTACGGAATTCTGCATCGAGATATTCAACCAAGCCTTTGGGTATATCAGGCATGTATTGGCCGAGGGTGGCAACGAGGCGGGACCAACAAGGCAGGAGGTCACTGCGGCCCTTGGGCACCTCGGTCAGTGCCTTGACAAGCCGGTTTCGGGATGCCTTGGAGTTGAGGAAACAGAAGTCAATAGCAGTCTGATCGATGGCTTCTTTGTTTGTCAAATCGGGAAGTCGAAGAAGAATTGAGTCAACCTGGGCACCGATGCTCTTATTCACGATTGACGTCGACTGGTCGTCGTCGGCGGGTGCCGCCGCGGTTGAAACCTCGGCAGCCTTGGACGATTCTACACCATCGACGGCGGGATCGACCTTTTTGCCAACTTGTTCGTCGCTGTCAGTCTTCTTTTTCTTGCCGTCCTCGAGCAGAATGGCAGGAACTTTGCCCTTGAGATCCACAAGGTTCTCGTAGAAGCGGCGCTCTTCTTCGTCCTCCCAGATACCAGATCCTTCGCCTTGGCCGCGGGAATAATCGCCAGCCTTGACAATGCCAATCGAGCCACCAGCAGCCAGATGGCCATCGTCACCGTCCTTGAGGTCAGGCATTTCGGCACCGATGATGTCGGCAATGACCTGGGCATTGGAAACCAACCGTTCCTGGGCCTTGACTTGCTTTTCGAAATGGGATTGGCGGTCCTCAAAGACTTCACCCGATTTAACATAGGCTTCTGCGTTGCGGCGGGACTGGCTGGAGATGGCTTTTTGGTCACGGACCAAGTGTCCCTTGACGTCTTCAAAGTATCGAGTGAGGATGTTTCTGAATTTCTCCTGGAGCTCTGGAGGTGCAATGGGCGAATCGCCAGTCGCGGTCGTGTTCGAAGAGTCACCCGGTGCACCTGAACCCTCGTCGCCCGGGTTGGTCGTATCATTGTCTTCGCCGTCGAGCTCATTGTCTCCTTTGTCGGTAGCAGCATGCTCACTAGTTTCCGTCCTGAGGCCACCATTGACGCCATCGTCCTTCCGATCCTCGGAACTCACACCGCTCGTGCCCAAAATGTCCCAGCTGAAGGTCTTGGCAAAAGTAACGAGAAGCGGCAGATTCGTGTGATCGCGGTCGTGGCCGAGAAGGTCTTTGAGAACAGCTAGGGGGAAGGGCTCCGTAGAGTTGCCTTTGGCCGAGGTGCTGGTGCGGAACTTGACTTCTGTGGTCTTACCAATGGCGCCCTTGGTCGTATCGTCCGGCCGATTGACATCCTCCGGTGTCCGGAGCACACCCACAAGCCATAGCTCCGTGACGATTCGCAGCAGAACCCGCTGCAGAGTAAGACGCTCCTTCTCGTCCCTCTCACGAGCTTCAGCCGATAGCGTCTTGAGCTGATTCTTGTCGGGCGGCGCCATTCCCTTACCCAACAGCCATCCTAGGTATTCAGTGAAGTCGGCGGGGCCGAAACGCTGGTGGAGGGCCGATACAATCTCGACGCCGGCTTCAATGTCGGCCGGGGTCTTGAGGCGCGAGAGTCCTTCGTAGCATGCGGAAACGATCTCGGACAGGTACTTGCTTAGGCTGAGCGACGCGATTTCTTGCAGGAGGGAGCTGAGGGTCGAAGAGGAAATGGCCGTTCGTAGTCGCCGGATAAAGGCGGTGTTCTTTTTCAACGACGAGTCGAGGGACTTGTTCACGGCGAAGAGACCTTGTTACCCACGTCAGTAGCCGCCAGGAAGGTCAAACCAAAAAAAAAAAAAAAAAAAAAAAAAAAAAAAAAAAAAAAAAAAAGTAATCAAGGTCGTTTTACCTATCTCTCCATCCCAAGCGCGTTCATTCAACGCGCGCAATTGGCCTTGCAACAGGTAACCACTATTGTCAGCACATTTCACTGAAGAACCCAACATGGCAGCAACAGCGCAGCGTCCCACAAGGTAAGATCGTGGCTGTCCAGGTTGCCCAACATACGTTTCTTGGCGCGATCCATGATCGGCCACAGTCCCAGTGTCGCTTGTGGGAAAGAAAGACGCCTCGCAGCTCAAACATTCGCCGTGTATCGACTCTCTGTGCAGTATGTATTGTTTGTTGTTCGAAGGCGAAATCGCTACGGGACCGTCAGGTCGAGAAGCAGGGAACAGAGCACTCCGCCCGATGTGGTAGGCATGGGGTTCGTTGGCTGCGGACAGCCTAGGGGTCGGTCTCGGCAAGCTCGTTCTGTGCCGGTCGCAGTCCGAGCTTCTGTACCGGTGGCGAGAGAATGTGACGAATTCGGAGAGGTCTGATCTAGAGTTTGTGTCTGTTGCGTCTCAAGATTCTATGTTGTGGTCGTGGGTCGGTCTTTCTATTTTCGCGACAAAAAAAACAGTAGTAGATAATTATCCTTCTGCAACAGCTCCTGGAAGCACTTGCCTGTCTTGGTCATTTATGGACTGATACTGATTGCGCTGTCAACCACCCGTGTGAACGAGCGATCGCTCACCGTCTCAAAGCCCCACCTCCGGATTATTGGTTTGCCCGTTATATCGCCAATTACTCACTACAGCGACATCACTTACGGGGCATTTGGAGGGCTTACAGAGTAGTCACTGAGTAAGTCGTTTGAGACGGGGCTAAATCGTTCCGTTTATGAATGGCTTTTGCCTCGCAATGTACATTAAGTAACGGCCGCAGCCTGATTCCTAGATGGAATGACAACGAAAAATAAAATGTGCTGAAAGTTTTTGACATGCATCCGTCTTGTCCCACGCCTTTCATGTCAAGTCGTTCATAAGGCCCATCGAAGGGATCATAATAGCCAAGTAGTAGGCACTACACAGTTGCTTCCAAGAAACAAAAAAGATAAACAAATGTTATCTAGAAGAGAAGTATAAAGAGTGCTAACAAGTCACCCAAGCTCTAAATGCCAATAAAAAGAGACGGCCAACGCAAACGGCCAGCAATAGCCATATACTTGCACCAAATCTCCAAGGGAAGATCTTTAATAGTAGATAAATATCATCCGTGAACGGGGGACAAGATATCTTTTCTCACATGATAACCTATACAAAGGAATGTCAGCGTCAGGTGCATGGTGCCGGGGGTGAAAAGAGTAAGAAACTAAGAAACTTACACAGTCGTCGTCGCCCTTGCCCTGAGGAATACCCATCTCCTCGAAGGTTGCTGGACCCTGCTTGACAGGCTTTGGCGCCTGCGCGGAAGCCGGAGCTGAAGGACGAGCAGCCTTCCCCGGGGCGGCTTGCGGTGCGGCACTTGAAACGCGCGGTGGAGGTGCGGTCGACACAGGGCGAGTGGCTGGGCCTGGGCCTGGGCCCATGCCACCGCCACCACTCATCTGGGCGGGAGGGGCGCTTTGGCGGCCATGTTCTGCCAGCTGTGGCCGATTCTTGTACATTTGGGGACCACTACCGCCACCACCGCTGGGATAGTGGCCGTGGCCGCCCTGTACCTGCGATGGCAGCGAGTCAATCCGGTCGGGCCGGGGTGTACCACTACTGGGACCAGGGTAGACATTGGAGACTGGCCGGCTAGATGTCCTTGGGCCATAGTCACGGCCGGGTTGCGCGGCCGGATTGCCCGTCTGTGCCGCGCCGTACGCAGACGGATTCGCATTCGGATTTGACTTTGACAAACGGTTACGGGAGTTGTCCGACGCCTGTGACGGCATGCCGCCAGAGAGACGGGCAGAGGCTGGTGCTTGCTGGTGGGGCGGGGGTTGCGGGTGTTGCTGTTGGTGTCCGTAATCGTACGAATCGTTGTAGTCCGCCCGACCCTGGGGTGCATTAGGGCTTGTACCGCGGTAGCCACCGGTGGGAATCTGCGGCTCCCAGCCAGCAGATGTGATACGGCCGCGCGGATCATTGTCCAGGGGTCTTCCAGGGATGTTGACTGAGAAGGGACGCTGGTCCGGAGCCAGGTTACCAGTTGCTTGTGACACGGGAAGCGGGCGCGGCCCACCCTGCGGGTTCATGCTTGTGGGGCGGATGCCGAAAGCACTCAACGGCCGATCGGCAGCTTGCTGGCCGTTGCTCGCACGAATCTGGGGGTTGTAGTGGGGAGAGAGTGGGGCACGCCCGCCCGGCCCGTCGTCGGGATACGGTGCTGTTGATTTTGGTCGGGCGAGGTTCAGAGGTGCAGGCTTGTCATCCACGGGGTATGGTGCTGTTGACTTGGGTCGGATAGCCACGCTGCTCTGGTCGATGTTGATAGAAAAGGCAGGAGGCCGAGCAGCGCCTGGCGTGTCTTGGACTGGTCGCTGCGCAGGTGAGATATTGTGTGATGATGGGGGGCGGTAGTCGGGCGAGGACGAGCTGGGCGGAGCAGACTCGGTGGGGAGGTTTGGCGTGGACTCGGCAAGCGTGGGAAGCGCCGCGGCGACATCCTTCTGGCGGCTGCCGAAGCGCTCTGGCCGCTGGCCACGCATTGACCCGTGCTTCGACTTGATACGTGTAAGCGCTGTCGTCTCGTGGTCCTGCTTCGTGAGCGTCTTTGCCTGGCTCAGGCCTTCGAGGCGGTTGATAGCATCCTGGTTCCCATGCTCGGCCGCTCTCTCATACCACGAGCGAGCATCGCGCAAATCCTTCTGCACAAAGATACCAATCTCGTAGTAGTATCCCATGGCAAACTCGCCCGTGGCAAGCTTGGCATCGGCTGCCTGTTGGGCATACTTGAACGCCAGCTGTTCATTCTTCAAGAAGACACCGTCGTAGCCGAAGAGGAACCAGCGGCTCACGCCGAGCGCAGCTTCGGGCTGGCCCTGGTGAGCAGCCAGGCCGTAATAGTGGAGTGACAGAGCCGGGTTGAAATCGCAGCCAAGATGGCAGAGCTCGTAGGCCTGACCCATCTTCAGCTGAGCCTTGGCAAACCCAAAATAGGCCGACTTTTCAATGTATTGACGCGCCTGGGCGACATCAAATGGCAGCATGCCCTCCGGAATGGTAATGTCGGGAAGCTCGCGCGAGATGAGCATACCATAGACGTAGGCGCCTTGCGGGGACTCTTCGTCAGATGTATCGGCCGCCGACCGGATCATTTCGAGTCCGGTACTGAAATCTTTGGTGTGGCCGTGCTGGCCGAGGAGGTTCATCATGCCCAGTCGGTAGGAGGAGGCCGAATCCTCCATCTCCAGGCCGCGGTTGTAATGCTGCAGGGCCTTCTTAATGTCATTGGAGTTTTCGTAGATCATGCCCATGCGGTACTCTGCACGACCCCAACCCCTGCTTGCGGCATTCATGTAACCCAAGAAGGCCTCGTTCCTGTCTTGCCGGAAGCCGAACTTTCCAAATTCGAGCCATTTCGAGCGAGAAAAGAGGGCTTGTGGGTGGTTCTGGGACGACAGGTACTCCACAATGTTGATGGCGTCGAGACGCAGTTCGTGTTCAATCCGCGGGGTCTGCGGCCGCTTGCCCTGGTCCTTGTTATCGCGCGCATGCGCCTCTTGGGAGATTTCCACCCACGACAATACGTCCAGTGCCCAGTCCAGCTGCACGGCCACATTGTTGGACTTCAGCACCTCCTGGCGCGCGTTGTAGAGGATTCGCTCCTTCTCGTCGTCACTCGGCGGGACATTCCCCTGGCTGATGCGCGGGAACGGCGAGAAAGACGGCACTTCAAAGTTTGACGCCATATCGCCGTCTTTGTCCTGGGCAAACGCTTTGAAGCCTTCGGCCGGCGCTTGCTGATTGGCAGCGGGAGACGCGCCACGCCCGGCCGGCTTGGCAATATCAGCGATGTCAGCAGCGGGCTTTCCGCTCACGTAGGTAGACAAGGACGGTTCGCGTCCGTGTTGCTGCGAGGGGACCTGGCGGGTGGCAGGGGCGTTGTCGAGCTCGGCGGCGGTCGCGGTGGTGGGAAGGTTGGAGGGCTGTCGAGCTTCGAGTTCCATTCGCTGAAGGCCGTCTTGCATGTTTTGAGGCACTTCGGGCATCACCCTGCGGCCGGGCAAAGCACCAAATAGTCAGTTTCCCAAGTTTCCCAGGTTTCCCCTTGAAAGCTTTGCCTAGTGTCCCTTTGTCGTTCACTACTGGGCTGGCGTTGGCGTTGGCGTTGGCGCTGGCGTTGGCGCTGTTTTTGTGCCTATGCCACTACCGGGCCCTGCCAGGGACTTTTGACTTTGCCCGGGCCTCTCCCGCCTGACAACGCGCTTGATGGTGGGGGGAGGGGTAAGGACAAATGGATGGGACGGCAACGCCAACGCTGCAAGTCCAGGCGCAAACGGAGCTAAGGGAACGATGCAAAGAACGATGAAAGACGGCGGGAGTGGGGATCTGGAAAACAAACGAGGAACAGGGACAGGATGCGTCGGACGACAAACAGTTGTCCGTGGACATCATATGAAGTGCAGAAGAAGCAAAAACTCAACTCAAAACTCGAGGTAGGAGAGGCACATACCTTTGAGGGGAGGGGGCGATAACTTCTGGCATGTAGTAGTCATCGTAGCCACCAGGCACGAAGGTAGCCTCGAGCTTGGGCATTTCGGAAGTGACAAGTTGATTTGGCCGGGGTTTTGAGGGTCCTGCAAAAATAGAAACAGTAAGGATCGAGTCTGTCAGCCAAGACGTTGAAGAGGCGCCGCACACGGCATCCGGTGAGCGACAATGCGGCTGAGGCGTGGAAGTAGGAGCAAGCGCAAGGCGGACGAGGCAACGAGCAACAAAAGCGAGTGGTGGCAGGCAAAATGGAAAGAAATGAGAAGTAGAGCAAGGTTGGCGCTCGGCGTGCCGTGGTTGTGTGGGATTCTGGGAGAGAGACGAGTCCCAGGCAATGTCCGTATCCTTGTCAAAATATGACAACGAAATAAAAAGGAGGCAGTGTGCGTAGAAGAAAAGAGGTTCAATAAGGTTGTCGTATCCGCCCTTCGTAAACTGATGAGGGGAACTTGCTCGGCTATGCCAGGTCGTAAAGCTGCTGCCTCTTTTGGATTCGTATGTGGGTGTCCAATTGCCCACAGTAAGGGGCTAATAAGTCCCAGCCAGTTGCAAGTCCGATCTAGCCCAATGCAACCCGAAGCTGGATGCCATGTTGGCCGTTGAAACGCAGAGTTGCCGTGTCCCTGACGTCGTTGTAGAGTGGCGACGTTTCGGTTTGGGAGGTCGTCATTTGATAGCTGGCTCGTGGTGTGCCGTTTGGGTTCGCCTGCACGTGTTTTCCCTTTGCAGATTCGACCGTCGTATGTGTGCGGAAGAGTGTTGTGTCGCCACTGATGCCTTCTGCTTGCTATTTGCTGATTCCTGTTTCCTGCTCCCGGTTCTGTGCACCACGTCCCATTCTTGCATCCAATGTGCCGACTGCTTCATCTCCACCGTCCATTCGCTCAACAGTCGCCTGTTGGCTCAGGTACAAATAAAAACGTAGGATCTTGCTTACCAGAGGTGCTGTTGCTCGGATCGCCCCCTTGGGATTGACGCGCGTACTGTGGGTTCGACATTGTACTTTCCTAGCGGGCGCTGCCTTGTGGCTTTAAAAATAAAAAAATAAAATAAAATAAAAAACGGAAGAGACGAAGGCAAACCCGGCCGGTAGAAAAAAGGGGAACGCTCCCACGTTCAGGTCGCGCGAAGATCCGCCTAGCTAGAACACAACCCCAGGTGGAGGTGGACACGAATGGTCAATGCCCTGCAGGTACGACGGCTCAGATACTTTGTAATACCAGGTACCAGTGCTCCGTGCTTGGTCCAAGTTCAAGGAAGGCGATGTAGCGGTACACGCAAGGCTCGCAATATTTATGCGCGGAGCATGGTTCGGGATGTCGGGACTGTGACGGTTTATGCAGCATGCGGTAAAGTAAAGGACGGGAGGCGGAGGGAAGAGAAGGAGGAAGATGAAGAGTAGGAGGCGGAGGAGGCGGAGGCTGGACGAGATATAACTGCGGAAAAGGGCACAAAACCAAGCACAGGGGGCCCGTCCGAATGTGAGAATTCCGTAAGACGCCGTGCGGCACGTGAGGACGAGTGAGAAAAAGAGGGCCACAAGGCAAGGCCAAGAGACGAGGCGATACAGTTGCTTTGTTGTAGTGAAGTATACACCCGGACAACAAACAAACAGATGCCGAGACTTCGGCGGGGGGGGGGGGGGGGGGAATCGATGTGAGAGAGAAGCAGCTTCTGGATGGGGCGTTTGAGGTTTGCGAGGCAAAAGCGAAGGAGTGCTCGGAGGGGTGGTTGCTTGTTCCTACTTAAATTATCGAAAATAGCACTCTCCAGGCCTCTGGAGGGGAAGGCTCGAATGGGCTATGCCGAAGAGAGCAGGATCGACCAAGGGGACGGACAAAACGACAAGGAACTTTTGGCGAAGGGTTGAGCCACAACCATAATCTGCTTTTTGTCGCGACGATGGGACCTTCACAGCCTGCCTTGCAGGCATTCTTTGAATTCCGGCGGCGCCCTTTTGATTGCACCTGAGTGGGACAACCTCGTTTCTCCCCTCATAACGCCCCCACTACGGAGCATTCACGGTTCAGTGGCAGGCGCGGTCGTGACTGGAGATTATCTTGGCAAGCGCGAACAAAAAGCAATGCGAAAAACGAGAAGAGGAGAGGAGGCAGTCACTGTTACGCAAGCTACGGTGGGCAGGTGCAAACGAGGCGAGCGGGAAGGAATGCGCCTCGACAGCGGTCCTTCTTCAATGTGCAACGGCCTGAGCTCACATAGTCCTAGGAAAGTCGGTCACATAACAAAAGCCAGAAGGGCCAGGGCCAGCCAAGTCACCAGAGAACACGGTGCAGGGTGACGCCCACTGGCGCCATTGCAACGGCGGGAGGACGGCGGGAACTCATTTTACCTTTTTTTTTCGAGCTCTGCTTGCTGCACTGCGGTTAGCGGCAGCTCCCATCCGGGCGGGTCTCTCGGGTCTCTGGCCACACTGAATCTTCTAAGTATCCTGAACCCCAACAACAGCTCCACGAGTTAATTTGATCACACAGCCGCTTCAGGATTTGGCGGGCAGTTTTGGAAATCTGTCAGGAGGGCTCAGCCACGATTTCATGCTATTTGAAGAAACACTCATGACGCTACAGTACGACAGTACTTCTGTACAGAATACAGAGACTACGTCTGCATTTGACAAGGTGACATTTATCTAACAAGCAATGACCTATGACCTTGCTTGGGATGTGCAGCAGAATTCCCTGACCAGGAAAAGCTTATTTTGTCGCGACAGATGCGAGGAGTCTAAATTGTCGACTTTCGGCTGGCGACCAGAAAAAAGTCAAGAAGGAATCTCGCAATTGTCGCTGTTCCTGTTCATCCGCCGGCCAGCGAAGACGATACTCAGGCCTTGAGTATTCGTTCTTAAGTCGACAAGCGACGGTAAAGATCCACCGCACACATCCCTGCGTACGCACCACACGTGAGATAAGATGCCGTTTGTTCTGCGCATGGCGCGTGCTGCCATGCTGCCCAACAACAGACGGCTCCATATGCAGATGGCAAGTTGGGTATCGCTTCCAGCATCGCTCTCCATCTCAAGGTCGTTTCGCCAAGAATGAACAAGCAACTTGTCTGTTGTCAGCCCTCCCCTCTCCGCTCCACGACAGGTCATATCCCGAATCAGCCGTACGCCGGCGGTCTCGTGCTGTCTTGGATGCTTTCCGGGCATTCTCTCGCATATGGTTCTCGAAAAGCACTGTGGCTTTGCCGCACTTCGAAAGATGCATCATGCATAGGACTCCACCATTGCATCTGGGAGTTCCAAACATCTCGAGCTGTTATGTCTCGCCGACATCTAGCGCCCTGTCAGTTGGCCACGCCGGATCGACTTCACTGGTACTTCTAGTCTGCGTTTGAGCCTGAGCTGGCCGTGCAGACAGTCTAGTGAATGACAACGACTGTAATTACTCCGTCCATGTAGCAATCAGCTTAGATTGCCATTCTTAGTGTAGGCTCACTCCAAGCCACTAAGGGGAGGCGCTGTCAGCCTTGGGGAAGCAACAAATGAGGCCCGACACTCTCCATTGGACTTTCGATGAGCAAAGACCCCAGCCTCGTACGGATACGAATGATGCGACGCGAGATTGAAAGTTGCGATGACATGGTTAACCAGTTAATGCAGGTCGCACTGCGAAGCGGTCCCATAAAGAAAAACACAGAATCGTCGCAGTCCCTATGCATATTTCCCGCTTTTGGAAAGAACCCAAGAGTATACCTATCAACCAAGATAGCAGTGCAAAAGTAATTTGTTCAACAAATACATCATTGGTAACGCTCATAGCCGGTCACATACAATGCACAATCTCCAGCAATGATTACGACGGACTGGACGCGAAAAATACTGAACGACGGATGTCGCATCTGGCAGTGACTGGTTCTTGCTAACGAGCTTAGAGACGTCAACTATGGCTAAGTGGCGCCTAACTGGAGAAAGTCGCACGTGATATGATTACTAATTTGTGACACTCTCCGCCCACTGTGCTCTGGCCTGGGGTGTCTTCTTTCGTCAGCCTCATGCAGCCTGCTGGTAGCCAGCCAACGTAGTTTGAGTGGCCCGCAAACAACCTGATGATCGATCACGATCTGAGCGAATGCACGAGGTCCCCTCACTAGACAATTGACAAAAATACCGACTACAGCGTGCTACCATACTTCCTACACACACACCACACAGACAGCGACGTGGACCCGCCACGACTGCATCCTCCCCGTCCACAACTCCGTGGCCCTCTTCTCGAAGCTCCCATCGCCACTACGCCTGAATCACAACCATCCCATACCACCTACCATGGCGGAACGCAAGCTCACTCAGATCCTGAACCAGCTCAAGTCCTCGCGGACCTACCCGGAGCAGGCGAAGCTGCTCTCCAAGGCCAAATTGGCCCTGCTGCAGCTGGGCGCCCTGACACCGTCCCTGACCAACGACAGCGGCAGCGCCGTCCCCGCCTCCGTGCTGGCCCTCGCCCGCGAGGCTTTTGAGCAGGGCGCTCTGTGCAGCATCCGCGCCCAGGACGCCGACGCGTTCACGCGCTACGTGCAGCAGCTGGCGCCGTTCTACGCGCTGCCCGGCGCCGTTCTGCCGCCCAACGTGGCCGAGCGCAACAAGGTCACCGGCCTCTACCTTTTGCTGCTGCTGACCGAAGGCCGGTACGGCGAGTTCCACTCGGAGCTGGAGAGCATCAGCACGCGCGAGGGTGCCGGCTCCGAGGACGACCGGTACTTGGGCTACCCGATCCGCCTTGAGCGGTGGCTGATGGAGGGCAGCTACGACCGCGTGTGGAAGGCCATGAAGCAGGGCGAGGAGCCGTGCGAGGAGTACAGCGTCTTCTCCGAGATCCTCACATCGCAGGTGCGCTCCGAGATTGCCTCCAGCAGTGAACGCGCCTACCCGTCGCTGCCCCTGAGCTCCACCAAGTCTCTGCTGTTCCTCGACTCCGAAGGCGCCGTTGTCGAGTTTGCCCGCCACCGTGGCTGGACCGTCAAGGACGGCCAGATCTACTTCCCGTCGGCAGCGTCCGCCACCGCTGGCGGCGCACCCCACGCTCCTGCTCCAGATGGCACCGTCACAGCCGTGGACGGCCTGACACAAGAGCCGGCTGAGAAGGAGGTCAGTCAAATGGTGATTGAGAATGTGCTGGGCTACGCACGGCAGTTGGAGACGATTGTCTAAGAGAAGGGTCTCATATCACATGCATGGGCGGACAGAGCGAGACAACGAAAGGGAGCGTTGTTGGCCCCTGGTGCGTTTCTGTATTATAGCCAGTTTTCGTCATAGAAAGGTTCATCAATTTCTACAAACACCAAGCGGTAACGCCAGTGACAAAATCACAAATGAAGTCGTATTGGATAGTTTTATATTTTTCACGTAGCTAAATTCCGTACATCTGCAAACAAAGCCGAACCACAACGCCCCAATGATGGCTTTTGAAGTTTCTGTCGACCCTCTCGCCGCTCGCACCTTTGTTGGTGATGAGCCCACCATGGCTGCAACTATAGAGAAAATAAACGAAGCAAAATAAAGGCGCATTATGAGCACGGAAAATAAAAAATAGCACGCGGGGAGCATTATAGCGAAATGTGAAGAAGAAAAAAATATTCGTAAGTACGAAAAAACAAATTGCGTTTCGAAAAATGCACGCCCAAAGTAAAAACAGTAGAAACTATCTCGATATACCCCTTTCCATGGGCGAGCAACCGCCTCGATAGTTCACGAAAACCCATGCACCCGTCATCTTCTCCCGTTTTCTTCTATTTTGTCTGTATACAGGCCATGGAATCGTGTCCTTCCTTTTGTCTCATATTAAGGGTTTGCTTTCGTTTATTTTATTTTTTGGGGGGGTAAAACGGAGGGATGGGATCGGAGTCATTTGCGTGAGTGTTGCGAATTTAGTTTGCTAGTTTGCAGTTCCTTAGGCAAACAGCTTCAGGCCGCTGCCGTGCTTGCCAATCTCACAGACGCCGCAGATGCGGCAGACCGAGCCCTTGTACTTGGAATGGTACTTGGAGCCATCAAAGGCGCACTCCTCGAACGCCGTGCCGCTGTAGATGGGCGTGAAGCTGGCCGCGCACACGTCAAACTCGGCAAACTGGTCAAACTCAATGTCGATCGCGTCATTCGGGTTGCGCTCGCACTGCGCTTTAGTCTTTTTCGCCTACAAAAAGCTGTTAGCAGAAGATCATAAAAATATAAAAGCGAAGCATAAGTATTTGACAGGGGGATTGGCTTACCGTCTCCAAGATACGACCAGAACCTCCGTTCGCCAGTATCCGGTTAGCGAAGCTAAGGGCCGAGTTGTAGTTCTTGTTGCGTGCCGCCAGGTTCATGGCATTGAGCAGGGCGAGCTGCCGATGGGGGACCTCAATCTTGGGGATGGTAAAGTACGCGGACAGCTCCAGACTCTGCTTCAGCAGCTTGGGGTCCTTGGCGACAACATCGTTCGCGCCCAAGTTTCTCCGTGCCAGCTCAATGCTCATCGCCACAGCATACTCGCTCGCAGAGGTGATCAGCTTCTTGGCCTCGTCAACCTCAGACTCACTGGACACCGCGTTGATCAGGACCGAGTGCAGGATGCTCTTGAACGTCTTGATGCCATCCTCCAGCTTGTTGCTCTTCATCGCGTCGTAGCCGCGCTGCAGGTCATTCTCAACCAAGAACTCCAGGTCGCGCGGGATGATGGGCAGCACCTTCCTTGGATCAGACTCATTCACATTGCGGCGAACGTAGTTGACCAGAGACGGCAGGCCGGCAGACGCAGGCAGGTACGTCTTCGACGCCTGGTAAACCTCCAGGAAGCGCGGCTTCAGTGGTGCGAAGTTGACAGCACCCACCTGGCGGTTAAGAAGCTGCATGGCGGTCTCAAAGGAGCCACCGGCAACATGGTCGACAGCCAGCGGCGAATTGCGGGCCCAGAGATCCGCCTCGCTGCTGCCAGCACCGCCAGCGTCTGCGCTTTCGACGTTGACAAAGTCGTTATCATGGTCAGCGACAATATCATCACCCATGTCCCAACCAGCAACATCCTCATCATCGTCCACGTCCAACAGGTTGCCATTCTTCGTGCCATCACCTCCGTCAGCTTCCTCCTCGCCAAAGGCATCGGCACCATTGGCAGCCGCTGATGGCTCGTCCTCGAGCGACAAGCCCTCAACTTGGCCAAGGAGTGCCTTCTCGAAGAAGGACACAGAGGTGCCCTTGGACGGCCAGTTGGCCTGGTAGGTCGGGACGACCGGCTTTGGTGGCGTCAAAGAGCCGCCAAGGTGGTCCGGGAGCGTGAGCTGGTCCTCTGTGATTCCAGTTGCCTCTAGAATCGACTGGCATTCCTCTTCCAGGCCATGGGCCTTGGCAGTCATGAATGCAAGAGAGTCTGTTTGCAAAGTCAGTGAATGACGTCCTCAAAAGTGTTTGCTTTCTTTTTCCGACCCCCCCCCCCCCTAAAACAAATTGGCGCATAAATTAATACGTACAAAGATCGATCTCCTTGAACATCTGTATCCGGTCCTCGACGTCGCCGAGATACAGGGCGTTTTGGAACCGCGACGTAAAGTCACCACGGTGCTCGGCAATCTTAGCCATGCGGGCCAGCTTTGTCTTGTCGCCCGTCGACAAATACAAGAAGGACAGCTTGTCCAGCTGCTTCAGCTTCTGGTAGCACATCTCCACAACCTGGTTGTTGCCGTGAGCCAGAGCCTCGTTGCTCAGTCTCGACCATAGCTTGGGCTTGTCCAGCTCCTTGGCCATTTCAACGGCAACATCGAGGTTGCCACACTCTATGGCTAGCTCGAATCGCGTCGTCGGGTCCTGGACGAACTGTAGCGCGATCTCTGGGTATCCCTTCTTCTGGAGGTATGAAATGATGGACTGGCCAACAAGTGACGATGTCTGGATAATGTGAAGCATCTCTTCGTAGTTGCGCTTGACCAGAGCCATCTTGAAGCGGTACTCGGTGGGGTCGATCTGCAGGATCTTGGGCTTCGCGGAGCGATCGAGGCAGTAGACGTTGCGGCCCTTGACGCGAACCAGATACACCGTCTGGTCGAGAGTGCGCACGATTCCGTTGTCGCCATTCAGCAGCGTATATTTGATATGGTTGAGAGTCGAGTACAGAAGGATGCCGGCATCGTCCCAGGTGGCGCTCTTGATACGAATCGTCTCATGCAACGTGCTGACCTGCTCCAGCGTCTTGGTAACAATCGTCACGTTGTGCTTGCTCAGGAGCGCAGCGTACAAACTGTCGTTGGACCAAGAAACGTACTTCACACCATTCACGTTCAAGCTGGCGATGGTCTTCTTGTGCTGGATGTCGTATAGGTGAACGGCAGTCGGCGTGATGATGAGCAGGTTGCCGGGGCCGCCAAAGTAGATGTCGGTGGTGCCAGCCGGGGGCTTGAAAGAGCGCGTGACATTGTTGGTGAGGTCCTTGATGTCGATGGTCTGTGTAGCTGTATTCAGGACAGCGAAGCGGTTGCGAGCCACAAAGATGGCCGAGTTACCGGAGCCGCGCTTCAGCTCAGTGGGCTCCACGGCGCCCGAACCGTCTTTGGGGAGGTTGATCAGGTCGTACGAGCCGCCGTCGGCAGCCGACGTCACGAGAATCGAGCGCTCGGCGGGGTTATAGGAAAGAGTCCGCGGTGGCACCCAGGCGGGGCCGACCTTCTTAAGGGACAGAAGAGTGGGGGATTCGAGGTTCTTCTGGAAGTCATAGGACCGCACCTGCTTCTCCTTGTTGATATAAAAGAGGTTGTTGAGGTAGACAGCGGAGGCAGGACGCTCGCGCTCGAGCTTGAAGACCATGACACCGTTGTCATGGCCGGCGGCGAAGAGGTTGATCTCGGGGTGGGCGGCAATGACCCAGAAGCGGTCATTCTCTCTCTTGAACGTCTGGACAGCTGTTCTCTTATTAAGGTCCCAGACACGGATGGTCTTGTCCTCACCGGCAGACAGGATGAGGTCCTGGTGTGGGTGGAACAGACAGCCCGACGCGTTCTGGAAATGGCCGCGACACGTGTCCACCTCCCAAGCCTTGGTCTCGCTCATACGCCAAAGCTTCACGAGGCGGTCATCGCCGGCCGACACAATGAGCGGCATAGTAGGGTGGAAGGCGACCCAGTTGACACCACGGTCGTGGCCCTCAAGGACGAACTTGACAACGGCATCGGTGTTGCCAAACATGTCGGCCTGGTTCTGGTTGGCGCGGGCCATCTGGTCCTCAAACGACATGGAGGTCGGGGCGGAGTGTTTCTTGCGGAGACCCGATATGTCCCAGACACGAACAGACTGGTCGAGCGACGCGGATACGACGAGGTCCTCCTTTGGGTGGAACTGGGCGCACATGACGTAGTGGTTATGGCCCGTCATGGTGCAAACTACAGACGAGGGGCAGAAGCCCATTGTTAGTACACCGCGCGTCCAGAAACCAACGAATCAAACATCAACACAGGGGATGCGATGGGAGTGGAGGTGCCATCGTACTCAGCGAGCGGTTCTGCCAGTTCCATATCCGGATGGTCTGGTCATCGGAGCACGAAACAATCCAAGGAAGCTCATCGTGGAAGAAGACGGTGCGGACGTAGTCGAGATGGCCGTTGAGGGTGAACAGGCACCGTCTTGTCTGGTACGACCAGACCTTGATCTTGTAGTCGTCGCCACCCGATGCGAAGAGGGGCTGCGTCTTGTGGAAAGCGACGGCGCGGACAGGGCCATCGTGCTCTTCGAAGCGGTCAATGAGCGTGCCCATGCGGTAGTCCCACAGCTGGATGGTAGACGAGTGGAGGGACACCAAGATCCATGGTCTGGAAAGCATCGATTGTCAGCCACGGGCCCATTGTCTGAGATTCAAGATGCAGACAAGCTCCGACAGCCATCCGAAGTATAACGCGTTGCTCAAAAGGGGGCGCAAAAGGGAAGGGAGGGGGGGGGGGGGGGTAGACAAAGTTACCTCTTGGGGTGAAAGGCAATGCCCTTCGCACGAGACGACTTGGACTCGAACTGTATTGTGTCAGTACACGCTGGGCCTCATCACTGCCATGGCCAACAATGGTCTTCGGCCCCAGGCCGCCCAGGGGACAGCATCGTCGGTTACCTTTGTGAGCATCTGCGACGGCGTCGCCATCTTGACCGTAGCTTCGCGCTCGGCGGCGGATTGGCGTAAATAAAAAGAGGGCTCTCGAAATGGGGGACAATCGTCGGGCAACAGGCGGATCGCGTGCGGTTCCAAAGCTCCGTCGACAAAAGGGAGCCCGGGGCAGGCGGTGTGGTGTGGATGTGATGTCGGAAAGCCAGACTCCAAGGGACGTTTCAAGGCCACCTTTATTGTCTCCTAATCTGAATTGCAGCTTGGAGCGTCCGAAGCAGCGTGGCCCTCCCTGAAGGCCCCAGAATGTGGGATGGTTGGCGCCTGAGGCAATACGCCCCATAGTTTATCCGCGCCGGGAGGGCATTCCAGCCAATCAGAAGCTCCAATGGCGGGGTTGGAGGGAATGGCAGTTGCTAGCTGGGGGGGACAATAGGGGTTCGTAGAGCAGGACTGGACACGTAAACGGAACTCTAGGCGCAAGTACTACGCCACAAGCCACAGCGTCCCTTCACATGTTTGCAGCGCCCCCTTACTAACAGAGTCAGTTGCAGCGTTTGGGCCTTCCTGACAGACACATGAGAGAAACTGGCTCCAGCAAAACTTTATATTTGCATTGGGAATAAAACTTATGAGCGTGTATTTATGAAGAGCATTGAAAATCGGTGTCAATAATGTCAGCCTGTTCCCTTACTACAAAGGGTGCTGTGCCCGTAGAGCTGTAAACAACCGCTTGCACGTTGGAAGTTGGCTGTTGCAGATTCGCTGATGCATCCCACGTGACTACCTAACCGTAACTGCCTTGTTGCTCCGTGTTAACGCTAGTCCCTTTTTGTACAGCTATTTTGTGATGTGTTCTCAAGACAAGACATGTTCCAAACAGCCGCTTCATCCACAAAATGCATAGAGACGAATGCTAGGCTGTCAGGGCTCGTTCGGCTCGCAAACGACTCGACGCTCTATTTCTCTAGAACCTCATACGCACTTCATGCCACTTGTGGGCGACCGTTCCTGCGAAGGCCTGGAGCTAATCGCAGCCGGTTTTCATATTACTTTATTCCATTTCCGTTCCCCTCTTGCTCATATCACAGGTTAAGGCAGGCTGCGTGAGATATCTGAACATTCTAGTCATACAGAACAAGTATACACATAATGGGACTCCCACGACTACCGCTCAGGCTGGCGAACGCCCTATTTGCCACCCTAGTTCTGCAGCCTTCGCTCACATCGGCCGGACCCTCGATCGATGTGTCTATGATCGCAGCCTTCCCCTCGCCACCGTACCTGACGGAGCTCTTGTAGGTTCATGGTAGTCTATTTATTTAGAAACAAAATAACAAAAATTCAGGCCGCTTGCTTCACTGAATGTTCGCTAACTTTTCCTCATAGAGAAACTGCAGCACAAGAAAATGCAACCAGCTACTTCCCCATCCTGGATCGCATCGCCGACGGATACTTCGGCGGCGCTGCGACTGACCATGACCTATACGAGAAGTTTCTGGCTCTTCTCACGGAGGACGGCCACATTTCTGACGGCGAGGCACTGTCCACCTTTAAACTGGCGCTATCGCTGCGGTCTGCCGCGCCCCGTATCGAGGCACACTTCCAGTTCTACAACACTGCCGTCAAGGGATCCGTAGACGGCGACCATACTGGATGTGACCAGTGGATCCTGTACGATGGTGCTCAGCACTGTTCACCATCGCTGGACAAAGAGGACAGCAAGATCGCCAGCCATAAGACGCAAGTGCGGGAGCTTCCTTTTGACGTCAAGCAGGGCCACGGGCCCGATGCTATTCTCTACGCCGACATCACATCACCTGAGTTTGGCCCATTCCACAAGCTTCTCAGTGAAAAGTCTCGCGCCGGAGAGGTTACCTACCGTCTCAGACACGTGCGGGCTGCGGCAGAAACAACAGCAGACGAGCGCCTACCTGTGAACGGTTACGGCGTCGAGCTGGCTCTGAAGAGGACCGACTACATTGTCATCGACGACCGCGAGGCCGACGAAACCAATCCAGACGCGAAAAAAAAGCCTCCAGTGGCAGCCGAGGTCCTCCTGGATGGCGAGGCAGAGGTGACTGACCTCAAGGCGCTTTCCAAATCCGAGCTTGCTGAGTTGGGCCTCAAGACCGCCGACTACATCATTCACAGCGAGAACCCTTTCGACTCTCTCCTCAAGATCACGCAGGACTTCCCCAAGTACTCCAGCTCCATTGCCGCACACAACTTTTCAAAGGAGTTTGTCGAAGAACACCGCGGCAATCGCGCGGTCTTAGTGCCTGCTGGTGCTAACGTGCTCTGGATGAATGGTGTGCAGATGATTGAGCGCCAAATCCAACCCCTCGCCCTGGTGGACACCGTCCGTCGTGAGAGGACAATGATCAACGGCGTCCGCGAGTTGGGCCTGACGGGCAAGGAGATCGTGGATGTGATTGGCCACGAGGCAGTTGCTGCATCCAGAGCAGAAGCCGTGCCCCCGCGGTTTGACTATCGAGACGAGATCGAGGATGGTCGCGTCATCATCTGGCTGAACAACCTCGAGAAGGACTCCCGATACAGCGACTTTCCCAAAGGCTTGCGGCGGTTACTACAAGGCGGCATGCCTGGTCAATTGCCGCAGGTTGCCCGCGACATCTTCAACCAGGTCTACGCTGTGGACTTTTCCGACCTTGAAGACGTGCGCTTGGTCGTGGAACAGATACTTGAGTTTGTTCGTCGCCGTCTGCCCATCCGCTTTGGTCTGGTCCCGCTCGTTTCCACCCCAGCGTCAGTCAAGCAGGCCAAGGTGGTTTACCATATGCTTGAGACATATGGCCTGGGCTCTCTCTCGGCATACCTGACCCAGTCCCTCGCCGACAAGAAAGCTTCCTCGCCAGATGCAAAGGCTTTCAAAGTGGCCGTCAAGGACCGTGAGCTGCGTGAAGACGCGACAGCCTTGGCCTTTGCAGACATATTCAGACACGAGGAGTATGACAAGCAGATCGAGCTTGCACGCCATTGGGCGCATCGTCTCGGCGCGAACTCGGAGGTTCCACCCATTTTTGTTGACGGTGTTGTGATTCCTCGTGACGAAAACTGGGTCGCCACTATGAGCACCAAGATTAGCAGTCATCTACGCAGTGTGCAGGAAGCCGTCTACTTCGGAAAGGTCGAGGAGGATGCGTGGGTTGCGGGTTATTTCCTTGAGGGCGCGCTGACGCGGCGCAATGCCTACATCTTCCCCGAAAATGAGAAGAGCCTGCAAGTGGTCAATGTACACAAGCTACATACAGACCATGCCGATCTTTTTGAGGAGATTCCCGTCATTGAAGCAAGCGAAGAGTCGACCAAGGAGACGTGGGCCGTGCTCACTGCTGTCCTCGACCTGGACACCGAAGACGGCACCAAGCTTCTCTACTCGGCCCTACAGTTCCGCGTAAATAACCCAGGCATCCGTCTGGACATTGTCTATAACCCGGCGAAGACGGGCAGCAGCCACGACCTCAACTCGGTCCTGAAGAGCAACCTCGACAAGGCTACGGATACTGCGTCTTGGAAAGATCTCAAGACTCTATTGGCCACGGAAGAACCGGCAACGGCAGAGTACGTGGCCGCCCTCGAGCGCTTCCGCGAAACGGCCGCGGTCCACTCCGGCACCAATGTTCTGATCCTGAACGGCCGCGTGCTCGGTCCCATTGCGAATGCCGATGCCTTTGGTGAAGAAGACTTGCTTACGTTCCTCGAGTTCGAACAGGCCGAGCGCATTCTACCCGTCTACATGGCGGTGGAGGATCTGAACCTTACGGCCAAGGTTTCGTCGCCGCTGGCGGCCGCCAAGCTGACTTCGGTTACCGCTCTGTCCACGATCTCTGATCTTCCCGAAGGTATCTTCGAGTCCGCCCCTACGCTCCGTATCTCCTCGTTTAACCTTTGGAACACGACCCACACGTCATTCGAGGTCGGCGATGCCTCCACGGCCACGATCCACTTCAACGCGGTTCTGGACCCGGCCAGCGAAATCGGCCAACGGTGGGGTCCCATTCTCAAAGTGCTTTCCAGTCTCGAAGGCGTCTACATGCGCGTCTTCTTAAATCCCCGTGAATGGCTTGACGAGCTTCCCGTAAAGCGGTTTTATCGCTCTGTCCTTGAACCCGCGCCCTTGTTCGACGACGCGGGCAAAGTCAAGGGGCTCGGTGCAAAATTCAACGGTCTCCCATCTGAGGCCCTCCTGAATCTGGGTATGGAGGTTCCGCCCGCTTGGCTGGTCGCGCCCAAGGTATCGGTGCACGACCTCGACAACATCAAGCTGAGCTCCGTCAAGTCCGACGTGGAGGCAACCTATGAGTTAGAGCACATCCTGATCGAGGGCCACTCGCAAGAACGCAGTGGGCAGGCACCGCGTGGCGCCCAGCTGATTCTGGGCACCGAAAAGGATGAGCATTTTGCCGACACCATCATCATGGCCAACCTAGGCTACTTCCAGTTCAAGGCCAATCCGGGCTACTACAACATTAAGATCAAGGAGGGCCGCAGCTCGGACATCTACTCCATTGAGAGTGTCGGCTCCAAGGGCGTTGTCCCCACGCCGGGTGACGAGGGCACTGACGTCGCGCTCATGAACTTCCAGGGCACCACACTCTACCCGCGCTTGGTCCGCAAGCCCGGCATGGAGAAGGAAGAAATCCTTAACGAAGAGGGTGCACCGTCGGCCCAGGGCGGTGCCATGGAGTACGTGGCCAAGGGCCTCAAGTTCGCCGAGGGCATCCTAGGCAAGGGCAAGGACGGTGACAAGGCTGTGGCCGCTTCAGAGGCGCAGGCCGACATCAACATTTTCTCCGTCGCCAGCGGCCACCTCTACGAGCGCATGCTGAACATTATGATGGTCAGCGTAATGCGCCACACGAACCACACCGTCAAGTTCTGGTTCATCGAGCAGTTCTTATCGCCGTCTTTCAAGGACTTTATCCCGACGCTGGCCGAGGCCTATGGCTTCCAGTACGAAATGGTCACCTACAATTGGCCGCACTGGCTGCGCCAGCAAAAGGAGAAGCAGCGCGAGATCTGGGGCTACAAGATCCTCTTCTTGGACGTGCTCTTCCCGCTGTCGCTCGACAAGGTCATCTTTGTTGACGCCGACCAGATCGTGCGCACTGACATGTACGACCTCGTCCAGCTCGACCTGCAGGGCGCGCCCTACGGCTTCACGCCCATGTGTGACTCGCGCACCGAGATGGAGGGCTTTCGCTTCTGGAAACAGGGCTACTGGAACAACTACCTGCGAGGCCAGCCGTACCACATCTCGGCCCTTTATGTCGTCGACCTGCGGCGGTTCCGCGAACTGGCCGCCGGCGACCGCCTGCGCCAGACGTACCACACGCTCTCCGCGGACCCTCACAGCCTGGCCAACCTGGACCAGGACTTGCCCAATCACATGCAGTTCAACATTCCCATTTTCAGCCTGCCCCAGGACTGGCTGTGGTGCGAGACGTGGTGCAGCGACGAGGCGCTTAAGACGGCCAAGACTATTGACCTGTGCAACAACCCGCAGACCAAAGAGCCCAAGCTGGATCGTGCCCGTCGGCAGGTCCCTGAGTGGACCGTCTACGACGATGAGATTGCCGCGCTCGACAAGCGCCGTCGCCAGGGCGGATCGCCTGCTTCGGACACGGCACCACCTCCAGTTCGTGTGGGCGGTGATGGTGTGGCGAGCCAGCAAAAGCCACTCGGTGACGGTAGGGAGGAAGCGAAGGAAGAGCCCAAGGCGCATGATCGTGATGAGTTGTAAATGAATTTTAAGAAATCTGGCTTTCAGCGGAGAGAGTATATTTGATGTTTGTCTATAAATATAGCGCATAGCAATGTAAAGTCTTTGAAATGAAACACAGCAACCCATTCGAACAGCGCTTCGTACACCGTGACATAAAGGCAAATCCATGAATACGATGTCGTTATCGTCCCTTGAGTTCTCCTCTCTCCTCATCACACTCTAGTGTATATTCATGCTCTGGTCGCGCCTTGCTAACGACTTCCCATGGTGCATATGATAAAAAGGTCAAAGGATAACAAGAAACAACAAATTACAAGGTCAAACGCCCTCTAAGCTTATAGAAAGGTCGGGCAAGCGTCCGCAACACACCGACTCTAATGCGAAATATATTGGAAAACGGCAGAAACAACTTCGTCACCGCACTCTTGCCGAAGAAGAAGGTCTTGAATCTGGCTGAGACCCTCATTCACAAAGTGGTTCCACGTGCTCGTATCACCGTACAGCATGGCTGGTGCTTTGATGAATTGTTTGCCGTCTGGTCGGCACCGCTTACACTTCAGTGTGTCGTGGGTATCGCTTGTCGTCACACCGCCACCACGGAACTGGAAGAGTTCTTTGAGGCCGTCCAAACTGAAATGACGCTCTACATCTTCCGCCGAGTCGACAACACAGGTCGACAGAGACTGTTTGTGACTCTGGCGCTGGAAAATCTTCTCTTCGATTGAGCCGGTCGTGATGAAGCGGTACACAAAGCAGTCCTTTTTCTGGCCATCACGCCACACGCGTGCCAGCGCCTGTTGGTCGGCCGCGGGGTTCCAATCCGGGTCGAACAGAACCAGACGGTTGGCACCAATGAGATTGATACCACAACCACCAGCCTTGGACGACAACAGAAAGACAAACTCGTCGCTGTTGGGATCGTTGAACTTGTCCACCAGCTTCTTCCGCTTGTTGACGTTCATGGTGCCGTCAAGTCGCAGGTTTCCGTAGCCGCGATGACGGCACAGCTTCTCAAAAATGTCGAGGGTCGATGTGTAGTTGGAGATGAGCACAATCTTGTCGTTGGTATCGGCCCGGATCCGTGCAAGCATTCGATCGAGCACCTGCATTTTGCCACTGTACCAGGACCGGATCTCGCGGTCCCGACCACGGGCTTCTTTGGGTACGTAATCTTCGGGGAAGCAGCGCTCCGACCCGGGCAGGTCGGTAGAAAGGTCGAGAAGATCCGGGTGGTTGCAAAGCTTCTTGAGGATATTGATGGCCTTTAGTGGCTGACTGCCTTTACCGCGCAAGAGAGCCTGGATGTGTGGCGTCGTGATGAAATAGTTGTACAAGTCGAGCTGGAAGGGAGCAGCATTGCAGAACACAACATGCTCGTACTTGACTGGTAGGTATTTGGACAAAATATCGTTGGTGCGCCGGATGATAAAGCGGTTGACAATGGTGAGAAGCTCAGCTAAGCATTCGTCACCCTTCTTGCGGTCCTCCTCATCGGCATCTGCGTCACGGCCCCGTAGAATCGGGATCTCGTATCTCTTGCGGAATTCCAGTCGGTTGCCCAGCAAGTTAGGGTTGGCAAAACTGACCAGCGAGAAGTACTCAGACAGATCATTCTGAATAGGTGTGCCGGAGAGAATAATGCGCCGAGACACCTGTAGACTATCGAGGGCGTTGAATGTCCGGCTGTCGCCGTTTTTGAGGCGATGGCCCTCGTCGCATAGCATGAGTCCGATCTTCGTATTCTTGAGCTCGTCCGCGTACAGTCTCAGCGTCTCGTACGAGACAATGATGACTGGTCGCGTGACCGCACGTCCACTGGCAATAGCCCATTGGCGAAGCTGGCGTGTGAGCTCTTCCTTCGAAGCCTTGCCGTCGATTGTGAAGGGGTTAACGGTGCCTTTACCAAGCCATTTGTCGAGTTCGTCAGCCCAGCTGCGGACCATGCTGGACGGGCACGCGACAATTGCCTTTTGGATCGTCGCCTTGCCGGCCTGAGGAGATTGCTTTAACAGTGTCCAGAGAAGCGTGATGCACTGCAGCGTCTTTCCCAGGCCCATTTCGTCGGCCATGATGCAGCCGTTGGCCTTTTCGTCTATCATGCCAGTGACACACTTATACATGAACTTGACGCCCTCGATCTGGTGAGGGCGCAAAATTTTGGCCAGCTTGGGGTCAATCACAACTGGAACACGGGGGTTCTCCTCCTGCACCTGTTTCTTGATGCCCAGGATTTCAGCCAGGCTCTTGTGTACAAGAGGAACCTCAACCTTTGGGGCCTCCGCCTTTGCCTTCTCGGCCTCAATCTCTTCGGGTGTCTTTTCCTTTGGTTTGTCGTCGATGGTGGGGTCGTAGAGAACAATGGCAAACTCGCCGGCAGGATCATGGAGCGGTTTAGCCACAAAGGCACGGCCTTGGCGCATGCCCAAGGCAGGGGCCGGACGGCTAGGGTTGTACGCCGCGGTGGACTTGTCGATTAGAGGAACAACAAAGACCTTTCTAAATGCCTGCTCTTTGTCCAACACTCGAAAAACGGGGAACTTGTTGGCCTCTCTTGTCGCCAGAGCAAGCCGGTCCGCATTTGTATAGGGTTTGTCACCATCGTCGCCGCCGTCCGCACCCTTGTAATCAACCCGCTTACGCTTTCTCGCAGGTCGGTCGGTAGCCGGGCTTGCGACAGAAGCTCCTGGGCAACGGAAGGGCTTGCTGAGTGTATCGAAAGCCTTAGGAGGAGGGAAGCGGCCTCGAGGAATATTCTCTTTATTGTTGTGCCTGCCAACAGCAGTGGGCTTCCCTTGCGGAATAGACACCACAGTTGCCCTGTTGAGGTCCATATTGTTAGTATGTGCTATCAATCGTGATTGCGGCACCTGATAACGGCAGTCGGGCAGACTTACATGGTGGAGTCGGTGATGTGTTGTGTTTATGAGAGAGATTCAAAGACTTTTGACCGTTCTCCTGAATTTTGCCTTGTTTCACTACCGGATGTGTCGCGATACTGTGGTGCAACGTAAGGAGCGAGTCAAAAGAACGCGTCTCTCTGGTCGTCCGCAAACTCGGAAAGCACGCGTAGTCAGGTGATACAATTTTACCTGGGCAGGGTTATGAGGAGGGGAATGCGTAGTTACACGCTAGCTTAGTTTGGAAAGATGTAAACACACGACGACGCGCCGCAAAGTGGGTCTTGACTTCAACAAAGTCATCCACACCTGTTTTTGCTTGGACATAGCCATTCGATGGAACCAATTCGTCGACAGCCGTTCAGTAATTATCCCTTCAGTACTTAGACTTCACGAGCGTTGCGTCTCTGGGTGTTTGTTTGGCTCCTACATCCTAATATATGACACCTCACATACATCTGCCACGACCACGCGAATCGCAAACTTTGGTGCTCATATTTTGACGACATAAACCAACACCGTCTTCCCATCCACAATCGCACCTTCTAAGTCCCGCCCGACGACATCGACACACACACTACCCCCTCGCGGCAGAGCCGTTCTCTGCTCCAGCCGATCCCAAGATGGTAGGCCTCGGCGGCAGCCTCGATACGCCGCGAACAAATGCTGGCGACGCGACTTACCTCGAACGACCGCCGGATTTTGACGTCTCGCAAGAGATGTCCTTTCAATCACCGGCCAAAGATGGCAATATCTTTGACCAGATGCGCAATGGCGGCAAGCCAAATCTTCGGACACCTCGCGGTGGCAGCGGAGCGCGCGCCCCTTTCAGCAATCGGCAAAACCTCCCCGAAGGAATTGGGGGTGTCGAGTTTACGCCCCTCCTCAAATCGGCAACGCGAAACAGCGCGCGGCGCGGATACCGGGGCAAGGAAAATGGTGCGGCCGGCGCTGTGCCGTTCTCGCTCGGCAAAATTGATGAAGACGACACCACAATTCCAGTACCCGGCGCCATGGACCTGAGCAGCTTCGGCGTCTCGCGCAATATGTCCTATGTCGAGAGCACACCGCTACCACACATTGACAGTAGCAGCATCGCGTCTACACCCATTGCCATACGGCCACGCGGCGACAACAAGGACAATGGGGGCCCACTCCAAGATGGGAACCAGCTTTCTCTTCGAGAACAGGAGAACGTCATCGATAGAATCGAAAAGGAGAATTTCGGGCTCAAACTGAAGATCCACTTCCTCGAGGAGGCTCTTCGCAAAGCTGGGCCAGGATTCAGCGACGCGGCCCTTAAGGAGAATACCGAGCTCAAGGTCGACAAAGTCACGCTTCAGCGCGAACTACAGCGTTGCAAGAAGCTACTCATCTCAGCTGAACAGAATCTCGAAACCTATCGGCAGGAAATGCTCAGCATGCAGGAGAAAATAGAGGTGCGGCAAGCCGATGAGGTCCTCCACGCCGAGCTGGAGCGTCTGCGTGACGAGCTGGCGGCCAAAGATGCAGACATCGAAGAGCTGCAACGCAAAGTCGACGAGCAAAGCGAAAAGGCACGTGAGGAGATCGAGGACCTTGAGGCGGACCTGCGCGAGAAGGACCGCATTATCTCACAAAAAGAAGAGGAGCTCGAAGACTTCCAGGTCTCCATGGAAGCCCGCATGGAAGAGAACCGTGAACGGATAGCCGAGCTGGAGGAGAAGGCCAACTCCAGCGACAAGCTGGACGAGGCCAAGGAGACCATCGACGATCTAGAGGCAGACATCCGGCGCCTTGAGCAGCAAGTTGACGACATGAAGGACAAACTCGACGAAGCGGTAACGGAGAGGAAGCGGGCCGAGGAGGACCTCGAGGAGCTGCAGGAGGAAATGGCCAACAAGTCGGTCCACACCAAGGGCCTGTCTCGGCAAGTCGAAGAGAAAGTCGCACGCCTTCAGGGAGAGGTCGAAAAATCCCAGCGCGAGCTCTCGCAGCTCGAGGAGAAGCACGAGGAGCAGCAAAGGGAGGCCGAAGACCTGAAACTGAAGCTCAAGGAAGCGCGGGTAGCACGCGACACAGCTGAGCGGGAGGCATTGGCCGCAACATCCCAGTTAAAGGAAGCTCACGCTGACCTCAACATGGCGCGCGACCAGAAGACACTTCTGCAGACCCGCCACGACACTCTGGCAAACGAATCTGCAATCCTGCAGCGCGACGTGTCCCGGCTGCAGAAGGCGGTGGCCCAGTTGGAGGGTGATCTTGAACTGGAGCGCCAACACAGCTCGGAAGTGGAGCAGGACTTGGGTGTTCAGTTCAAGGCCGAAATGGAGCGCTTAAACAAACACATCATCGACCTTCAAACGGAAATTAGCGAAAAGGAGCATCTCTACGATATTGACAGCGAGAAATGGGACACGGATCGCGAGCATTTAGAGTCCGAGCGAAACCGACTGCAACAGACGATCAACCGGCTTCGGGAAACTGAAGGCGCTCTGTCCGGCAAAGAGGCACAGCTGCAGGAGCTGATTGACAGCGAACGTATGCGTCATGAATCTGAGGAAAACATTCTGCGACACCAGCTAGAGAACTTGCAAACCCAGCTCGATACACGGCAGGGAACATTGGACGGCCTCCGCAAGGAACTTGCTTCTGTACGTGACGAGCTTCGCTCCTCACAACTTACTGGCCAAGCCTCAAAGAACAAGTGCGAGCGGCTCGAGGATGAGGTCGAAGCCTTACAACTCTCCCGCAAGCACGAGGCTGAGCAAGCGCGCCATGAGAAGGATGTTGCTGAGGAGGAGCGCGATAGTCTCCGGAAGCAGCTGGCGGTATTGCGAACAAGCGGTGCCAGTGCGTCATCCGCGACAAACGCCGTAACAGCACTTCAAGAATCAGCGGCGAGCACTGCGCAGCAGCATAGAGAACAGATCGACCGTATGCGGGCACAAATCACGGAATCAGCAACGAACGTGGCGAGGATCACCAAGGAGAAGCAAGGTCTGCAGGACCAACTCGCCAACATCAACATAGAACTCCACTCGCTCCGCGCATCACTTTCCGAGACGAAGGCGGAACGAGATGAGATCCAGGAGCAACTGCGTCGCTCCCAACAACACGACGGAGACACGTTCCGCGTCGACCAAGAACGTATCGATCTCCGGACTACCAAGATGAAACTTGACAGCGAGGTCCGGCGACTACGGGAGGAAAACAAGTCTCTAGCTGAGCAGTGCCAGTCTTTGGAGACTACGCTGGAAGAAGAGCTCGAGAAGGCGGCCAACGAGGAGGAGCGGCTTGGCCAGGAGGTGCGCCACCTTCAAAGCTTGCGCCTGCGGAGCTCTACTACGGAGAGTCAAGAGCTCCAGGCCGCACGGCGAACGATCCGCGATCTTGAAAGGCGAATTGAGGACTATGAAGTTGCAGCGGCCACTGCGGCAGTGCTGCCACCATCAGCGAACGCAGCCGACGTCGACGACACCAACACCGGCGAACTGTCCCTGATGCGCCGCGACCTATCGGCCGCTCGTGCCAAGGAACGCGAGTATCTGCAGCGCGAGGCCACACACAAGGAAGCGGTCAAATCACTGCGGCGCCAGATTGCAGACCTCGAACGGGCAGCACATGAAGCCGATTTGAAGCGCTTGATGGTCTCCTCGGAATCCACGGAAGATGTCGGGTCCATTATGTCCCCGTCGTCATCTGCGGCACGGAAAGCCGAAATTGTGCAGCTGCGTGAACAGATGCTAGCAGCGCACCAGTCTGTGGCGGATATGAAACAAACCCTCCGCGAATCGGAGCGGCACGCAGAGTCATCAGCGGCAACTGCCAAGGAACTTGAATTGCGGATCAGTGAAGTGGAGGAGGAGCGTGTCATCTTGGAGCAGGCACTTGACGAGGCTCAGGAAGCCATGGCCGAGGCTGCATCGGCGCACGAAATGGCGCTCCGGCGGGTTCAGGCGAAGCTCGAGCGGTACCGGCACGAACGCGACGAACTTGCGCTGGCTTTGGAAGATGCCCAACATAACAAGGCCGGGTCAGACTCCGAGTCTGTGTCAAGCGAAATGAGCCGTGAGGAACGCAGCAACCTTCATGCCATGCTACGCAAGACTCAGGTTGAAGCTGAGGCTCTCGAACACGATTTGCGGGATCACCGGACTGCCTTGGACGAGGCTGTGCGTTCGGAGGAGGCACTTCGCGCCAAGCTCGAACGTGTACGTGGTGAGCGGGCAGCTTTCCGCGCAGATGTTGAGCGCCTGCAGCGCGAAGTTAATGATCTCCAGGAGACAGCCAGCAAGACCAGGGCCGCGATGCACTACGGCACAAACAGCGACGCGCCAACCAATACCCGCGAGCTTGTCCTTGCCGCCGCCTCGGCCGGCCAGCACAATGGCAATGCCGACACCGATGCATTGGTGCGCGCGTCGGAGGAGCAGAGCAACCGCCATCGGAAGGAGTTGCGTGGCCTTGGTATGCAAATCGACTGGATGCAGGCCCGGTGGGAGCGTGAGGCGCGACTTCGGTGTGGCGCCGTCTTGGGCAAGCAGCTCGTGTCGCAGGATCTGGAGATGCGAATTAAGTGGTATGTCATTTTTTGCTTCACCTCTTCGTTTCTTATATGATGTTTAGCTTGTAATCGCCTGCTAACCATCCCACAGCAACAAGGCAGATCTACAAATGCTGCAGGGCATCCTGCAACAGCTGGGTGTCAAGCAGCCTGTTCTCCAATCGGCGAGCATCGACCTAGCGGCGGGCAGCAAGGGCCTCGTTACCAAGTCAGCTCGCAAGACGCTGCGTCGTGTGGTCCTGGCCGTGCAGTTTATGGTGCGTACACAGCGGGCGGCCGGCGCATGGTCGCAGCACGAGGCAACGCGGCAGCGACTGGCCACGGCAGCTGAGGGTGTCCGCAAAGCCGAACGGATGCAGCAGATGCGGGCAGCATGGCGCGTGCAGCTTGCGACCGCGGCATCGTCTGGGACGAGGCAGTAATCGGGACATGGGTAGCAGGGCGTGGTGGAAGGAAGGAGGGTCAAAAGCATGAGCATTTCTCTGTGGTTTATGATATATGGCATGGGAGCGTCTTGGTGGAGTTTTTGGATGCTGCTTCGTTTTGGGCTTTTAGTTTGAAGTTGGTCTTTTTGTTTTGGCTTGCATTTCGCATATTTTTCTTTTTTTCTGGGCTTGTTTTGGATTCGCATTGGGAGGTCGTTTCTATTTTCCAATTTTGATTCTCCTTCTGAGTCCACACGGCTTTTGGTTTGCATCAACATCCTACTCATTCTCGCATGTCCAGTTGGTGATTCGTACGCTGCTCTCCAAAAGCAGACTTTTGATCATAATCATTCGGTGTTTATATGTGCCAGTGAAGCCTTTTGGCTTTTCCTTTAAGACTATGAATATGAATAACGAAATAATGAGACAAATAAAATAAACAGCTCAATAGAAGAATGAATATTAATGCCGAAATTCAGAAGAAAAAAAAAAGAAAAGAAAAAGAAAAGAAAAAAAAAACAGACAGAATCCAGATGATAACAACCTCCCACCAAGTAAGACGCATTTCGCCAGATAACCCACCGGCAAATTGACGGTAACAAACTACCAGGGCCCGGGTAGCAGCCAATTCCAGCCCGTCATAGGGATCCCATGATGTTTAACTTCAAATAAAGAGGCAACTCTAGCTTCAAGACAGCCCGCTTCATAGTTCAACCTCCGGTGCCCTCTTCAGCCCTATGCAGAGGGACGCGTCCTAACCCTACGAGGCTCAAGTGCGTTTCGATAAGATAGTTCGTGTTCCTTGACCCTTGGGTGGAGTACGAAGTATTACAGACCACCATTTCGTGACTTGACCAAATGGCTATGCCGTTTCGGGACACGACTCGTGCAAGCCAGCGACTGGCTTACCGCCGACCCCTGCACTGACGGCACCGATGATGCCTGAATGACGACGCGGCGAGACAGTTTAAGATGAACACGTCAACGGGGAGCACATACAGCGCGCGAAGAAGGGTGGTCGCGCCGTCACGACCCTCGTCTCCCTATCAAATTTGCCCAACCATGCAAGCTGAAAGGAAACGACGATCTGCGACGAGCTGGCATGGTAAAATGACCACGAAGGAATCCCTATCAGCCGCAGCTACATTTGTCTTGCTCGTTCTTTGAATAGACCTGGACAGGCTTTTGGGAGGAGGCCGCTCGAATTGATGGATGCCGTGATGAGCTTTGTTACAGTTTTGCTTGTTACTGTTCTGATTCTGTGCCGAGCCCCGTTCCACAAGATCGGGGAGGCCAACTTTGATGGTGATGGGACCTGCGCGATTTGACGGCATAAAGACATCACCGCCAAGACAAGGTGCTTGATGGGTATTTCCCGTATGTGTTCTGTATGGGCAGGTGGTGAATGACAGGTATGCTAGTGTGCACCGAAGAGCTGAAAACCCGCCGGCATTCCCCAGAAAAGGAGGCTTAGACACTTTGGGAACAGCATCCGGCATTAGCTCGGGTAGACTAATGCCCACAAAGACATCAACTGAGTCGTACTGCACGACGTTGCGACAACGCACTCCGCAGTTGCATTTTATAAAAAGGGGTAACCCGGCGTCGCCATGGCCGGAACTCTGCCGGTATGATGCCGTGTCTGTAAAAAGAACGAGGATGGGGAGAGTACAAGGCTGGCCACGCAGCCATCTGGAAACCGAATGTAAGACTTACCATGACCGCGAAAGAATAGTGCGACTCACGAGCAGGGTGGGCAGACTGAGGCCCGCGACATCACAGAGAATACAAGCAAGGCGGAGCAAGGGGACGGGGGTTGAGGGAAATCCCGATGCCGTGGTTCGATAAAGTAGGAGGGAGTGTCCCGGTGGATTGGTTCATGGGATGCTGGCCAGTCTGGCGCATCGAAAGGCTTGTTAGCTGTGGTTTCCTATTTCTCGCCCATCGGACTGCACAGTGCATGCCGTACGTGCTAGTAAGTCCCTCCGTCTCTGTGGCAGCCCTGGTATTTCCATCAGGATGACGGAGTGCACAAGTGAAGGTCGAGGCTGGGTTCGATTGTCGTGGCTTCAATTGGTGTCCCAACGTGGTGATGGACCGTGTAATTACCGTGTTGGTCAGTGGATGTTTTCCTGTGACTCGTAGTTATCTGATGTTTCGGGGCATGTATTCCTTGCGTCGTCCGTACCTGTGTAGCATGCAAGGCCCTGTGTTTCCTAACGCAACAGTAGACTGCTTCGAAGGTGCGGAGTACAATAACAACCAAAGCACACACGAATTTTGCCATACAGTACGTTTTTGTGTTCGTCGAGGCCCCGGGATATCCTGCCCTGTTGCGTCCAGTGTGAGCTGAGCAAGGACATCCCTGCCGTCCCAACACGGCATCGCAATGAAATCTCATGTTTTGGCAGGTCGACAGCCTCTTGATGGCATGTCTCTCTTCACATATTCTGGATTGCTCGGTCTCAATGCGCTTGGTGCCGACAGCGTGTTGAACCAACACGGTCTAGCCTCATGTGCGGGCCCGCCATCGTATACAACATCATTGGACAAATCATTGGACAATGGCCAGATGGACAGGGGTTCTCAGCTGGTCGCCTTCCCCGGCTTCAACCAAAAACGTGCGAGAGGCTCCAGTCGACAAACTGAAAACCTCTCCGACGCACTGTTGACACTGTGCGTGTTTGCAGCATTTCGAAGTCTCCGAATCGCAACGAACAAAAATCACTGCTGGGACCCCTGACCGTCACCAGCGAGCCCAAGTTACATCGATGTATCTTTACTGCTTTCGCCGCGAGGCAGGTCGTCCGCGAATTGGCTATGATGCGGTCGGTGGGTGTCGTCTGTATTTCGTGCGCACGGGAGGTCCCTTACCCATGCACGCGGAAAAGCCTTCGAGTCGGACGTACCCGTTTCCTGTTGCGCGAACATGGGCGCACAGCCCTGGCCAGCGTGCATGGGCAGGGAGCGGCAGTGTGAGGCTGTATTAATACTCCGTACAAGCCACCGGGACACAGCTGGCCACCGTTGCTGGGCCTATCCAGGTTTCTGTGCAGGCTTCGTGAGTGCGTTGGCATACTCATTGCTCCCTTGGGCCGCCGGCCTATCACTCTCTAGTCGCTCTGTCTGGAGAGGACCACCACGCCCACTTGCCGACCTGCCGGGATGTGTTGATTACTTACGGGGCCATGATATTTCTGTCTGTAATTTTGGCACGTTCGGCTGGCTGCTGGCCGCCCTCTGCAAACCGCGATCTGCTAGGGTGGGAAATTGCGCTGTCTAGAATTTTGCGTGTTGCTGCTGTGAACAACGACTGGAGCTTTCTGTTGATCAGCCGTGGCAATATTGCGACGTGGGAGCGCAAAAGTTTTTGTCGCCATGTTCAGCCTCGGCGGCAAGGGAATAAACGAAAATAAGGGGGGGGGGGGGGCACGAATCTGCCAGGCAAGTGAGAAGCGACCAAATTATCAGCGTTGGATGGTAAGGCAGGGGCCATCGCACCTGCAGCTTATCGCAGTAAATATCGAAATATCGAAATATCGAAATGCAGTACACGTAACGCAGTCAGTTCGGTCGCTGGAAGGCGCGACTGTGTCGCACATGTAACCCTGTATGTCATACTGTCCGTATTTTTGGTGTTGCAACCACCTGTATCCGACCCCATCTTGCTAGACGTACGAAGTAATTACAGAATATGTAGACCAGACAAGGCGGAGCCGTGCTTTGTGCATCGCACTCAACCATATGCCCTGTTGGAATCTGCTCCATCTGCTCCATCTGCTCCATCTGCCCCATATGTTAGCGCTGCTATGCGAAGGTCGGTCTTTCCCATTCAAGACTGCCTGACTTACGGAGCAAGCGCGAAGCAAAGCCCCCCCCTCCAGCTGGCCGTGCCCACCCAAAGGAAACTCCGAGCCTGCTAAGAAAGGAAAGGGCGTTGCATGGCGAAAAGGCTGGCGCAAGACCACGTCTGTTTGCTCCTGCTGGGTCCCTCCTGTCCCAGCAAGAACTCAAGGAATGGGAATGGAGGAGGAACGAACCTACAAAAGGACTCTCGCGCCAGCCATCCTTGTTAGCAACGCCGACACAAAGGAGGCCGCAACCCGCTACGGCGAACCGTCCCTCTAAGTTACCTCCAATTTGCCACTGTCCAATTGCGTCGCCTGGTGCCGCCGCCCGAGGAACTCGCTAGCGGCCAGCAGTGGTTGGTGTTTCCTTCTTTGTTTTTCTTGAACACGCCCTTCCGCGCCGGTTTCCTTTCTTTTCCGACCCCTTTCGTTAGCCAGGTTCTCCTCCTGCCTTATGGTCCGCACTGCTCTGATTCTGCCATATTTTCCCGGCCTCTTTTGCATCGTCACAGCTTTTTGTCAGAGCTCCTGCCTTCCGTGCTCCAACCTTCCTTCGTTGCTTCCTTTCTGGCGTCCGTCGTCTCTGTCCGATCTTGCCTGGCCTTCCTGGCATCCAATCAAAGCTACCCCTCTCGGTCCTCCCCCCACCACCTCGTCTGCTCTTTTTCTCCTCCTCTCGTCACGCTGCTCACGTCCATTGGGCATCTTTCTTCCACCCTTTTCTCGCCCTCACACGAGCCTATCCTTCGCCGCCTTTGCCAAGCAACTCGAGCGCCCACGGCTATATCCCCGCCTCTCCGCCACTTGCCAGTTTGAGCGCCCGTCTTACCCGCCTTAATATTTCTGTCGTCGCCGCAAAGTTTCGATTTATACCCGATCATCACGCTGGGCTCTCCCTCGTCCCCGACCACTCCCGGACCCTCTTTCGGGCATCGCCCAATCTCCCGATCGTTGCTGTAAGTGCTCGTCGTTCGTAGATCTGTTCATGGAGCTTCACACACCGCACCAGTCCTGTTGCTACCCCACTCCATTTCCATGCGACGCTCTGCGCGTCCCACCGCGACCTTAAGTTGAGCTTAAGTTGAGCTTCTGGTCCGAGTACCATGTCTGTCGGTCACCCTCACGGCTCCCCATACAACCTGTTTCCTCCGTCACATTCCCTATTTCTTCTTCGGCGCGGTCATTGCTTGTTTCTCCCACGTCGTGGTCCTAAGACTCAAGCCGAGACCTCTCAACCTCTGATCGCAATTGTTTCTGTTTGTCACCTTTCTTTGCCTTACACCTTTGCCTTCAGCCTTCGCACATCGGACGTGCCTTCTCAGCTGGTGGCGCCCATGTCCGTTCCCGTCATTTTTTTTTTTTTACTTCAGCCCAAGGCTCTCACTGCACTGACCCCCAGAGAGTCTATTCTTAAAGTCTGGACCTAAATGAGCTCCATTACTATTCCTCCGCCCAGTATCCCATCCATCACCTCTTCAAACAGGAAACCCTACTGCCTTTTTATGCCATTCATCTGTTGTCTTTCTTCGCTACGAATGCATGCTAACCCTCAGTGCCAAAGCTGCCAGCGCTTTCCTACCGAATAATCCATACTCGGCCTGATTTGTGCTGCTGGCCTCTTCATAACAATCCTTTGTCGAGCCACCGAAGTCGTTACTACCCACCTTCGAAAGAGCCTCGGCGCCTCCCGACGAACCTCGACGGATTCTAGTTGTTCGCCTGCTTTTGTCTCGTCATTACGACCCAGACATTCGAAGCGTGCCGCTTCATTGCGCGCATTTCCGGCCTATTTGCAACAACGTGACGGCTACTAGACAGCACAGACATGTCTGGATACCCAGGACAAAATTACGGCCCTTACGGCGCTCCGCCGCCTGGCGCATTCCCTCCCCAAGGCTACTACCCGTGAGTAACTTCTGCCTTCTAACTTTCGACGCACGAACTTGTTCAACCTGCCGGGAGCCCGCCTTGTGCCTTTTTATTGTGCTTTCGTGTGTACCCTTCCCGTGTTTTGGGCAACTGCATGCTAATTCCGTCTTGGCAGTCCTCCTCAACAGTTCAACGGATATATGCCACCAGGTCCTGACGGCCCGGCTTATGGGTACCATCAGCCGCCCCCGCAACCATATGGTTACAACCAGGTACGCCGCGTCACATTTCACCCAAGTGTTGTCATCTCGCATACTTTGCGTAGGGCCTGTAGAATTAACAGCATCTTCCCAGCAACCGCCACAACAGCAATTTGGCGGTGTCCCTTTCAACGGCGGCCAACAGCAGTTTGGCGGTCCCCGGCAGTGTAAGTAATGACGTGCACTGAGCCCGCTCACCTCTTTATCTTCCGACATATCTAACTTAGCTAGCGAGCGCTGCCTACGTCGACCCGAACATTCACAAGCCTCCACAGACGCCTCAGCAATTCGGTAACGGTGCTCCAACCGGCTACAACTTTCAATACTCACAATGTACTGGACGGAGGAAAGCCCTTTTGATAGGCATCAACTACTTCGGCCAGCGGGGACAACTTCGGGGCTGTATCAACGACGTCCGGAACATGTCGTCCTACTTGGTGGAGAACTTTGGCTACAGGCGGGAGGATATGGTCATTCTCACAGACGACCAGCAAAACCCTATGAGCCAACCTACCAAAGAGAACATCCTGCGCGCGATGCACTGGTTGGTCAAGGACGCCCGGCCAAACGACTCGCTTTTCTTCCACTACTCAGGTCACGGGGGTCAGACGCGAGATCTTGACGGCGATGAAGACGACGGATACGACGAAGTCATTTACCCAGTCGATTTCCGGACCCACAGCCACATCACTGACGACGAAATGCACCGCATTATGGTCCGACCACTACAAGCTGGCGTTCGCCTAACCGCCATTTTCGATTCATGCCACTCGGGAACGGCCCTCGACTTGCCGTACATTTACTCTACGCAGGGCATCCTGAAGGAACCTAACTTGGCCAAGGAAGCCGGCCAGGGCCTGCTCAACGTCATCTCGTCCTACAGCCAGGGTGATCTTGGTGGAGTTGCCCATAATATCATGGGCTTCTTCAAGAAAGCAACCGGTGGTGATGAGGCACATGCTCGTACTCTTGCTACTAAGACGTCGCCGGCCGACGTCATAATGCTTTCAGGTAGCAAGGACGATCAAACTTCGTACGTACCCTCCCATGTTGGCATCACTTTTTTTTGTGGTTTCTTGTTTTTGCGGGGTTTCAATTTGTTCAGTTTTGGCTGGTCCAAATGCCCCACCATTTAGTATTTCCACGTCGGATAGGCCTCGCATCGTCATGTCGAGGTTTTCCAGGTGTGGTTGTGTGTATTTTCAGCCTCAATGTTCTTACTATTGTGGGCGCCCCAGGATGGGTATAGCGTTCTTCGGAGACGATGACTGTGGTACTAGGGGCTGCGGGTTGCGTTTGATGGATATAAACAGCTGCTAACATCTTTTCTTTTTCTAACAGTGCCGACGCTACGATTGCATCACAAGCCACCGGCGCCATGTCATGGGCGTTCATCTCCTCTCTCAGGAAGAACCCCCAGCAAAGCTACGTTCAGCTGTTGAACAGCATCCGTGACGAGCTATCCACTCGTTACACTCAGAAGCCACAGCTGTCGAGTTCGCACCCTCTCGGTAAGGCCTCTTTTTTGCAAGCATGTATTTTTATTTATTTATGTTACTGCCTTCCACCACGCCGAATCGTTCCTTAAACGACCATATACTAACTGAGACGCAGATACAAACCTATTATTTGTCATGTAAATGAGACTTTATATGACAGACCGGGTCTCTTTCAGTAAACCACTAGTGTGGCCACTGGGCAAATTACAACATTCTTTCCTTTCGCCCTTGCGTTTGGTGTTCGACTTTGCTCGCTACCTTTGCAGAAAGACAATTCTTACCGAATGTCAAGCTGTCTTTTCCGTTATCGTCCATTGCGCTTTCTATTCTTACTCACCACTTTTTTTATAAAAAAACATTTTACATTTCTGATTTGTATATGGGTTAATTTTGGGGGGTTATTTAAGGACAAAAGAGAGATGGACCGGTCTATTTCTTATAGCCAACATTTTGCACAATTGTTGTTATATCTCTGGTTTGTTCCCTCTTGCTTATATTATAAACTTACTACTTCTTTTTTTCATCTGATATTACAAGTGACCATTTAGAATGCGCAAGGACTTTGTGTCGTTTTCCCTTTTCAAATTCCGTGAAAAAAGTGTTTTTTATTTTATTTTGCATTGTTTAGAGACCTACAAAACTATGAAGCGTTGCGTAAAGGCGAGCTTCGCCGCATCTCTTTAGGTCATTATAAAAAGCAAATCCTGGACAAATCGTTGCTCGTCTTTATATTTTCCAGCGCCAGTTCACTTTCGCCGATAATTCTCATGCGTCACGCGTCACCGCCCATCTTCATGTCAGTGTCCTGCTCGCGCAACAGATAGGCCATCATGGCCCAAGAAAGTCGCATGGCCTTTAACCGGTCCTCAAACTTAAAGAAATCGAACCAAGGACTGCGAACCACTTCAAGCCCTGCCCATATGCCATCCAGGGCCACGTCGTCTCCTGCTTCGACCCCGTCCAGTGCTTGCAGCAACCGCTGGGGTACACGCATACGCACAATGGACATATGGTGGAAGAGTGCGCTCACGACGAATATGTCATCGTAATCGGCGTCAACTTTCCGGCCAATGGCTTGAAACCGTGTCTTTTTGTCCCAGCTAGAACTCGGGGGGCGCACCATGCGGTAGTTGTCGTACATTGCCAAGCCTTTGCGCGGCTTTTTCGTCGCGCCACGGACGGGCATACCAGTGATGCTAAAGGCAGATTCGAGGGCATTCATCAGGTTGGCTCGTCCGCCGCCGCCGCCTCCGCTGATACCTCCGGCCCCTCTTCCGGATGAAAATCGTCCGGGCCGGGGTAGCCCACTGCTGACAGCACCGCTATCAAGGCCGCTTCCGCCTCCAGGTTCATTAGCACTGGTGCCAGCACCCTCCTCCTTTGCAGTGGTATCTAGGACCTCGTCTGTATTGGGAGCGGAGTCCACCTCGCGACCAATTGGGCCGCCAGAGCCGCCACCCCAGCGCGGCTTCGTAGCCCACCACTCGCCTTTGCCTATGCGGCGCTCTGCACGGCCCTCACGTGCCCGGTGTTGGGCTGTCAGGAGTGCCGCAACGAGTTCACGTGCAAGGTCGATAGACGAGTCTTTGTCCGACCCTGCTTCCTCAGAGCTGGAGAACGTTGTCGTATGGCGGGCGCTGACGGCGGCTAGAGGACCGTCGACGAATCCTGCGCGGGCCGCTTCCCGTGTTGAGGGTGTGCGGAATACAAAGACACAGCCCGAGGAAAAGTAAGAGCTGGGGCCCTTTGGATACCTCAACGCTTGGACTGCGTGTGGCTGATCCTGGTTTTGTTTTTGATCTTCAACGTTACCTTTTTTGTCAGACGGATTGTCTTGCGCTTCTTCGAGCGATATTGTCCCCGTGTTGAGGTATAGACGGGGCTCCACACGGGGTGCAGAAACGTTGCAGCCAAAGTCATAGGCGACAAGCTTGAGGAAAGCTGTGATAATATGGAGTCGATATTCTGGCGGCATCTGACTGCCAGCGTTGGTTCGGTAGAAGCGGAACTCGGGAACGGACGGTACACCGTCCTTGGCTGGTGATGAGGGTTTGCTTTCCGAGTCCGTCGTAACTGCTGTAGAGGATGCCGAAGAGACGGAATCGCAACCGCTCTCATTGCCGTCGCCGCCATCGGCATCGATGCTTTCGTCGCCTTGTTCGTTGGCGGTCTTGGAATCGGGGGCGTCGGCTCTATCCGACGGTGCACTTGGCGACTTGGAGGGGTTTTTGTCCGGAGGCAGCGCCATTGATGTGTCATCCCAATACGCAGAGAAGCTCTCGAGATGACGGTAAAACTCGTAGGCGTTACCAAGCCGCACTGCCGGCTGGCCGGGTTGTAGCGGTTGCATACGGCGCACGGACCGGTAGGCGGCGTTATTATCAATAGACAATTCGCGTCTCCGGTCCAGGTAGGTTTGGATACCCGGAGACCGGTTGCCGTTGTTAAGCGGTCGCCGTGTAGATTCGTTGAGTTCGCGGGCATCGTCGTATGAGATGTCCTCCCACGTGGAAAAATCGGGAACGAGGGTGTGGTATTCAGGGATGAGGACTGTGGGCTCGGCGTTCTGCTTGATGTGGACGCCAAGGGCCTGAAAGTGCTCAAGGCCAATATCCGTTGGGCGCACAATGCTCTGCAGGATGGCCGTCAGAGGAAGTTTCTTGGTGGGCCCAGACGGGCCACCAGAAGCCGCACCGGCGCCGCCCGCCGTTAAGTCGGCGAAGTAGCGCGGGAAGTTCACGGGTGTGGGCGGTGGCACATCTTTGGGAGGCGTCGATGGAAGCGCATTTGCTACAGTGTGGCTTGGTCAGATGAAGTTCGGATGATGGGGCAAATCGCAAGAAGAGAGGCAGAAGGCATGAATGGGCAAGGCCAAGGAAGGAAAACAGTAACGGGTCGCGGCCAAGCCGAGACAAGCACACGAGATAGACATTGGTGCGAAGGCGATCAGACCTAGCAAGCGTGATGGATGAGACGCTGCGAACCTGAACGAACCATTCGAAGGCATTAACAAGACAAGAGGGTCCAGCAATCACTTCCACCACTGGCAGTCTACTAGCAAAGGATGTGAATGTGCCAGACGCCCACCGAACGGGAATGTAAAAGTTGGGGAATCATGCTTTGATTCGGCTGTTAATGGCGTATAGAGGCATAAACAGAGCCGACCCAAGAGCGTTGGCAAATGACGGATAAGATGGGGACTGTGAACCAGAGTCAAGGCAGTTGATATAAAGAGGCCAAACGGCAGCACCCAGGGACCCAAGGTCCGAAACAATGCTAGGGGACCAGCATCGTCAAACAAAGGGGCAATTCAAACAGGTATTCGAAAATGATGTCAAAGAGAGGCGGATACTTACAGAAGATGGGCAGGTTCCCAAACATGATTGCTCATGGGAAGGGCAAACAAGACTAAAAGCGGCGAGAAATACAAAAACGCGGTGGATCGAGGCCCGTCGCGAAGACAAGCTGAGGTCGCAAACCCTGACAAAATGCGTGAAGCTGGAGAGAAGGTGAAGAGAGGAGGTGAGACGAAACGAGAGAGCTGTGAGAGGTCATGTGGGAGGGGGGGAGTAAAGTGCGGTAGAGGTCCCCAGTGCGGCCTCGTGGGAAGAGGGGCCTCTTGTTGGCGGATTCTTTGACAGGTTGGCGGTCGCTGCGTGGTTTGCAGACGATCTGACGATCTGGCTGGGGAAGCAAGTGATGTTGGACGTGGAAGGGCCAAGAATGAAATTACCTATAAAGATTGCAAATTGCAGCCTAGGAAATATTGTTAGAAGTCGCGAGCTCGGCTCAGGTCGTTCCTGCCTGTTTTAGGAGACTCGTTCTTTGTGCTGCTCCTTCCTCTCCTCCTTCCTCTCCAGGGAAGCACTAACAGGTGAGTGCAGCTCGCTGCCGTTGGCACCAGTCACAAAAAGCGTGGGTGCAAAGGCCGCCGCTAACGCCACGCTTGCTCGCCGAAGATCGCAGCTCCCCCGCCGTTTCAATCAGGCGCGTCTAATCTGGTTGTGAAGGCGCTCTTGCCATGCACTTGCCCTCTTCCTTTGTGGCCTTCCTCTTTTATATCTAGGCCTTAGACTGTCGGCGGCGCCTTCCCTCGTTACCTCTCGATGCATTACAACTTTCGTTACCCCACACTATTCTCGTTTCTTTTTCTTTTCCTTTTCTTTTCTTTTTTTTTTTTCCCTGTAGGCAGGCGGTCCTCTTTCAATCACACAAGTAGGATACTCGTATGTCGTAGACGCTGTGCTGGCACTCCGTACGGAATGCAACCATGCTGGCCAGCTCACCGCCCAAGTAAACGAGGAAAGAGCAATCCAGGAAAAGATACCCCGCCGGGTGTGGAGAAGAGAGTGCCCAGGGCTTGCTGGCTTTTGGCTGTTTAGTGGGGATAGAAAGAGCGGAAGTCCCCAGCGTGGAAGCTGCTTTCGAGACGACAATTTGCGAGCCAGGGCCAGACAGAAGGCGGTATCGGTTTTTATCATCAATCACTCTTACACGGAGGAGAGAGTGGCACTCTATGCAAAATTTTGCCACTTTGTGGCGCTCATCAGCAACGAAAACGGTTCAGCAGATAGGGCAAAGATGGGAAGGCACGGCTGGTGCTTGGTTGCACAAGACAGTAGCAGCACCTACCCTTATTATGCACTCTGTATCTCGTATATATCTGTAAGAAAATACGCCACCGAAGACAAGAAAAAATGACATTAGACCTACTTCCGGCCCTCTCTGTACGGAAGTACCTGCAAGTAACTTTTAACTAGGAACGAAAGTCATGCTGTCCGCCACCGCGGGAGCTAACTTTAGGTCCCGCTGTACCGCAGGATGTCAGGTCGCCGCTTGTTCACGCCAGGGCTTTCCGGCGGTATCTGGTCACGATCCTGAAGCCGATGGCAAACAAACAATTAAGCAGTGCGAAGGTTGCTAGCTGGAGTAGCTAATGTATATTTTATCTCGTCGCACTGTTTGATGATCGCAGATCATATCGCAAGGAAGGAAGAGACTCAAGTAGAACGACACAGCAGGAGTTCTTGACGGCCCAATGTAGCTGTTCAGAAAAGAGAAGGGAAAACAACAACACAACCCTTGGTCCGGCAGGGAGCACACCCGGCGACACAGAAGCGTCTGTCAATGTAACAGTGTTATGACAAGAACGACCTCACAAGGAACAATTGTTGCTTGGAGGAAAATCATGGTATTGCTGGCTGTGGAAACGAGGAGGTGCTGATTATCATGGCACACGTGAACCATGTCACGGCTGGCTATGCAGGACATCGTATAGCAGTTCTGTCGTCATTGAGACCGTGTAGCGAAATGTGGTAGCCCGGCCGTTGCCTTTATGTAGGATCTCCCAGTCCCTCTATCAATCGTGCTGACAGCCCCGCATATATGGACATCGACGGCCAGGACTACAACAGAGAGACTGGCATTGACTGGAGGTCAACAAACGTCGAAACAGCAATTGGCTTGGCATTTCGAATCTGCATTTACTGGCCGGGACATAAAAATGCCTAGGCTCCAGTGGTGCGGCTTTGGCTGTGGATGTTGACTTGGGCTATCCTCCACGGTGAAGCATCCTGTGTATCACCATCAAGGCCCTTTCAGCGCTTCGAGAGGGACCAGGGACCTGTTCATTGTCCTTCCTGTTGTTGGTTGATTGCCTTGCACAGATGTGGTCTTTTTTTGTCAATATTCAGTCTTTCCTCCATATGGGCTTTCTGTGTCGATTTTCAGTAGTTCTCACCAGAAATTTCTCTCCAGTCAAAAGAATTTGAATAGCGACATCGGTGGTCAACAATGACCAGACTGAAAAATAAGCAGGCTTATTAAGAATCGATAAAAGACCCAAATCGACGATTGGTTACCGAGCTGACCCAATGCATCCTTTTACCATCCATTGCTTTCATCCCGGCCCCGCTAAAGGCTTTGCCTCAGGTGTGTCGCAGGACAGGGGATGTTGCGAATCCCGTGTGTCAAAGCGCGGCCCCGTCCTTTTTACAGCCGCGTCCTGCGCTTCCACCAATACAGCACCGGATTCATCCATATCTGGAGGTAAATATAGCCAATATGCCAGCCTGCACCATCTGCCAGATATATCATCACGCGCACCCGAGCGCAGCTCACGGGTCCAAGCAAGTAACGACGTCAGAGATCCAAGCCATAGCGATGCTTGGCGCAATCGCCAGCGTCCTCTGACTCTTCTTCTGCTTCCCACTTCGTACCTTCTAACTCCTGGGGGTCTGTGACAAGGATCTGACCAATCCCGTATTGTCTGGCCCTCGTATCAAACAACGATCAATCCTGCACAGCATCGTGCGTTCTGACAGAATCGAACATTCTCAACTTCTCTCCCTGGCGATGTGCATTCCCCTCTCTTCCCTCTCTGGTCTTCTCTCACATGTGTCGACCACTTCCGAGTTGGCTGTTCTGTACTTGATATGTTCCTGTGAAGATCTTCAAAGTAGAAACTGTAGTACTACCGTTGCTTTGTGTGTTGTAGAACCCACAAGGAAAGAGCGAACAGGCAGGGGTGGCATGAGCGACAGAAACATAGGTAAGAGCAGCCTGGCCTTGATGATTCCGAAACGCCTTTTTCCCAGACCTCCTTCCCAGCTGTTTGCTGGCGTCTCCTCTCGCTCTTTCCCTTGGAGTGTGCTTCTCCAGATCTAGTCTGCCCTTTCTCTCTCTCGTCCTCATTTTCGCCTTCATCTTTTCCTTCTTTCGAAACTTTTTTCTCACGTTGTTTCTCAAGCCATTGATTCTCGTCAATTCATCCGCGTAATTATCACTCTCAACGACTTTGGCATTCTCCATTTTCATCCTCGCGCCTCTGATCTCTTGCATCACAACGCTTCATTCCTCTGTCTCTCATCTCGCATTTATTCTTTCGACTTTAGCCGTCATATCTGTTTGGATCGTCGTCTCTCCCACTATTCAAGCTTCTGGGCCGCTTCCAGCTATTATCTGCAACTTCGACTTCCTTTCCTTTGCCTCTTTTCGCCTTCTCCTTAGCCATCGACCTCACCTTCTCTCTCGTTTCGTTATTGTCGCCTCCTCCTTATCCGAAGATCATCTCTGTTACTCAACCATTCTATTTGCAATTCCGGACTGTTTCGCTCTCGCAGTCTCTCAATATCTTTTTGCCGACAACTCTGGATCCCGTCCCTCCTTCTCGAATCTCCTCCTCACTCTCTCATCCCCGCCCCATCCGCACGCTCTCACACACTCCCCGTCACTTTGGCCACCACCCTTCTGTTTCCATCTCCCGTCTTCCGTCCTCCAGTCCTGTCTTCTGTCCGTCACCTGTCTAGCCAGCCGTCTGCTTGGACGTTTCTTGTTCTTGTCTGCTCGCCGAAGAAAACTACACGCGTACCCACCTCTCTTCCTCCTTCACCCAATTTTCTCACGATCAGCTTTCATGAACGTTTTCAACTGAACTTGGCCTACGAGGCCCGCTTCAATTTTTCTTTTCTTTCTTTCTCGTCGTGCGACTGGATTCGCCTGGTGTCGACAACCTTGTTTATATACCATTTATTCACCGGACGTCGACTGTTCTCGGGTTTTTATTTCACCTCACGGCTCGTCTGGACACGGCCACAGAAGACATCGACATCTCACGATCCTTCTCTTCCCGCTCTGCCACCGACTCTTCTCTTATAGCCACCGTAATAGGAACGCCAGTCGACGATATCACCATGTCGACCAACGCCAACCTCGCCTCCGGCCAGTTCATCACAACCATCAGTGGCAAGAGATGCACAGCCGTTCCAAAGGCTGGGGGCGGAGGCGGCGGAAGTGCCGCAACCACGGCGGCCAACAATGGCAATCGAAACGGAGGCACTGTGCAGGCCACATTCAGCGCGGTGCAGGCGGCTTCGTCCTCGGCTACTTCTGACAGTACGACGACCACTTCTACCTTGGTGACATCCACATCAACTACATCTACTTCTACCTCCACCTCTGCCACTACCACTTCCACTTCCACAAGCATTTCCACCTCTACACAAGAAGCGAATGTGGCTCCTGCACCAGATGTGCAAGAGACCACGACCGACTCTCCCCTTAGCACAACCAGCTCTGCACTTCCCACGAACCAGAATGTTCCCGGTGTCTCTTCTCCCCAAGCACAGGCACAAGCACAAACCACCCCTGTAACAATACAGCCCAGTCAAGCTGATACCGGCGTAATAGCCACTTTAGCCACAGCATCGGCCACGACCGCGACGCAAGGAACACCAGCCGGAGCCGCAGCGGCGGCGTCAGTTGCCAGTGCGGCGGCGGCAGCGAGTGTGGCTACAGGTGGCCCTCTAAGTATTACAAACGGAAACGGCGCTGCAATTTTCTCGACAATTGCCGCACCCCCGGAAGCTACAGATGATGGATCTTCGACGGCAGCGGCCGCAGCAGCTGCCGGTGGCGATGGGAACAACGCAGCTATAGGTGCTGTAACGAACACACCCGGAACGAACCCAGAGGCGACCATTGCTATTGCTGGCGGCGTGATCGGTGGAGTGGCATTTCTGTGCCTTGTTGCATTTTTAGTCTGGTTCTGGCGCCGCCGGATGCGGAAGAGACGCCGCAGCACTCTGCTTACACCTTTGTCGACAGACCCGGCCACGTTTGGGGGGCGTGGTGGCGGTGATGGAACTATGAGGAACGGCGAGAAGGGTGAATATGTCATTAACCGCGGCAGCATTGGGCCGACGCCGAAGACGGAACGCATCAAGGCAACTCTGGATTACAACATCCGGAGAATCAAGGGACGCTTTGGAGACATGGTGGCAAGCCGCGCCTCCAATGGCAGTGTAAACATGGACCGGGGCAACTCGCAGTTCATGGAGGCCAACAATGTCAACGGCAGCCGCGACAGCAACACTACGAACAACACGGAAAACACTGACGCTGTAAATGGGGGCTATGGCGCGGCAGCCAAGGATCGCGTTGCAGGCTGGTTTGGCCGTATTGCAGGTGCGGGTGCCGGACTGACCTCAAAGCTCCGTGGCAGAAGCAACGTGGATGCAGGCGGTCAAAATGAGAAGCGCCTCATGGATGCGCAGCCGAACAACAAGGACGGCCAGCCCGACTTCCTGACCTTGCTGGGCATGGACGAGCGCGAGCTCGAAAGGGCCGCCCAGAACAAGAAGAACAGCAAGAAGAAGCGGGCTAGCATGGACCGCGGTCGCACAGGCAGCAGCGGCAACAATGACTACCTAGGCCGCCTCAACATCGACTTCGATGACCCGTTTAGCGACTCCAACGCCGTTGCCCACCAGTCGGCTAAGCCCGCGCCATTGGCAGTCAGCCAAACGAACAACCCCTTCTCTGACGCGAACGCCATCCGCAGCAACGGCGGCGAATATTCGAACCCAAAGCCGAATACATATGTGGCTGACATTCGGCGCTCTCGCGGCCAGAACGACCGTCTGACCGACTTCAGGTTAGAGTCCATGTATCGGGACTCAGTCCAGACGGTCAACACGGTTGACACATCCGCAAAACGTAACCGCTTCCGCTCAGATCCCTTCGACTTGGAGCGCCCAGAGCTGCTTCAGCTCGGCCGCTCGACACCTAGGACGGTGACATCGTCAAACATGAGCGTGGCTGGGTCGTCAAACGCGCCAAGAATGTCTGACGCATCAGGCAGTCGCCTCTCTGGTGGCGTTGGCACTGGGGAGATCCGACGTCCTCGTACTGCGCACCAGCGTGGGGACAGCTTCACCAGTAAATACTCCAGCGGTGTGAGCATGGGCGAATGGAGCGATCCTGGCCCAGATGTTGGACCGTCAGCACCGATGTGGGGGGACAACAACAGTGACCGACGACGAGATAGCCCAACGAAAGGCCGACAGAGAAGCAATAGCGACGAAAGCAGCAGCAGCGTTGGGAAGGCTTTATAAAAACGAACCGTCGACAAGTAGGGGAAAATGTGGTGGAAATGCCAAATGGGCGACATATTTTTTTTCTGTTCAGATGTTACGTTTTCAACTTGAGCGATGTTTCGATGTTTTCGGTTTGTTTTTGTTTTTGTTTTAAATTGCCCTTATCTGGTCCCTCTTTTCTTGTTATGTCCCTGTTTCTTGTTTTATGTTTCCCTTTTCTGTAGTAGGTCTTCATGTGGCCCACGTACCCTCGTTTTTTTTATTATCGCTTCGAAATCAACCTTTCAGGTGACGAATTTTTGGGCGGGGCGGAGAAACGATGGTAACGAGAATCACGCGGAATACCCAGAAATTATGGAAAGGATGGTTGAAAACAATTTTCAGAGGGAAGGAGATGCAAACTCTCCCTTTAGCTACACTCGTTTATATACCGGGATGCATGTCCTCTCAATTATTATTTTGTTACTTACCGAACCAATTCTTGCTGACAAAGGCTGGCCCAAGGGAGACATGACTTTTTGGGCTGGTGATGTTGCACGTCGTACAGCGTATTTTCTCCTCGTCAGTGTTTGTAGTCACATTTTGTTTACTTATAAATAATACATTTGATTGCATAGCAGCCCATCCATTGATGACATTATCTGGTAATTTTAAATAAAGTACGGATTACGCTCAGACATACGGCATACACCTGCTTGGACCACCGCAAACCGCCATGTTATTAGTTGGCCGCTTTGTCCTCTTTTGATATGCACTTCAACAAAGCCATGTCCTCAGCTAGAAAGCAGCTTGGCAGGCAAGAATATCTATCATCTGACAGCATGATAAGTCGACCGTGCAACCAAAAACCGTCTTCCTAACGGAATATTCTTTGAAGAGGCCATTCTTGGGTTGAAAATCAGTTGGGGGAGTGTGTTACATTAGGACTGTTTTGAACTGACGATGACAGGCGCACTTATTCTCTACTATCGTATGGCAGCAACTTGTCGGCGAGGTAATTACATTGTGCTTTGGGTGAGAGATGACGATTGCCTTCGTCTTGTGTTCTTTACTCCTTCATGTCTCATTTTCACCTCCTCACGGTCTGCGCGCTGATATCACTTTTGTGTACTCCATACTCCGTACAGATGACTCCGTATTGGCACACAATTCGCCATCAAGCGAAATGTTGCACAAAGAGGGTGGCGTGAACAAAAAGGATTTCGAAAATGTGACGATGGACACAACCAAACCACGCTAACTTAATGAGCCCCACCAAAAAGGCTGAGCGGTTCAATCGGTCACACAAAAAGCGGGGCTACGGGCCATTGGAACGCGTCTTTTTAAAGAGCTTTGCGGGCGCGCGTCCAAAAAAACGCGAAAAGTCGCGTCGAAGCTAATTTTCCAACCTCACCTCGAGCTTGGTGTCCATCCTTTTTTCGGCTTTCTCGCAACGCGCGGGTCACCACTCACCTCCCCGCCATTTTGGTTTTCATGTGTCCACGATTGTACGTGTGCATGCTCATGACCCATGTTTTAAGTTTCTTTTGCCAGCACACCATCTTCACACCCTCTTTTTGCCGTTTGTTCCCTTACCGTCTTTGCCGGATAGGTGTTATCAATCTGTCTCAGCCAATTGGGTTCAGCGTGAGACCACCGAGAGGGCCAAGGTTGGCAGGGGATGGCAACAATTAAATAATGTCTTCCAGAAAGAGGGTCTTTCAGCTCGCATCGTGCAAACCAGGCAGCATTTCACTTATGTATCTTACGATGTGAAAATTTGATTTGACTTTTTTTTTGTATTTCAAAGAATATTCTTGTGATTTGCTTTTGGATTGTTATTCTCTAGTCTGTTCCAATTGAACAGACGTGAAGAGTATGTGGAAATGCGCAAAATTGTGCAAAGACCGTCGCGACAAGGACCTAGTCAACTCGCACAAACAGGCACTAGGTCCCATTTATCGGGCCGGTAGAATGCACACAGTAAGGACGTCAAAACAGGAAACAGTGTTTCGTATATAACAGAAAATAGAGACGAAAAAAAAAACCGAATAGAGGTAAAAGGGAAAGAAGAGCCGGGATCAAAGAAGGGTTCGGGCGCGGATGTGGGTAGTTAGTGTGATTGTTAATGCACGCCAGGCAAAAAGGCGGATAAGAGGGAAAGAGGGGGGCATGAAACGAGAAACAATATGATGCGAGTAGCTGAATTAAAAAAAGGCTCAAAGAGCGGCATTCGTGAGACGTTGATGAACACGTGTGAAAAACTGAGATGTAACATGCAGTAGGGTGAAAAGAAACAAAAAGGAAGGAAACCATAAGCTTTCCGTAGAGTACCCAGAACCAGCCAGGTTCTCGCTGGGAGGTATCATGTACATAAATGAAAACGTAGTGAGGTAGTTGGACAGATAGGAAAGAGGTTGGGGTAGAGTTGAGGTATGAGGAGGAAAGGGGGAGGGGTATTGTGAGCAATCCAAAGCTGGCATTAATGTGACGAGTGAGTATGTGGAAAGCGCCCAGACGAAATCAAGGAGAGATACAGAACAACAACGCCGAGTTGTGTAGATCACAGAGGCTCGTCAAACGTGAGGCGCCGGCGGGTGACACTCATCGGGGTCTTGGATCCCAGCAAGTTGGGTGTCTTCCAAGGCTTTTGTGCTGGGCTGGGCGTAATGTTGACGAAGTCAGCAAAGTCAAAAGCTTGGCCGGGGGTATTGGGGAACATGCTGCCGCCACCAGGCGTAGTCATCATCGACGACGGCAGGGCTAGGTTGTTGAACTTGGACGGCGGTGTCGACGGCGGATCCATGCGGCTGCGACCGTTGGGGTTGGCTGGTGAAGGCGAGGCGGCAAGGAAAAGAAGAAGGTCGGCGCCTTCGACGCCGGACTTGCCACCCGCGCCTTCAACCTGGTCGATACCCAAGCCAGTGTGGTTGTTCTCGTCGTCTTCTAGAATATCGTTGCCAGTGGCCTTCTTCTTGCGACGGCCGTTGCCATTTGGCAGGCCACGGTGGCGCATCGGAGGTGTGCTGGGTGGCGACCCGGTACGGGTGGCGTGGCTGCCTGCGACAGTCGATGTCAGACCGGAGGTCGAAGGCCCCAGAGACATGCTGCTGGTGCGGAACGAGTGTGTCGGCAAAAGCTCGTCGTCGCTAGACTGATTGGCATTGTAGTTCACAACAGACAGAGCGTCGGCAATGCGGCGTGTGCCCGGGAACAAGGACACATCAGGTCCTGCTGTTGTCGTGAAGTGCTGCTGGCGTTTCGGTTTGATGGGCGAGCTGTGCGACAGTTGGTGGTGGTCCTTCCAGGAGGCGTGGCCGGAGAAAGAAGCACCTTCCAGTGGCAAGTAGGACGACGTCAACGGGCCTGAAACGTGTCTGTTTGAAGGTGGCGATGACCGGTAGCGCTTGCTGGGGCTGGACATGATATAGCTGGCGCGGCGGCCGCTGTGGTGTGGGACGTGGTTGAGATCGTCGAAGGATGCCACATAGGTCCGCTTGCGGTGGCCTGTGCTGCCGTTGCTGGAGCCGATGGCATCGGAGAAGAGTGGTGCTTTAAGGGGGGAGCTCATTAGTGTACGGCCGGAAGGGTACGCCATGTCGGATGTGCTGGATGAAGAGTCCGACATGACGTCTCCGTCGGACCCCCGCTTCCGCCGCAACTCGTCCTCGTACTTGGGCTCGATCACGTCGAAGGAAAGGTCTTCCCAGCCATGGCGAGTTTTGAACTGGGCAAGGGCAAGGCGGTTTTGGAGTCGGCGAGCCATCTAAAACGAAGAAGAATAGGGAGACGATTAGAGAAAGGAGACAAGGCGAAGGGAAGAAAGAAGACTGTCGACGATGTTAGTGTAAGGACGTACCTTGCCCAGCTCTGCTCTCCGCAGAACTCGGTCGGCGACGACATCTGGTCGATTGGTGAGCGTCGCCGTTGCAGACGGCATCGAGGTCGAGGTAATCATGGTTCTCCTAATCTGGGCTGTTTCTTGATATATTCCAGTTCGGTGTCTGTCGGAATCAAGCGAGATCCAAATCTGAAAAAAAAAGGTTTGATGTTGCAAGAGCAGGTGCTCTGTGGGGCGTTACAAGAAAAGTTATGGTGCTCCGTCAAGTGGGCGGAAATTGCAGGTCTAGGTTGATTGGGTCCCGAACTGAACCTGGATGCGAGGCCAAAGGGGGGTCTCGCAAGACGCACGACGAGGTTCCGCAAGGCGCTTGCAGAGCCTGCTGTAACAAAACGAGCGTGTGCACACTGTAGGGGGGTGTTGTGTGGCGTGGTTTGTCTCGTAAAATCCAAGACGGCGTGTATTATGCGTATTTGTGAGATATGAGGCCGGCCTCGTCACGACGGCGAAGTATGCGTGCTTTTGAGATTGTTCGTAATGCCAGAGGACAAGAAAGACAAGAAACAAAAAGAATGTGAGAGATTGGGGCGAGGAGAGAGAGGAGGAAAGACGACAACAAAAGAGGAGTAGGAGTAGCAGGCGGCGAGATGGACCGAGTCTAGTCGAATTGTCACGCAGACCTCCTTAGCACTCTAGGAATCCTGGATTTGCAGCTCTTCGGGCTTGTCTGAAAAGGGCAAGGGAGGAGAGACCAGTCCAAGAGCGAGGGATGAAAGAAGCAGGTGAGACGCAAAGGAGAGACGACGGTCTGCAAAAATCAGGTGCGTTGTAATGTTTTGAAAAGAGCGGGTGTGATTGAGAGAAAACAAAGGAACGATTGGGAACAGTGAGAGCAAAATGGAGGTCGAAAGTAAGAAAAAGGAGAGGAGAGGACAAGAACGAGCGAGGAGCACGAGAGACTGCCGAACTGTGAACAGTATGAGAGCGGGAAAGGAAGGAGGTTGAAAGGCCCCAGGAACGGAAGGAAGGGATGAGGACCAGCGATAGCACGAGGGAAAAAGACGAGGAAGGGGAAGGAGCTACAGCGGCACAAAATGCTACTAGCCAGTCGTTATGTCTTACAGGCTGGTGTCCTGTTCGATTTGGCAAGGGCGGCTAGCCAACCAAATGGCCCAGAGGATGGGGAAGGAGCATAGTGGCGAGCGGCTGACAGATGAGTAGGCCAAAAGAACGGATGCTACAAGCCTAGGCCCCAGCGCCAGGCCAGGGGTGCTCCGGGGCTCCAAGAATTTAAGGACAAGAAAAATGAAGAAAAATGTGTTCCGTGGAAACCGGCAGATTAGGTTACAAACCACTCAAACCAGCTGCTGCCAAACAGACGCCCAGGCCACCTTTTTATGGGGCCGGACGGGGGCAAGAGACGGATGGTACAGCGGGCGACAGGGCTGTTTTCTTCACGATACCCACTGTGAACTAACCCGCGGTTGGTTTGCACCACCCAGATTACAGTGCTCTGGCACAGCGACGGGGCTCGTAGTAACAGCACATGCAGTAAGGCTGGTTGCCGTGGGCAAAGGTAGACACGGCCTGCAATTTTCCACTCCTTCCTTTTTGTTTGCAGGCATTGCCCGTCAAAGACGGGGAGAACTTTTCTCAATTAGGAAGGGGAGTAAGGGATATGGGGGTTCTGGTGGCAAGCTGTGTACATCGTGGATGGGTTGCTCCGGACTTGCATCGAGAGGACGAGATCCACTCCTGCCAATTCGGCCGACCCTGGCAACCGTTGTGCGGCGCCGAGTGCCACACTCGGTCGGCAACGGAAGGTATAGAATTGGCAAGAGCGAGCGTAGGACTCGTTTAGACGCATGTAAATTTGGACTCGTCAAACGGATCAGAACCTCGGCCAAAGAAATGGTAAGATATCTACCGGTGGGCTCGGACGTATGGCACTGGAAACCAAGAGATGCTCGTCTCAGTGACAACATCCCCACTCCATACTTAGAAAGTCAGACCCAACAAAGAGCACGAGGAAGACGACAGAACTGGTGAATGATTAAGGCCTCACTTGCCTAATTTGGACGGCAAGACAGATGAAGTGGACGCAAGACTTACAGAAGCTACAGATGGGGCACACAGGGCACGTGAAGAGCAACTTCTCGCCTCTCTTTGGAATGGGTGATGAGCTGCTACGGCGCACTGAGGCTCGCAGGTCTCGTCTGATGCGGACGATTTACATCCCTGGCGAACAATTGGCGCAACGGGGAAAATGGAGGAAAGACGGAGGCGCCGTTGTGCATAACTCTGTCCCTGCACAACCGTTTGAGAACGAACGAAGAGCCAATTGGGGAACATCTCTCCGTGTGGAGTATTTCGTTTCCCAGGTCTGAGATGCAAGAGGAGGTAAGGTAGAGACTGACAAGAAAGTAGGCCTGGTTGCTGCTACCTGGTCTCACACTCTTACCATCACTTGCGCGCTGATTCGAGGTGCTTCATGGCAGCGAGCTTTATTGTCAGCTAACAAGGAGATTCATAGTAAATTGAGAAAAAAAAAATTAGGAGGCTGACAAAAAAAGGTCCGAGGACGTGCTTTGTCTCTTCACATCAGCTGTATTGCTTGTCATCATGAGTGCGAAAAAGAAAACAAACGAAACCCGGAATAGGGGCAACTGCGGGAGTTATTGACAACGGTTGTTGATATACAGAGGAGGAGATGTTGGCCGCACTGTGTGAATACCACTATATCCGGAAGAGGTATGCATCGGTACATCTTAATAGTTCGTATGCAAGGGATATCGTATTAACCAGCTATTAAGCTTGAATTGTCAGTCCTCTGTTTCTTCGGCCGTATTTATTTTCGAAACATTGCTAACTCCCGGAACAGAACTTATTTACCCGGGAGGCCAGACGGAAAGGTCGGGCATCACAGAAAACAAATAACGGGTGATACAAGACAGGGAGGGGGAATAAATCTTGAGAACTAAGGGTGGTTTTCTTTATGCCTGATCTTGTATTACAACCTTCCTGTAAGCAACAGAGCCCACGAGAAACAAGTGAGCCAAAATGCAGCTTTCAAACTCGTCTTGAACGTCAAATTGTACTTGCAAATTGCGTAAGTAATGATGTGCCCGGTGTCACAAACTCCATACAGATATGGAGTATTACAGAGATCGAGATGAAGAAGACAAATTCATTTTCAACGCCTAGTTCTCAGCCGCCCGGTGTCCCCATCAACGAACGCCCTATGTGGGCGACCAGGGGAAGCAGTGGGGAGAAGCAATTTAAATCCCTGCAACCCAAGACAGTTTGGAGAGACGCTCCAGCAAAAATGCTCCAACCCTTGGATAGGCATGTAGAGAAACCTGAACATTATCTACCAATCAATGATGTGCCCAAAAGGGCAGGCATCGGCAAAGCACAAGTCTCGTCGGTAGAGTCGAGTAGGTACGGAGTAAGATACATATCCAGGACCATGGAAGGGAGATTTAGCGACGATAACTGTCGATCCTAAGTCTGCAGTAGGGCAGTTCATATTTCGCGATACCAAATATTTAGTAGGCGCATTGTCGCTAAATACGCTGATCGAGATGACATATCTCCTTGGGTACAGACGAGAGCCTGGATGAGTCCATGACAGATTTGCCTTGTATTCTGTCGCAGTAGCATGCAACCAATGGCAGCATCCACTGTTTGTATCCATTTTAACGACACGCAGAATACGACAGCATAAGAAAAGTCGTTGCTTCCTTGGCAACAAAGAGGGTACACTTGGTCCGTTCGTAGGCTCTGTGCACCAAGCACAAGACACCTTGATGCATCGTAAAATTACAGTTCCTTTCGAGAAGCGCTTCAGACGAAAGGAGGCTGCTGAGAACGGCCCCCAACTCACAACATACCAATAGGCGAGGCTGCACGTAAAATTACGTGGCTTGGTTGGCGCTCAACGGACAAACTTGGGCCTGATCACGTTCTACGTTCTAATTACTTCGTTCTGCTTTTCCTGGACGAGCGATACGTTTGCTAAGGCTGTCCTCTGCCGATTCGTTTTACATATCAGCAGTTAGTGGGCACATATCCCGGGTTGCTTCAAGACAAGGATCAAAAAGATCAGAGACGGGAACAACAGCCAGCCACGCCACGCTGCAACCTGGTGCATCCAAGGTCCAAGGCCAGTCGTATCTTACCACAGAATCAAGCTCTTACTCATTAATACAGCTTGTTGCTCGTGTTCTTCGCTGTCTATTCCTTCCTATTTGGCCCTGTATTGTTCCCCGGTTTGGCAGTGATACAAACGGCTCGCTCAGCTTTTTGGCAGGGTTTCTGGTAGCAACGGTGTCTTTTTCAAAAGCAATGTGCGCCACCTGCAATACATATTGCTCGTCACAAAGGACATGGCACACGACCACCCCGGATAAGCGGCTGAAGAGCGATGACATAGCACGTGCAGACAGGTCGATTTTGTCAGCCGAATTGGAGGCCGTGATACGGAAGGCTACCGAGTTGTCGTGACACACGAGCAGATCATGCCAGGCGCTAGGCGTTGAGAATGTATGAACATGAGATCGCCGCTCGTCCAGCCAACCACATGCAGTCAGGGCCTGGACACGCTCTATGATGCTCTCAGCAAAATGTCAAACACGAAACCACTCCCAAAGTAGGTAAGATGCAGCCGCCCCACCCACACGGCCAGGCTCCGGCAGAGCATCGAGCTGCGCACCCACAACAAACAACTAGTGGAAGAGATCGAAGAGATCGAACTAGGCCGCCAAAGAGCCACCGAGCAATTCCACTCGTACCCACGCACCCAAGCTATTCTCACGCTTTGTTTCCTCTCCCCTTGACGTGTCTTGGATTCCGTGGTATTTTTCGTCATGTCTTTTTTTAATCTCTCGCAGGAACAATGTCGTCTTTTTGAGGTGTTCGGCCCCGCAATAACTGACAATAATTTTGGCAGGACGGAGCAAAATAGGACAGCAGAGTGCAAAGCGCAAAGCGGCAAGAGGTGAGCACGCCAGAGTCTGTCGTTCCTTCCCATGCCTTGGAACGTCTTCGCCTTCTCGCGACATTGTTCATCGTGCCTTCCCGCCCTGGCCCTTTAGCTTGCTCCCCCTTTGCTAGGATTGTTGCTTATTCTGTCGTGTTTTCGTGTCTCCGAGGTACCGGCCACCTTGGCCAAGCGCTCCTTCCGTTCATCGTTTAACATTTCAGCTTCTGCATCGTGTCTCGACTTTGTATCTGATCTACTTTCAATGACAGCTGTGGTTACCTTTGTACTCGCATCTGTGGCCACCCGCTACTTTTTTTTTCTTCCTTTCTGTTTTGGTGCTTCTTGTACCCTCGACGAATATGTCGGAGAAATTACTGTGCATGTTTCTTTGTGTCTCTGTCAATCCATCCCCCCTGCCTAGTAGCAAGAAGTGATTCTTGGCAGCTTCTGGCTCGGTGTTTCGGTGGAGCAAAGGTGATTTGCTCTCTGGCATGGCCAGGTCGACGTCATCGGTTTTCCACTCCAAACTGCCTCGAAATCGATGCCCCGTCGATGCTTCTTCGTTGCACGTTTTCTCCTCGCTGCGCTTCCCTTGAGCTTTAACCAAGTCGGCGGCCGCCCGCTTTCTTGTCGATAAACTGCTGCCAAGAAAAGGCTTTCTTACCCACTTTCAGGTATCTGACAGCAATTGCCTACTTTCGTATCTTGCCTCGTTGTAAATTGACTTTGCCCTGTCCATTTCCTGTTTATTTGTGAGATCTCACTACCCAAGAAGCCGCTCCTTCCCCAATTGAACTCGCGTCGGCAGCTCCCACCACTCCTTTTCAAGGCTTGCCACATCTCCTTCTCTCAGCCCTTCCTTCCTGTTTCGATCCTCAATTTGTATTTGCTCCTGCCTTCGTTTCAATTTTTCAAAATCTTTTGGTTTTATGTTTTCTTTCCCTTTGTCGCCAATTATCCCCCTCCTCTCTACGCACTTCGTTGGCTCTTTTCACTTATTTTGTCTTCTTTCCCAGCATCTCCGCGAGCGCTAGCCTGCACTCGCTGTTTTCTCACTTCACTGTGGCTCTTTCCGACGACAGAAGAGGTCATTCGTTTTTAGCCCCTGACAAAACGCTATTGCACCTTAACTATTGTTATTGGACGCAAACGAGGTCTTCATATACGTCGACTCCTTTGACGCCTTTTTTCTTCTCATTTTTCTGGGCCTCCAAAGCTAGTGTCTTCTCTTTGCCCTGCTTCATTTCCTCTCTCTTCTGTTTTCCTTCTTGGATTTTAGTCTCAGCTCCGACTTAGCTCGCCCCTATCCTTGTTCTATTTTCTCTCACAGCGGCGCTCGTGTTCTCCAGCTTTATTTCGAGAGGAAATACATGCACCTACTTTCTCTCTCTCGGACCTTGTTTGCTTTTAAAGCACACTTGCCCGCCAGGAACGCCTCAATTTAAGCAAAGCGTGCTGTTGGAGCGGCTCCTCACACACAAGTCTATCCTCCCTCGCGCCCAATTGACCATCGACCTTGTTTTGCCGCTACTTTAGGTGGCCTACGCCCTGGACGAAACCGGCGATCAGCGCACTTTCACCCTCCACGGTGCACTCCCTCTGCCACGAATCAGTCAGCAACAGCCTCGCTTTGGCGACAAGAGGATAAACCAAAGCAACGAATTGCAACACAAGGCCAAGAGAAGACAAGCCGAGGAAAAGGTGGGGAGAAAAGGGAACGAAAAGGACAGGACAAGTTGCGAACAAATACAGGAGTAGGCGCAGGACAGGAAAAGTGATAGCAAAAACGGCCCAGGAACGGCTGGCGGGTTTACTCGTTCTGTTCCATCATCATGGCTCCTTCGTTCCTCAACATCCGACAGCTTCGCAGGAAATCCAGAACCAGCCTCAAGACCGACAAATCAACAGATGCCTCTAGCGACGGCGGCCATAGTCACGGTACGACTCCTACCAGTGGTTCCCTTACGCCGCCCTCTCTCGGCCACCAATCCGACCCCAGTCTGCATCTCCAGCAGCGTGGTAACACAACACCACCCCTCGTCCCGCCGTTGCCGCCGCTCGCGTCCTCGGTGAGCTCGACTTCCGTCAACACAAAAAGATATAGCGTCAACGGCATGGCTGGTCTCGGTTCTCCCATGATGAACGGCGGCAGCCGCGCACTGCCTGTCTCGCCCTATTCCCCACGCATTACCAACGTCGCGGACAATTCCTGGGCCTACCAAAAGATCCTGATCATCAATGGCACCATTGGCGACGGCAACCTGCAGAACCTCGACGGTGTCGTCACGGTCAGCCGCCTTGACGATGGCTTCCCACCTGTACAATGGCCCGTGACCGAGTCGCACTTCAAGTCCCTCGTGTACCTTATGCCTGGCGCCAATAAGCTGCGCTTCGACTTTGCCAGCCCCAAACTTGCCAACAGCGGCACCTCCAACCCCATTCACTCCTCCTTCATCACTCTTCACATGGTGCCTCCGACCAATGCACCGCCATTGCAGTTGGCCATTCTCTTGGCTAGGGATTCCCCTGGTACCTTTGATGCTGTGCCTGCCCGCGTTGAGCGCGAGGGCAACGGCCTGGAGACGGCGATCCGAAAGTTCCGCATGGCGGCGTATCTGTGGCAGAGCTTCACGGCCGAGCAAATGTGGCGCAACCGTCTCGGTCGCCGTGTATTCCGTTTCGAGGAGGAATGGACACAGGGCACGGCCAATTTGCGGGACCGTGAATTCGGAACGATGCGCTCTGAAGCGCGCATTCACGTTATCCGCACCGACAAGACCATCGCTGAGCTGCGGAGTCTCGACAACGCTCAGCAAAATGCCAAGGCGAAGAACCGTGACGCCTTGTATAGCATCGCAATCGACGCCGTCCGCAACTACTTCCAGCCCAAGTCCGGCCAGACCATGTACGTCTCCGTTCTGCTCCTCGACGCCCATTGGGACAAGAGCGCACAGATGATCACCGGCCATGCAGCCCTCGGCGGCGGTGCAGGTGATCTCCGCGTGGGTGTCTTTGGATCACATGCCATGCAGAGTTACCCGACCTGCTTCGAGGAGGTGGTCCCTGCGTTCAGCGATTGTACGCCGACTGATCTCAATTACGTCGGGAATGATGCCGGCGAGTCCGGCAGCTCGTGGGAAGCGGCCAACATTGGCATTGGCGCCCACCTGCACGAGACAGGCCATCTACTTGGCCTGCCCCACCGCGAGAATGGCATCATGCTGCGCGACTACGTCCGGTTGAACCGCAGCTTCCTCACACGCGAAGCATACTCGACACGCACCAAGTCCAAAGGCGGCCTGGTGCTCGAGAAGGACGAGTGCACATGGCACCGCCTCGACTGCCTGCACTTCAAGACGCACCCCTGCTTCCGCCTGCCCAACGATCCACCTTCGCAAGTCGACGACAGCGTCCAAGCCTGGCCAATTGAAGGCAATTGTGTGGCCATCACGGCGGCATCGGGCGTGGCATATATCGAGCTGCACGCCGAGGGTGACAGCGTGTGCAAGTCGTGGATTGAATACCCACTCGACAACGGCGCGCCACTCCAGCGGCAAGTGGTACTGACTGAGCAAGACATTCGGAACAGGCTGCCCGAGGCCAAGCGCCGGAAAGACCCGATCAAGATTGCCGTCCGGGCATGGGGCGGCGGCACTTTGGTGGTCGACGATGTACGCCAGCTCGTGTCCAAGGAATCGTCTACAAAACTGAGTGGTGGTATCCTCATGGGCAAGACGGCCTACCGGAGCGCCAAGCTCGGCCGTGGCCAGATGCAAGGCACAAACGCAAACGAGGTCATCTTCACGAGCGCACAGCAGCAAAATCGCGTGCTCTCACGGGTCGTCTTCTACCACGGCCGGGCGCTGGACGGTGTGGAGTTTGTATACGATGATGACTCGCGGCAACTATTTGGCAAGCGCGGCGGCAAGCCGGGCGGCGACTCTTTTGATATGGGTAAGCCAGCTACTCCGCCTCCGAATAACCCAAACTATATTTGAGCAATTAGCTAACCACCGGTAGATGTCCGGCGAGGTGAATACATTAGCGGGTTCAATGTCCGCGCGGGAGCCTGGATCGATGGCATCCAGATCCTGACAAGTTTGGGTCGGCGATCGCCCATGTACGGCAACGCTCACGGCGGCTCTGGGTATGACTGTTTCTGCTCCTTCTGTGATTGAACCCGACGAGTGAGAGCCCAATATACTAACATCACAGCCATACCCTGATCCCACCAAGAGGATACACCATCTGCGGCGTGTCTGGCTCCTGTGGCTCATGGGTCGATTCGTTTGCTGTCCTCATCACGAAATAAGCTTATTATATTGCAACGTTTTGCGAACAGTCGCATCGTATATCCAATTTCGTCCGCGTTCCGCTTTCTCTTTTCTCTTTACCTCTCCGTCTTTATGCACGCTTGCATGATCTTATTTTCCTTGCACATACACATCTACACATAATCACGTATACATACAGAAAGGCAAACAACAACTGTTTGGTTTTGTTGTTATCAATTGGTAGATGAGATCTGAACGGCCAAGTGATTACCAGGCTTGGGACTTCTTTAGTTATATTCTACTTTCGTTTGTCTTGTCTCGTCTATTATGTGTTGTGGAGTGCCCGGCTATCCTGTACGTGAAGGAAGGAATTGAAAACGATGTACCCATGACCTACGACTTCACCTACTATACAGCAACTACCGGGCTCGACGACCTGCGATTTTTGCACGCTGGGATTCTTCTGCACGGAGTATTCTGTAACTATGACGCAGGCTAATTTGTGGCTAGCAAGGAACGAAGGAATAACGGCAAATAGAAAACCGCTGATATCATAGGTCTCACTTGGCTCTTTTAGGGCTACTGCCAGGGCACCGTCATAGACATTAGCATTTAGCATAGCAATGGTTCTAATTTGGCTGGAGACCCCTATCTCTCTTCTTTGTATCGCCGTGCTACTGCACAAGCCCCCCCCCACTCTCCGTCCACCGTTTGCTGAGAAGAAGCCTGTGCAGCGGAATAGAAGAGTGCAAAGAGAATTTAATGTTAGCGCCATAGAGAGTGAATCACAAGCAAAAACGACATCGGAAATGTCAGGCGGTCTGAGTTTTAGCCAGGTCTCTACGAACGTTTGCCCCCCAACCTCCTTCCTCTCAACATCCGTCAGTGCTCTTTCGCAAGAAGCAAGTTTGGGTAGCAAGCTGCATAGCTCTGAAAGGAAAGAGCAATAAACTCCGTCCGATCGTAAACTTTATTTACCCAGCCTGCCGCCTTTCCTCCGTTTCGCTTTGACTGCCTACCTGCTATTCACTACTTGCCCTTGCCTCTCTGCGTTAGCGTATTTCGTTCAGTGGTGTTTTTTCTTTGCGTCGGGTAGTTCCCCGCTACGCCTGCAAATATAGTGCGTTCATCAACGTCAACAGTTTTGGCCTGGTCCTCAACCAAAAATAAAATAGAAAATACGGGATGTAGTGGCATCTTTCCCCCTTCACCGGTTCTTGCTTTTGCCCTGTTGCAAGCTCCTCACATCCTGTCTCCGAACTCTCCTCCCGAACAAACACGACCCCGAGCCTTTGAACCTGGAAGAATCGCACTCTGAATCCTGAGAGCAATTGCAACAGTTTACCTCCTTCCTTCCTTCTTTCATCGAACCGCGTCGGCAAGCTCCACTAGTCAGGCCTCTCTCCTTCCACTCTAATCCTCGAATCTCTCGTTCTCTCCTTCCTGCCTTCTCCGCAGCGTCTTCCGCAACCGCCCCTTCCACAAAGCCGCCTCCGCCTCGACGATTGGCTGCTTCGAAGCCACTCCCGTTTCTTCTACCATCGCACACTTTGTCACTCGCCCTCCTTTCCCATGTCTAGACGGACCTCCGCTATGGCGAACGGTAACAGCACCGCGCCGGCCAGCGGCAGCGCCGAATTCAGCCAGCCCGGTATGCTCTTCCCATCACCTTCTTCTCACCTCGCCTCTGCTTCCGAGTACTGACATATACATGTAGCTTATGATAAACAGAAGATCCTCCTGTCGACGGACCCTGGCCACTTTTCTCTTGTTCGCGCCCTGCACCTGGCCGACTTCATCACGGAGCTCAACGGTATGCCTCGGCCATCCTGTCCGGCCCTACCGGCCTGTCGCAACGTTATGCTAACTCAGTTTTCTTCGTCTTACTCTAGGCCTTTGCGGCATCCTCTCCATCTTCTCCTCGCTGCGGTACTGCATTGACCCGACATCCCGCTTTAACCTGTGGATCGCCCTGGCGCTTCTCCCGCTCGGCCTCTTCTTCGACGCCATGGACGGCAAGGTCGCCCGGTGGCGCAAGAAGAGCAGCATGATGGGCCAGGAGCTCGATTCGCTGGCCGACCTCATTTCCTTTGGCGTGGCCCCGGCCGCCGTCGCCTTCTCCATTGGCATTCGCTCGACCGTCGACCACGTCATGCTCGCCTTCTTTGTGCTCTGCGGCCTTACCCGCCTTGCCCGCTTCAATGTTACCACCGCCGTCATCCCCAAGGACAAGTCTGGCAAGGCCTCGTACTTTGAGGGCACGCCCATCCCAACGAGCCTGGGCCTCGATGCAATTATGGCCTACTGGATCAGCCAAGACTGGATCCTGGACAACCTCCCGTTGGGCGCGTGGTTTGAGGGCACGGCATTTGAGCTGCATCCGATTGCGCTGCTGTTTGTGGTGCACGGCTGTCTGATGACCAGCAAGACGATCCACATTCCGAAGCCGTAAGAGTTTCGACGAAAAGATCCGAAGCAGACGAGGCAGACAAAGTTGTGGTGCATTCCGTGGAAGAAAGACCGGCCGACCTGCTGAGGCTGGTCTTGGCGCAGGAGGAGCAGGCTTGATAGATGCCGTCATGATGCAAGGGCAAGCAGGCGTCGAGATGATCTGTCTTTGCATAGAACACGGCCTTGTACTTTTTTGGTCATATTTCCCTTTCCGATTTCACGTATTTGATATTTTCTGGTTCTGTATTGTTTGTTTTCCCGCCCCCTCCCTTTCCCCACTCGAATGTTCTCAACGTTTTTGGTCCGGGACATGTTGGCGTGTTTTGTTTGGCATTTTATATACACGGCATTTTTGTGAAAGTACTATGAACCGAAAAAAGAAGATAAGAATAAAGAACATGACAGCAAACGGTTGGCGTAGGAACAGGGAAAAGGACATGGGCACTGTCATCTCGGGTTTGTTCAACAGGATACCAAATTGACGGCTAATATTTTCGTTACTATTTATCGAGTCTTACCTTTTGTTCTGCCTTGAAGGTGTGCTCCAGAAAAGAATAGAGGCATTTTAATGAGGCGCCGATAAAGTATCACTTCCGACAAAAGGCTCCGGAAAGCGGACAAGTCCGCCAGTCCATGGGCGCTAGAGGAGGTCGCCCCAGCGCTGCTCTATCGCACCTTCGCCGGCTATCTTCCGGAAATTGGGGAGGACCACCCCGCAATCTGCCAGCCAGAACACGACCACAGCTGCTTCGGTATTACGACGTATTAATTACCCCTGTAATTATAGCACGCCACAGGCGCGAAGCGAACCGTGGGTCGCCGCTTCCTAACAAGACCTAACGGTTAGTACTTATGTTTGAACCGCATCTCTTACCGGTTTCGCAAACGAAATGGTTTTTTGAACGACACACGTTCCCAACGACCTTCCAGCATTCTATTAAACCCACCCTCGCGGTCCAGCAGCACCTATTCGGTACCTTCGATTATTACAGATGCTCGTCATTCGTCCCGCATCGCAAGATCTTTTGAACAACAGCGCCGGCGCGACCTTGGGCGTCTTGAAGCCAACAATTCTAGCCGAGCCCCTCCACCTGAGCGCTCCCCTCATCCCCTCGCAGGCGACACCCGCCAGCAGACCGCCGTGGCGCATGATTGCAGACACGCTCTTGTAATCATCTGCGAGGACCGGCCTTCCGGCCAGCCCAAGCATCCGCTCACCTGCCATGGCGTCTTTTGACCAGGCCCCTGACGAACTCATCGTCCAAATCCTCTATCTCATACCCTCCACCGACCTCATCGCCTCCGTGCAACGCCTCTCTCGCCGCTTCTATCATCTCTGCCAAGAGCCGAAGCTCTGGCTCGCACGATGCCGCTCGGACTTTGGGCACTGGGCCGGACCGTCCCGTGCCCGTCTGGCCCGCGCAGGGCGAGCCAATCGCGGACCTTGGAAGCAGATGTGGCTGGATCGCCGGCGTGGGGATGCCAGCACAGCTCGGCACTTTGAGCATGTATTGGCGTCCAAGGTGAACCGCGTGCGCCACCTCGAGGCCATCTGCCGGCGCGGCCTCAACGCCAAGGACTTTTTGCTGCAGCAGTACCACCTGGCCGACGATGCGGCCGACGACGTCCTTGCTCGACGGTACTACGCCAACACGGCACTTGCCAGTATCCATCGGGGGCTGGCCATTGAGGAGTGGTGCAAGGTGCTGTGCGAGTCTAACGGGTTCCACCGGCTGGACCGTGCCCTGGGCGCCTTCGACATGTTTGTGTTGCACGACGCCGACGAGGACATGGACCGCATCGAGGAGCTGCTTGACCAGCTGGCCGACGAGTTCCGCCGCGACCACCGGCACCCGAGCGTCGACAGCATGACAGTGCGCGAAAAGGCACATGCGCTTGTGCGCTGGATCCGCATGCGCAACCTGGCCGGCATGGCCGATCCCAGTCTCAACTACCGCAACATGCGCAACTGCCTGATCGGCCAGGCGCTGACCGACCCGGAGCACCCGTCGCTGCCCATTATCTCGAGCGCCATCTTTGCCAGCATCGGCGAGCGCATTGGCCTGCGTGCCTTTTGCTGCGCCGTGCCTGGCCACGTCCATGCCACCGTCTTGGGCAACCCTGGCGAATCGGTCGACGGCACGCCGTTGGCTTCCGATCCACAGCAGCCACAACGACCAGGGCCTCCCACCGTCTCCCGTGTGACGCTTCGGGAACGAACAATGGTGGAAGACGGGACGGAAGAAGACGGGATGGGCGGCGATGGTCCTGGGCAAGGCGAGCGTGAAGGGTACAACGGATCGTCGTCCTCATCCACCCCGTCTTATGCAGTGTCGCCCATTGCGATTGCTGCCGCAGCCACGCCCCAAGTGCCCACCATGACTTACCAGATGCTGCAGCTGTGGCCAATGGCGCCTAACGATCCGCGTCCGTTCACAGAGGTGGTTCGGAATCCGGCATCGTTGCCGGATAACGGGGAGCGCATGTTTCTCGATCCATACAACAACGACCAGGAAATGTCACTAGGGTCTTTGCGGCAGAGCATTGCCGAGGTCGACTGGGGCATCGTCGAAAACCGTGATGTGCACTTGTTGCCAATGCCGACATCGGCAATCGTGTTGCGCGTGGCGCTCAACATGGAGGCCAGCTGGTCGCACGCAAACCAAGTGTCCAATGTGCCCCAACTGAGCGCCGACGCACGTCGACTCCGTCGTGGTGACCCCGATATGAACCTTGAGTCCTTGCTGTACGCGACCATCTGGGCCACGGCGCTGATGCGACCACTTGACAGCCCCGGCTGGGACCGCTACCTCGACAGCTTGCTGGCGCGCTTTGCTCACTTCTACAGCGAGGATGTCTGGATCATTGCCAAGTTCTTGCTGCCGCTCTACGACCGGTACGTGGAATTGTCCGGCGGCATCGGTACCGTCGGCGGTCTTCTCTCTCGTCTCGCGGCGGGCCGATTTGGTGATGACAATAACAACAACGGTGGCAACGCAGATGACAATCTTCCACCACCACGGCATCAAAACGGGCCGCCACCGGCCGTCAACAACCACGCCAATGGCCAGCAGGAGCAGCAGCAGCAGCGCCTGCGTGGGTGGACGGACCCGCGTGTCATGATAAAGATGGTCTACAACCTCGACCAGCGCCAGCCGCTCGTCAGCCGCCGCTACACGCAGGACATTTGCGAAAAGGTGCTTTTCCGCATCGGCCAGGTCTTCCGCCACCGCCGTTTTGGCTACATTGGCATTATAAACGGCTGGTCACCCGACGACCCAACCTCCCTGCCGTCGCCCAACAACATGTCCATGGCCGAGACGACCACACCCAGCGACGCAGAAGACAGCGGTGGCAGTGGACGCGGTACGCCCGTGCCGTTTCCAAACGGTGGTGGACCACTCGCTGACACGGCTGCTGCTACCGCAGCAGCGCCGAGGCGGCGTAAAAAGTCAGCGTTCTACACGTGCCTGCGGACAGGCGTCGAGCGGCAAGTGGTGGCGCAGCGCAACATTGAGATTGTCACGGACCCGGACCTGGTTCCGGAGGCGCTCATGTTTTTGGCAGGCAAGCACTTTAAGCGCTTCGACAGGAGCACTTGCACGTTCGTATCCAACCTAAGGGAGTTTTACCCTGACGACTGAGGAGTGAAGAGTGAAGGGCTATAAAGCAAAGGGATATAAAGAGACGAGCAAACGAGCAACCGACACTTTTGATTTCAGAATAGCGAGGCGCCATTGGACTGCACATCTATATCCGTTTCCTGCTAGCATTTATAAATACACACGGGTTGATAAGCCCATCTCCGGGTTTTGTACGTTTTGTTCATTACTTGCAATATGTCACATCTATCTTGTCATTAAACACCATGTAATTCATTAGTCGCAAATGTCCTGGAGAGAAAGAACAAACACTACATCATATCATACATAGGACGAGGGAAATTACAGAGAAGAGATATAGGAAGCAGATAATCAAGTGTCAGCAGACTCGAGCTGTCTTTCATACCATTTCATCCTCTTCGATGATTTGTTCATCTGGTTCACCTGTGGCCAGGCGTTGCAGCACGCCTTTGTCGGCTAACTTCTTGAGCCAAAAATGCACTGCCGGTGTGTAGTCGCCCTTGCGGGCTGCTGCACGGCGGACGCCACCATCGTCTTCGTCATTGTTGTTCGTCGTTGGAGGACCCCATTTGGACGTGCCGTTTGTGCCATTATCGATCTCACCCACCCCATTTGACTCGTTCGCTTGACCAGCCGCGTTTTCCTTCTTGGGCGTGTGGCACAGAGCAAGCAGACTGAAGCCAGCGCTCTCATCGTACGACGCGTACTTTGCCATGCGAGTGGCAATGCGTTCTCGGGCGCTGGCCGTCCAGTCTCCATTGAATGGACCTTCATATAGGTTAGCAGAGAAGATCCTTAACAGCGTACAAATCGCCTCTTGGCTGACGCACCCAACTTTAGGGGTTTCTCTTGCATGCCGTTGAGCTCCCACACATCGTTTCCCACGGGGACATAGGCGATAAAGTGAAACGCCGGCTCGTCTTCGTCGGCGGCCTTCTTTCGCTTCTTTTTGTTGTTTGCGTTCTTCCGTTTGGCCTTTTTGCCGGCTCCGGCCCACTCCAACTTGAGCGAGAGGTCAGACATGAGCATGTCAATGCGTCTGGCAAACGAGTTGTGCGTAGAACGGATGGCTTCATCGCTGCTCAGCAGGTGGCCGCGGAGCGCTGGGTGCAGAGGCTGTGTGGACGCCTTGAAGCGCGTTAAGTGCTCACCGAGGCCAAGACGCTCACAATTCATGGCAATGTTGAGCATGGCGATGGTACCGCAGGCATTTCCTGTCGTCTGTGAAAGGGTTAGGAAAAGCAGAAAGCAAACTTGCGTAAGATCGAGAAGAGTGGCCCACCTGGTTGGCAAACCAGAGATGCTCTGGGCAGTCCTCGTATTCTTCCTCTGCGTCCTCCTCCACGAACTTGTACAGAAATATCAAGCCCAAGGGCTCACTTAAAATAATGCACGTTAGTCCCATACACTTGATTCTTGGCTTGCTCATCAAACGAGAAACCCACGGGAGATATGAGATGGACGACTCGTCCACGCCCATTAGCTCAAAGATGGTGGCATCTTGTATGCCTAGTCCATTCAGGATAAAGTTGAAGAATTCCTACGTTGTGCGAGTCAGTCGAGACTGTTGCGGAGCCACAAGAAACTGCCCATACAGGTCACGTACTGGCTCCGACTCAATGTCGCTCCAGCCCTGCCATGCCTTGAGCTCGGTCTCGGTGATCGGCGTAAACAGCTGCTCATGGATCAAGTCCCGAGAGGGGACCGCTGCAGTCGCGTCGTCTTCGGCAACGATCACGGCCGTAGCAGCCAACGCCCTCTGTGCTGCCGCACGGTGTGGCCGCGACGTGCGAGGTGCGGGCGACGGTGACACTGGAGATGACGGCAGCTTCATCTTGGCCTCGTCCATGGCACCATCCTGCAGGGTGTCTGTAGCAGTGCCTCTGACGGCCGTGGGGCTGTCCACACTGCCATTAGTGCTGCGGGTGCCGTCTTCTGACACCTTGGTCCGCTTGGAGGGCTGTGGCGTGCCGGTCGAGGCTTTCCTGCGAGTCATCGTGCCAGACAGAAGCTTGCAGACAGTTGTGATGCTGCAGCTTTTTGGATCGGCAGCCTCAAAGTCTGGCGTCAGGGACCTCTATCATGAAGGGTGGGTACAAATGAGAGTACTCTCGGTATTCAGCATGGCTACTCGATCTTGCATTTTGTGCACTCGCAAAGTCGCTCCTGTGTGGCCGCTGTCGGTCGGTTGTCCGTCGTTTCAATACCGCAAACAGCCATATCCACATCTTGGAGCTGCAGACGATTTATGAGCAGCTATGGTCACCACAACGTACTAGCGCACGGTGTGCTTAACATTTTTGAAACTGTTCTGGGTCGTGCCTGCACCAACAGACCAACTGAACCGTCGTTTACAGTTGCCCCGCTTTTCTGCAGGGCTACTGGCCAATAAGCATGCTTGACAGCAGGCTGCACCTGCAAAAATATTGTTGCTTCCTTCCTGGCCCGGCAGCCCAGCGCGTCTTGACGTGAATGGGAAGGAAGCTTCAGACGGGCGACACAGAAATTGACGAGAATCAGAATCACACACATCCCAGTTGACAACATCGACACCACGCGACGCCCGTACAAAGGCCAGCTCTTGGTACAACACGAAACGAGCTGCAATAGATACGCTGCCACGATCTTTTCTGCACTCGATTCTCTCGCGCGCAGCCCATCGTCAAACTGCTGTACGACATCTCGACATTTTCTTCCGTCGTTAGTATCCTTTCGTTTTTGTCGAGCTTCACGACCGACCTTCACCTGGCCCAGGCCCTCGCATACAGCCCCAGAGCCCCTCCTACAGCTTCTCCGTCACTGGGGATGCCATGAGCGCCACGCCTCGAGTGCGCTCCGGCGCGTTCCCCCAGACGCCGACCACCATCCGCGTCGGCCGTGGCGCGCCACCAACACCTTCACCCAGTCCGCCCATCGATGACATTCCCAAGCGCTCCTCCGCGGCACCCAAACCGCTGTTTGCATCGGCACGCTCGTCCAATGCCTCGACGCGAGGGTCGGCTGCTGCGGCGGGAACAGCTGCGGCACCCGGGCCCCTCATCCCGCTGGATGTTATTGACGCCCCGACGCAGCGTTTCTACGCCGTCGCCCTTTATGTCCTCTTGATTGCTTGGAAGTGCTACGACTGGGTGCAGCTGCTCGAGGACAATGGCGAGTCGTTCTGGCTGTTCCTCAAGTGGATCGGCCTCGACTTCGTCTTCCTGTTTGGACTGCCCGAGGTGCGCATTCCATGGCTCGAGCTGTCTCAGCCTGTGACCACCTTCCTCTTCGTCTGCCATGTCATAACCGACTATCTGCTCATGTTCAACATTGGCGTTCCCTGGCATGCGTGGTTCCTCGGCCTGCTCAAGATCTTTTACGACCGCGAGCTGTCCGTCTCTGAGCACTACGTCAAGGCCTCCAGCATCTTGCAGAACTCGTCGCTCATCTCCGGTCGCCAGATCATCAACATTTTGCCCGAGGGCTCGGCCATCTTGAACCCCAGCGGTCTGCCCTTCTGCATCGGTGGTCCGGGGGGTGCGGCCGCAGGCAGCAAGACCAACATTGCGTCTCTGCCGCTGTACTTCAACGCAACGATCCCGGCCGAGGTCGAACTTGTGCGCCTGGATCTTGACACAAACGAGGAGGAAACGCTGCGTCTGACCAAGACGCAGCTCCGCGAGATTTCCAAGCTCGTCAAACGCCAGGAGGCTTCGGCCGACGGCACGCTCGCTGCTGTTCGCTTTGATGTGCCGGTCAAGAAGACGGGTGCGTACCGCCTGGGCCGCGTTCTCGACGAGTACAAGCTCGACGTGCAGCGCCCGAGCCCCTTTTCGTTTGTCGTGTCTTGCCCCAGTGCTCGCGTTGGTGGCGGCGGCGATCCCCTCTCGAAGCAATCTTCCTGGTCCTCTTCGTCGTCCTCATCTGGTTCCATCACACGCTGCCACGGTGATTTGTCCGACCTGCTGCTCGAGGTGGATGGCACGCCGCCGCTCAAGATTGTCTACAGCCGCACCATCAACGGCAAGGACCACAGCTTCCACTTCCAGAGCCTACAGCCTGAGGGCTTCGTGTCGCCGCTCCTGGGCACTGTCCCTTCACGCTCATCTGGCTTGTCCTCTTCCGCTCCGTCGGCTCGCTCTCACGAGCCGCTTGACTCGGATGCTGTTGTTGCGGCCAACTTCCCCACTCAGGGGGATGCCGACATCTCTTGGGCCCGCTCTCGCCGCGTCTCTGTCGGCCTCAATGAGACCATGCACGTCGGCGGCGAGTGGCGCTACTCTATCGACGAGGTCCACGACGCCTTTGGCAACGTTGCCAAGTACAACGAGCCGGTTGAGGATCACGAGGTGCGCCCGCGCCCTCCCAAGCATCTGGTCCAGAGCTTCCATGTTCGCGAGCGCCCACGTATCCGGCTCCAAGGCTGCGACCTTCGCCAGCCGCTCAAGGTCGCCCGCGGCAAGTCGACGGCCTTCCCTGTCCGCTACGACATCCCCGGTGTGCGCCGTCCCGAAGACGGTACCGCCCACACGCTGACGTGGCAGTTCTCGCCCATAGACACTCTCACAAAGAGTGGCGACCACGGCGACGTTGTGAGCCTGGCGACCTTCAACGCCCGCCATGCGGACGAGATGCCCACCATCTCTACACCCGGTCTCTACACGCTCAAGTCGGTGTCGTCCGGCTCGTGTGAGGGTGAGGTGCAAGAGCCCGCGTCGTGCCTCCTGCTGAACCCGCTGGAGCCTAAGCTGGCGCTGCGCTCCGAGGGCATACCCGACAGCTGCGGTGGCAACTCAATCGGTCTTCGTGTCGATCTTGACCTCGTCGGCACGCCGCCTTTCCTCGTACGTTACGACGTCAGCTCCAATGGTGTCGTCCGCCATGAAAAGGTGCAAGTCTCCGGCATGCGCTACCAGCTCGAGCTGGTGCCCCGTGTCGCAGGCAACCACAAGTACATCTTCCGCTCCATTGATGACGCCGTCTACAAGTCCCAGCCGCTTTCTGGCTCTGAGATGACTCTGGAGCAAAATGTTAAACCCGCTGCCCGCGCCTCCATCGAGCACCCCACGGGCAAGACCAATGCTTGTCTCCAGGATTCGGTGGGCGTCGATATTGCGCTGTCCGGTGAAGCGCCCTTCACACTCGAATACGTGCTTCTCCACGAAGGCAAGCGCCGCGCCTTCAAGGAGGAGAACATTGACACGTACCGCCACCGCATCGAAACGCCCGCGCTCGTCCAAGGCGGCGAGTACACCCTGGCCCTCACGAGCGTGCACGACCGCAGCGGCTGCCGCACGTTCTTACAGGGCACTGGTGGCGAGCTGAAGATCGCCGTACGTCGCCAACGACCTCGTGCTGCCTTTGGCCTGCTCGAGAACAAGCGCCGCGTGTTTGTTGTTGAGGACGCAGTGGTGCGCCTACCCCTGCGTCTCACGGGCGAGGGGCCCTGGCGCGTCTCGTACCGGAACCTGGGCGTGGCGTTTGATGAAGCTGGCAAACCCACCCACCCCGGCCCGCTGGTCACCCGCAGCCTCAACTCAGGCAATGACTTCTTGCAAGTATCAGAGCGCGGCACGTACGAGATCATCGATGTTGCCGACAACCAGTGCGTTGGTCTGGTTGATAACACAGCCTCTGTCTTTGATGTCGACTGGTTCCCGCGGCCGAAACTCTCCTTTGTGCAGACCGAGGCCATCCAGGAGAAGGGCAACCTGTTTGTTAAACAGGACGTCTGTGAAGGCGACGTTGACGGCTTTGAAATTGACCTGCGCGGCTCGCCGCCCTACCATGTGGAATACGATGTGCGCCACAATCCTGCCAAGGGCTCGCAGGGGTCACTGATCCACAAGCAGCTCGATGCCGCGCTTGGCCGCGCCTCCATCCAGATGGACACTAGCAAGGCTGGCACCTACCGGTATGAGTTTGCACCCCCGGCCGACACCCTTTATAACAACAACCGAGTCAGCTCGGGCGGCAAAGGCGTCCCGGCGCTGGTCATGCAGCAAACAGTCTACGCCAAACCGACGGCTGCTTTTGCCAAGGCCGGCCAGTCGTTCAAGTACTGCATGACGGAGCAGGACAACGAAGACCGGATTCCCATGGTCCTGACGGGCGTGCCCCCTTTCTACGTCGAGATGGAGATCAAGCACCAGAGCGGTGTCGTGTCCGAGACCTACCGCGTGCCTTCTATAATGACGCACAACTACGGGTTACAGATCCCGCGCCAGCACTTGCGCCCGGGTACGCAGCAGGTGCGCATTCGCAAAGTCCGTGATGCGCGCGGCTGCCAGCAGAAGACGGACGATGTTCCGGGCGTCAGTGGCAAGAGTGGCTTGAGCGACTCGCTGCCGGCCTCCACGTCGTCTGTGCAAGTGCAGCTCTTTGAGGCACCTGCCATCTATGCGCTCGAGTCGCGCACGGACTACTGCGTCGGTGAGCGGATTAGCTACACGTTGTCGGGCACACCTCCCTTTGATGTGTGGTATACATTTGGCGGTGTTTCACGCAAGGGCGCGTCTGCCACGACCACATTCCGCCGCGTCGCCGAGGCGCCCGGCGAGTTCACCATCTCGGGCATCAGTGACAAAGCGTCAGAGTGCCGTGCAGCAGTCAACCTGACACGCGTCATCCACCCGCTGCCGTCTGTGCGCGTGTCGCAGGGCCGCACGTCGCGTGTCGACATCCATGAGGGCGGTGCCGTGGAGATGATTTTTGAGTTTGGCGGCACGCCGCCTTTTGAGTTCACCTACACGCGCAGCACCAACGCGCGCAAGGGCCAGCGCAGCCAAGTGCTCGAGACGCGCCACGACATCTCGTACGAGATGACGAAGACGGTGCGCGCGAGCCAGGAGGGTACATACGAGGTGGTTGCCATCAAGGACAAGTTCTGCGCCTTTTCGACACAGCGGGGCGCCGAGGGCGCCGATGGAGGCAGCGGCAACAAGCGGAATTGAAAGGCGAGGGGGCGGGAGATGTTTCTCGGGATGCAAGGCTTATGTCTGTTTTACCTTGTGTGTGTGTTTGTTTTTCCTTCTGAGTGTCTATCTGTGCTTCGTTTTCATCTTTGGTTTTCTGTATCGAGCCTACCTCATTTCCCCTTCTCCCCACCTCTTCTCATTTTGCATAAGCAGGGCGTTTGGAACCAATTTGTGTTTATTTCAATCTCGTTGTATAGGAACTGGGCAAGAATAAAGAAGACGGTTAATAAAATCTACATCGTCTACTACTATTGTATGCTGCCTCGTGCCATCTTTGCAGACGTCCTAACAAGAAACCCTCCTTTTTGGCCTACTGGGTTATAAGGTACATCGTGGCTTCCAGTTTGGGTAGACTTCTTTTCGTATTTTTTTGGGTTGTTTGTTGTGTACATGTTTGTCAATGGCGCCTGCCTTGCTTGGGCATGACACCTCCTTCCCCCCATCCCATAAGTCCATAAGTCTAAAAACGCGTTAAATAACGCGGTATTATGTCCTCGCTCAAGATATTTCCCATTTCCTCCTCTTTTGTTCTTTTGCCCCTTATATTGCAACCTGCACCCACGCAGACTGGTCGTTCACGGCCTCATTTTCGCCGTACTCGCGATTAATCGCTGTCTTCCTCATCACTCTCCTCGTCCTCGTCGTCTTCGTCGTCCTCGTCACTGTCGTCCTCCTCGGCCGTCTCGAGCCACTCGACAAGCACACGGCACCTCTCGCGAGCTCCCGTCATGCTGCTATCGCCAGAGCCGCCACTGCCGCCCTCGGCTGCGCGACCATCGGCCCACCAAGCCAGGATACCCTCCTCGTCAAGCACGTCGCTGTCGTACAGCTGCTGCAGAAGAGCCGCAAGTAATGTCCCGGGCGCAGCCAGGCCCTCGACATGCTTGCCCTTGTTCTCCTTCTCCTCCCGGATACGCATACCGACGAGGGTCCGCTGCAGCGCAAGCACGAACTCGACCTGCTCGTCGGACGAGCCGCTGCCTACGCCAACATCGCGCACAAATTTGGCGGCGCCCGTCTTGCTCTTGACGGCGCGCTCGGCCGCCTTGGAGGCGTCGAGACCGCGGCCCTGATCACCAGGCGTACCAACGGGGGCGGCCAGCTCGCAAGCGCGGCGTGCAAACGCAGCCGCCACCGCGCGACGCACAGCGCCATCGGAGGCGTCCGTGGACAGACGCAGACCCATGAACTCGAGGCGTGCAGACTCAAAGTCGCCGCTAGCGTCGTCGCGCAGAGCATCGAGCAGGCCATTGACAGCGTCCGTGTGGAAGGAGCTGCTGACTGTGCTCACGCCATCGGCACCGATCAAGCCCGTTGCGGCACCCGGACCAGACGCGAAACGGCCAGCCAGGCCGTCGCTCGTCGAAAACCGCGAGCCGTCGAGTGACGCAAACGACGGCAGCCGTGATCTTGATCCCCGCTCGCCGCCTGCGTTGCTAGCGCTGAGGAAATCACCGCTCTTTCCTCCTTTTGCCGCTGCGTCTTCATCATCGTCGTCAAACACAGCATTGTCGTCCTCAAAGCCGCCGTCGGACTCGAAGCTAGAAATAGAAGAGGTGGAGAGATTGAGGTGTGCGGTGGAGTACACGAGGGATCGTTGCAGAGACTCGGCGGTAATCGCATCGCTCTCTTCGTCATCGTCATCGTTGTCCTTTGTCGAATGGTAGTACGTCGCACCCTTACCTCCAGCACCGACAACAGCCGCGTCGTCAACGGCAGGGCTGCCATTCGACTGGAAGACAGACAGCACGACAGGGTTGCCTGCTTTAGCAGTGAGCCGGACCTTGTCAGCAACAGCCACGCCAAACGACAGAACGGAGCCGGCCGGGACGACACAGTCGGTTCCGACCTGGACGTTGTTGGCGAGGATGGATTGTGTGACCACGGTGTTATCGCCAATGACGACATCGTCCCACAGGTAGCAGTTTTCTAAGCGCACATTGTTGCCGATGCGGCAACGGCGGCCGATTGTGCTCCCGGAAACTACAGTGTTCGCGCCAATAGCTGTGTGCAGGCCAACCGCCGCACGGGATACTAATGCGGACGGATCGATTGTGACACTACGCTCGGCCGACACGCCCACTCCAGCACCACCGCCGACACGGCCAGCGCGGCGCCTTACGCTAGCATAGGAGTGGCCCGGGAGGAGATTTGTGTCGGGCACCATGGGGTAGGTCCAGCGGCTGAGAATGTCCCGGCTGACGGCGTCGTACATTTGCAGGCTGTTGACACGCGCGGCATAGCTGCCGCTTGCACTGCTGTGGGGGTGCGGCTGGTCGCCAACAATTTCCGTGTAGATCAACTTCCCGTTCAGCTCCCAGTCCTTGAGGACGTTGTGCAAGAAATTCTTGCGTGGCAACTCGCAGTCAAAGCTCTCGGTCCACAGGGCCAGGACGTCAGGCGTGCAGATGTCGATGCTGCAGTCGATCAGGTCGGAGCGGATCGTGATGTCGGCATTCTTCTCGAGGAAGGCGGGGTCAATGACGAGATAGCGGTCGTCGCCATGGTCGAGAGGCGTCATCTCGTCGTACTGGAGACAACGGCCGGAGGTCGCATCAAGGACAAAGATGGGCTCGATGCCATGGGCGCGGGTGTGATGGTCGTTGCTGCTTCCGGCGGCCACATCGCAGTCGCCACCCTCGCGCAAGACCAGCGTCATGACGGCGTCGCGGTTCGTTTCACGGCGCGCTCGGTGGCGCGCAAGTATGGGGTCGAGGGGCACGTTGGAGACGACGTCTCCGTGGACGAGAACAAAGTCGCCGGCGATGATGCCGCGCTTGTCGAGATCACGCAGGAAATCGCCAAGCGACGAAGCCTGGGCGACACGGATGATATCAAGAGACTGGAAGGGGTTCGTCTTGCTGGTCGGCGACCACCGTGGCGACGCAGCCAGGTAGCTCTCGACTTGGTCGGCAAATGCGCCGCAGTAGACGTACGCTTCTTGGACGCCGTTCATGGCCAGGTACTCGAGGGTGTATTCGATGAGAGGGGTGTTTGCGAGGGGAAGGAGACACTGCGAAAAGCCCCAGAAGGCCTTGGTCAGTATCAATGGACGACAAGTACGGCTTCAAGGAGGGGGATATATGCGCAAGATCCATACTCTTGGGCGGTCGATTGTCAGTGGCTTGAAACGATCTTGGAAGGAGTCGGCGAGGACCTGAAAGATTAAAGGCAGGCGCCGTGGTCAGTGTCTGTTCTCCCACATCGCAGGCAGCGTAGCAGCAGCCGTCGAGAGGCCCATCAACCACGGGAAACGTACAACGGCCTGAAGGACGTCTTCGCCTTTGTCGTCCGCGGGGCCTTTGCCCCCAGTCTTTTTGCCGCGGGCGCCGGCGCCCTTTTTGTTGGCTTGCGACATGAGAGCGTGCGCACAATGTATAAGAGATGCAAGAGATTGCTGAAGAGATCAGTAGGGTCCAGGAAGGTGGTGGCGGGCGTGCGCCTGTTTGAGAGGGCTCTGTCTCTTGATCTTGGTATGTTGCAGCAGTGACGTTGTGTGGTGCGGTTTCGCGTTTTGTGACTCAAAAAAGTTACTGGTGGGGGGCATTTGTGTGTGCAGTGAGTCGCAGTGGCCAAGCATTAACAAATGTGCCGAAAGGGGAATAGCGTCCATGTCGGGAAGCTTTGCGGTTGGTGCCATTCCTCTCACTTACAAGAAAAAAAGTATCTCGATCGAACGGAGTGAAAATCAGGCTGCTTCCGAACGCCGCCCAGCGTGTTGACCTGGCATTATCGGATGCAGGTGATGCTCGCCCGTTCTCTATGTAATGTAAGTTCCAATTCCGCTGTTTACATCTGTGCCTTTTAACAGAATTTTGATCACGTGTATTTCCACGTGCATCGTTCCGATTGATCGACGGTAACCCCAATCCCATACTCCTCGGCAGCAGCTATATCGGCTTTGCCTGACGGCATCGTTTCTACCGAGAAGGGCGAGGATTCGAACTGCTACACTATTGACGAGGACCGCAGAGCATACAGAAAAGGAGGACTACGCCGCCAACTGGTGTTCCAAACAAAATGCTAAAGTCATTATTGTTGATTGCATTCAATGCAATGCCTCGGCCCCTTCTCTTATATGAATGCATACCCAAGAGGCGACATATAAACAGAAAAAAACTCGAATAGATACATAAACAAAAACAACCGAAACGCCATTATTTAGCCCCATATCCAGCCACTGACTCTGTTGTCTTGGCAGAGGCAGAGCAATATATATGATCCCAACAGATATCTCCCAGTAACAAAAAGACTCTAGCCAACCAGAAGACTGCTCACCTGCCCGATTTCGGTCCCGCAGGTATCATGCAGCAAGTAGCGAGTGTTGAAGTCGTAACCACAAGACGAGACGATAGACACAAAAGAGAACGAAAGATGGCGATGAACGGAGAGAAGAGAAGAAAAAAGAAGATGCTGGGCGTTCACGTGTATTGACCGCCGGGGCCATACAGCCGCTGTCGTTTCTCGGGCCGGTCGTCATTCGCCATGCCCTCCACCATAGTGCGCATTGGGTTGCCAGCCATCGCTGCGGCCGGGCCACCTTGGTAGCCAGGTCGAGAGGGCCCACCAGCGCCACCATTTACCGGTGCTTGCAAGTACCCGCCTGCGCTGTCCATGTTGGGAGAGGCGTGCTGAAGTTGGCCGGGGCCCGGCGAGTGCCACGAGGAAGATGTTGCTGGCGACTGGATCGGAGTCTCGAACTTGACTCCGCCCAGATTCGGGGCAGCCTGCATACCAGCCATGGCACCCATGGTCGACGCGTTCACATACCCGGGCTGAGGTCCACCGGCGGCCTGCTGGCCCATGTCCTCGCCACCAGGCTGCTGGGGGTTCTTCAGCAGGTACGGTAGTAGCTTCCTAAGGATCCGGACCATGCCCTCTTTTGTGAACGGCTTCGCCAGAACATCGTTCATTCCTACAAAAAATCATTTTAGTGTCTTGTCCAAATCAAATATAACTTCGCTCGCAACAACGAACCAAAAAAAAGGAAAGAAAGAAACAAAGAAAAAAAGAAAAAAGGCTTACCCCAATGGAAGTACGTGGCGATGTCCTCACTGCGGATGTTCGACGTCATGGCTACAATTGGGACCCGGGGCGCGGCGATACGGATACAAGCAGTCGCAGACACCCCATCGAAGACGGGCATAATAATGTCCATAAAGATGAGGTCGTACCGCTCGGGATCCTGGTTGACCTTGGCGACAGCCTCGGCACCATCTCTAGCAATGTCCACGCTGCAATCAATTTGTGATAAGAACTTGGCACCAATTCTGGCGCAGAGTTTGTCGTCCTCAACCAGCAGAATCTTAGGCTTTTGGTGGCCCCAGATTACACCTCCCGCATCCTTTGGCGGTGGCGATATTTGTGGAACTTCAGTCGCGTTGGGGTTGCTGAGCGGGCGAGTGTAAGGGATGTTATTGATGTGGTCGGCGTGGAAAGGGTCGATACCGGCGTTCTGGCCCACCGGGTAAACGAGATGGCGCATGTCATTCATATCAGGAACACCAATTGCCATACCGGCAGAACCCGGCGGATGGAAAACGGCCGAAGACGAGCCAGCCGACTCTGGTGGCGACGTGCCGGCAGTTGTCTGGAACAGCGTAGTGAGGCGCTCGAGCTCGCGGTCCGCAATGGGGTCTGAGGAAACGTTGTTCAGAATCTCCCGTGCGCGGCGCAGCTCAACAGCGGGCTCGTCGGCACTGTCAGGCAACATGCCGAGGCCGGCGGCACCGGCGCCGTGGTGATACTGGTTTGCAGTGGAATGCCCCGAGTGGTTCGAGTGCGCCGAGTGGCGGCTGTTGCGGCGGCGCTGTTCATCAACGTTGTTCAGGTGGTTAATAAGCTCCGTGTGAACCTGGTGCTGTGCTTTGACCATCTTCTGCAGACTGAGTAGCTCGTCTACAAGCACCTTGTTCGTTTGGGCGATCTGGGTGTATTGCTCTTGCAAAGCCTGGACCTGATGCTGTGTTGCGGAGAGAGTGTCGTTCAGCAGGACCATTTGCTGCGTTGGCGGGAAAGGCTCCTCCGCAACCGTAATCTTCCTTGTGACGGGCGCCTTCCGACGGATATTGTCCAAATTGTCCTTCTTGTGCTGGTGGAACTCGGGGTGCTTAAACTCCCATGACTGTTGGATGGGACCACCACCATTGGTTAGTAACCACAATTGTTGCTCAATTAAACTCCAGACACTGATGAGAGGAACAAGAACACACCCCTGGACCATATGCTGACTGGCCGGTCTCTTCGTTGTGTCTGACTTTGTGAAAGTCATATTTGTTCAGCTGGCGGACAAAACTCGCAAAGTTACTGTGCTTGAAATGCTTTGGTAATATGGTTTTGGTGAATTTCTCGTTCTGCAGAAGAGGAACAAAAAGGGTTAGATACCATGCCACTGCTAACGAGGCCGACCAAGGAGCAAATGATATTAAACATACCTCCAAAACAACAAAACTCTCGCCGTCGTTTCCCCAGCGCACAACCGAGTTGTATGTGGGATCCTCGAGCATTCTGTAAAAAATAGGCGGTACAAGTTAGTAAAACTGACCAGAACGGCCAGAAGCCAGGCCAAGAGCCATCCCGCAAACACATCCGGGGTGCAAGACAATCAGATAGAAAGCAGCAACAGTGACGACCAGTGGTTCGGTTGGCATATGAGAGGGATTTGCCGTACTTGTAGAGCTTGCGAACCTATAGCAGAACAAACGGCGCGTTGGTTAGCAAAGCCACGGAATGACAACAAGGACGACAGCGGCCATGGCCCCAAGTGCTGCACCGCGAAACAGAAGAGCAAAGGCAGTGACCATGAAAGGAAGCCAACAAGGCCGCAGGTGATGCCTATGGAAACAAGAGAGAAGGGGCATTGTTTTCATACAAAATCGCTCGAGTTGTTCGCGGTCTGCGTGCCCACATCGCCGTCAGCTTGTGCAGGCGGCATGATGGCGTCGTATCATAGAAACTTGGCAAGGACTCTGTGCGTATCGGATGCGCAGTTTTCGTCAAAACCCGTTACTATGCAGTCCACAACCTGCAGCCTGGGTTTGCTGGTGGTTATTCGAGGAGAAAAGGCTTGCGGAAGAGCGCTGTCGCCAGTCGTGGAAGGAAGGGACAAATGCGTCAGTCGATGTGCACGGTGGTTGGAAAGGAGGAGTACGCGCGCAATGGCAGTGAACTGCAAAAACAGGCTCTCGCGAGAATGCGCCAAAGGCCGGTTTTGTAGGTCGGCGGCGGGGAAGTGAGGGCGACAAAAGACAGGTGTCGAGGGCCGAAAGAATGGAGGTCGAAATGCACGAAAGCGATTGTAAGACGTACAAAAGAACACGAGCATGAATTCAACAGAAAAGGAAAGGTAAAAAGGTGTAGAAAATGTAAACGAAGGCGGTTCGACGAAAGCGAAAGAGGAGAAAGAAAGACCGGGGCAAGGAGAAGGGGCCGCGGGTCAAGGATGGGCGGCGAGGAGAGTGGGTAGCAACTAAAGTTGGCGTCTGGTTCGTTCGTTCTCGACATGCGGATGGAACTTGGTCCTGCTGGCGTGTCTGCCCTTTCAGTGCTTTTGCGCTCTTGTACCCGGCCGAAACGCAGTGCCAGGACGAGACTTGTGTTGTGGCGACAGCGTCGAACGTGGCGTTGTCCACTTTAATTCCTTTCGCAGTGCAATACTTTGAAATGTCGCCTTCACAACCACAACCGGTAGAGTCTTAGCTACCAGAATGTGGACTTTCTTTTCTTTTTCTTTTTTTCTTTTTTTTTTAAGAAAGAAGAAAACAGTGACGCTTGTCGCGACGGAAACACGTCACAGCAGAATCTAAGGCGGCAATGGCCCGCACCCGCGACAATGGCAAGCTGATGTCAGGAGCAAGTATTCGGTGTCTGCAAGGTGGCATGCCAGCCGCGCGTTGCTGAATTTTATGTTGTATAGATGCGCCAAAGAGAGTAGCCTTGCAATTGTCGTAGCCAGTTCCACCTGCTGAGCCGATGATGTTTTCACAGCGAGTGTATCGAGCACTGTCACAAACATACGTATGGACTCGTGTTGGCCTCGTGGATCAAAAGGTCACTGAACAAGCACTGGCCGTGAAGCAACAGGATGATCTGTGCTTGCCCTGTTTGAAAGTCTGTGCAGCGTGGACGACCCTGTTTTTTGAGCCCCAGTTCTCCGCTTTGATTCGCGAAGGGCGGTTTGGCAGAGTTGCAGCAAAAAACTAACAGAGGAGAGAAGCTCGGTGGCTCGAGAGTGGTGGAACGCGTGAGAGTCCTGCAAAGAAGGGCACAAAATACGGAGTATCAGGCAATGTTCGCGGTATGCCGTGTGCCGTATCTTGCCCCGAAAGAATATGTACGGAGCGGTGCAAGAGCGTGTGTATGAAGGAGGTAGGGTACAGGGAGGCAAAGGACAGGGGTGGTACAGCTGAAGAGATGGGAAATGGTAGAAATTGGGATGCTCCGTTGTAAAGAGAAAAGAGAAATAGCAATGCAGTGAAAAGGCGGGGAGGTGAGCCGTACCGACATGATATATTGCACCGCAGATACGTAATGCCGCAGCCAGATCGCGGCAAAAAGGGAAACCTGTAAAGGAGAAATGGCAAGGGACGTTTGCGCACGGAGAGGGAGACGAAGCAAAACAACAAAGCCGGCGTCAGCGGAGACAGAAATGGGCCGACGATGCACTGTCTCTTGGCAAGCGAATGAAAAGGAGGGCATCTGCTACGGAAGGAAGTATCGTAATGGCTGCCACAACAAGAAGGTACGGAACGTGTAAAACGCAAGTGCATCCGCCTCGAAGGAAGGGACAAGTGCAACCCAAGAAGCATCGGCGTTGCATACGGAGTAGTTGAAAGCAGGCTGCAGGCCCCCCGTCCCCAATTGGAAAACGGCGTCCTTACGATTTATTATTTACGGAATTAAAAGTTTGTCCAGGCAAGCAATACTCCATATTTCAGCCCATAAACGCCGTTGTACTTTCAACGGTCTGTGTAAGCGGCGCAAAGGCCAGATATTCAGGACGCAAAGAACGAGACCACCGACAGGTCGCTCCTGCCATAATATAACGATTCCTGCTGGGCAGGGAATGAGCGCGGATTTTATCCACGGCAGGCGCATGACGGTACGAAGTATGTCCTAACGACGGAAGATGGGTAAGGTAAGGAGGAAAGTCGCAGTGAAGGAGCTTTCACTAGGTCACTCATTTTTCCTTGGGATTTTGGCACAACCTGGTCCAAGCGCAGTGCGGCTGCGAACCATTAACACTGTTTTAATAAGACGGGCTGGCGCCGAGTAATTATGTCGTACATGATGTCTTGGGTGTTATCTCGAAAAGGCCACAAGAGGACTTTGAAACTCATACTTTGTTTTGGAGCACGGCGTTCTTTCGATTTATGCCTGATTATTTCCTTGTCACATTTGTAACATACATATGATTTGAGCAGGAAGGAGCAAAGAGCAATACGCTGCTACTCATCAGGAAGGTGTGTCTTGCACCTGCCTGTTTCGCCAAAAACAAATTCTATACCAGTACTTCGTACTTCGGGGAGCGATGTGAGAAATGAGGACTGGTTTGCAGATATCGGAACAGGCGTGCAAATTGGATCCAAAAATGCTCTCGTACCTCAACATGTCACCAGTTTCTTTGGACGGGGCGCTAACAAAAGCAAAGTGGATAGCTGGCGTCACTGGCCAACAGAATATGTGGACCAGACAAAAAGAGTGTGTCGATCTTGCCCTAGAGGGGCTTGGTTCGGAAAGGGGAAGGAGGGATGTTGTGGGTTTAGTGGGTCCTAAAGTTCTGTTTGTGTCCGCCAAAGTATCTTTGCGTCGTTCTTTCTGTTTTAGCTTATGTACATGTCTTCTCTCCCACTTGTCGACTCGTGGCGCTCTAACCTCATCAACCTCGCCAGCCTCTCGTGTTTTGGCAATGACCACCACACATCCTCGAACTAGCAATATGTCGTACTGCGACTTTCCAAGCTCTGCCTCCCAAAACATCGCGGGGGAAAAGGACGGAATGACAAGCGAGGTCCCACTTGGAATATGGTGTATCTGGCTGAGGATTCTGTACTTTCATCTAACCGTCAGCTAGCGAACCACCAGCCGACATGGCAATTGTCAACATCAGAAAAGAGGGCCGAAAGAGAGAGCCAACGGTAAGTATGTCGGGAATCCGCAGGCCAGTAGCATTCCCCTATTCAACGCCTCACATGTTGCTTTACAAGTACACACGACGGATAAGGTACAGCTTACCCCGTCCAGCTGTCCTGAAATAACATCTTCCACCTGGCCTCAATATCGCTGAACAGAGTATGGAAATCGTTGTGTATAAGAGCACAGTAGCAAAGACGCTCCAGTCTCGACGTTCCAGACCTGGGAGGCTTCTTCGTCATTCAGGGCCGAGCAGTCTCGAACACCAAGTTACGAATACGAAGACTCGAGGTGGCGTCCCCATCTTCCACGGTCCCAGTCTTCATCGGCTGGTCCTGGCTCGCTCGGCCAGCCCTTGGCAAACAAGGCATCTGCAAAGCATGGATAAGGGGATCACGGCGCATTCCGTGCCAGGCACAACAATATGATGCAACCACGCGACAAACACAAGGACCGGAGAATGGCAGAGAAGCAAAGGAATAGAAACGAAAAGAAAAAGCAGAAGGGGCCATAGGGGCCCATCACCAAGGGACAATATTGTTGCAAGAGGCACTCTGACCATTAATGTCATGGAACGCCATACGAATATGCCTGGTGCTGCAGCCTAGTTTGGCATGAACCCTTTCGTTTTAGGAAATGCACAGCAAGAGACGCCAGCGACTGTCGTCTGAACAGGAAGACTTATACTTACTCAGTACGCGATAATCAAACAGGCTCGCACGGCAGCCTTCACCGGGTCGTGAGTGGGAACGTAATCTCAAAGGGCGACCAACACGCCGAGGATACCTAACCCTCCTGCCAGGGCGACCGTGCGAGAAAGAAGAGAGTCCGACGTGGGATGCCAGCTTTTGGCGAGCCAAGCAAAATCAGAGGGGCTTCGTCGAATGAGCTCCCAGGTGTGTCCACCTTTTCTATGCTTTGCGACGCAAGCGATGCCGAAACCCCGACAAGTTCAGCGAACCTGACCCCCTGTGAAGAAATACGACCCCGGACCTGCTCAAGCGGCACACTGCCAAGACCAAGGATCAGCGGTGAGACAGCAAATCTCAACAAAGAAAAACAAGTCCTATCAAAGTCACATTCACTTTATATGTTTTTTTTTCCAGCACGTCCCGCAGTGACAGGGAAAATGAAAGCACACGAGGGGTAGCAAATTGAACAATCCGATTTTACGTTCTCGCGAAGCGAGCGAGGGAAACGCAGCAGAAGTTAGTTGCCAGCAACTCCAACACGTTCAGCTTTCGACGCCACGTATGTTATTGAAACTATCATCTAAAGCCCCCGAGTATCCCATCTCGTGTTGAAAGTGCGAGAGTCAGCCCACATCCTGCCATACCTCCTCTTCATAAACTTACGAGCGCGACACGGCCAATCA